TGTGGTGTATGTAAGTGTATGTGTGTGTGTGTGTGTGTCATGCACGTATGTCCCCCCCCCACCCCCGCACGCGAGTGCGCTCGAGCGCGCGCGCTCGTGATCGCGCGCTTTCGGTCTCGCTCTTTCTCTCTTTTAATCGTTGCTTTTTTTCTATTTTTATATTTATTTATATATAGAGAGAGAGAGAGAGAGAGAGAGAGAGAGAGAGAGAGAGAGAGAGAGAGAGAGAGAGAGAGAGAGAGAGAGAGAGAGAGAGAGAGAGAGAGAGAGAGAGAGAGAGAGAGATCCAACAACTTCTTACCCTAAAATATGGGGCATAAGTAGACCAATTTCAAGAAACAGATCCAAAGATTAAGGTGAAACCACACCATAAATTATAATTAAAATCAATTATCCACCACATTATTTATCATCAGAAAGAATTCAAATTATTTTGATTCATTAATTTTTTTTTTCAAAGAAAAAATAAAAGTTTACTTCATTAAAGTGGTGCGGAGACAGCACGGATCAGCCATAGTCACGAGCCAGTCGATGAACTCATCAAATACGAGTTCCACATCATCATCTGACTTGCCCACAATTTGGTGCCACATCCCAGGATAGAATTTGAGGGTCTTATCCTTTGCAGGAGCACGGTTATAGAGTGCATCTGCGCACGCTGGATCGCAAACGACATCATCTCCACTGTGTGCACAATCAAAAACAGCATGTCAACTTGGTTGAACTTCCCTTATGCTGTGGCTGCATGAGGCCTTTGTATCGGCCTACGGGGGCTCGATAATGCCAATTTCCGCTTCCACTCCACCTTCCTTTTTTTTTTTTTTTTTATGTAGATCACAACTCAATAAATAAATTGCAATCCGTGGAAAATTAAACAATCCAAGATATATGAATAATTTAAAAAGAGATAAAAGAGGCCTAATGTGTTTGTTAGTCTCTCATTAGAGCCGCCAATCAGACGGATCGGATCGAAATTAGCATGTTCATAAAAATCAGATTTTTTTTGGAAATAATTTCGTAAATTAGAATTGGATGGGAAATCGGAATCTAATATGTACTCCAATTGTGTTCCAAAAGAATTCGGAGAAATAAAAAATCGGAACTTTCGAAACTCGGACTGAAAAATATTGTTCCGAAGTCGAAAATATTCGTAACGGAATCAACGGAATTCGGAAATTCGGTTTCATCCACCAAAACACAACAAGAGAAGTAAAAAAAAAGGAACTTTTTTACCCTTGAAAGAAACATCAAGCAAGGAGACGCGCGTGGGAACCACGCACCAAGTGGGCACGAGGAACGCCGCAATCGAGAGGAAATGCTCCACGAACCAGGTGGACTCGCCGGTGAAGCCGTGCACCACGCACACGATGATGCATTTGACTGCGTGAACAGCTTGAGGTTGAGTTTCTTGCTGGTGGTGTACTCGGAGGCGTGGGTTACTGAGTGGCGTGCGTAGACGGTAGAACTCGTCCGGACTCAGTGTGTCGAATGGGCTCATCTCGTTCGCTTCTGCAATTGGGTGCTTGTACTTCGCCATTTTTTTAATTTTCTGGTTGCTAGTTAGTTACAGAATGCTGCTATAGAGAGAGAGAAAGAGGAGAGAGAGAGAGAGAGAGAGAGAGAGAGGGAGAGAGGGAGAAGTTAGGAAGGTGAAAAGGGCGCTGAATTCATTGATTAATATATTTATTTTTGGCGGGTAGAATAGAAGTTAGCGAATCAATTGTGGAGTACTCCCTCCGTCCCAATTTAAATGACCTTTTGGGTTGTTGCACACATATTAAGAAAATCAATAAATGTGTATAGATTATAGTGAAAAATATGGGAAAATACTAATATATCCTTGACATTATTTATTTTACAACTAACTAATTAGGAGTGATAAAGGGTAAAATTGAAAATAGTGCAATTAATAATGCATTGAAAATCTAAAATGACAAATAATTTGGGACAAAAAAACTCTCTAAAAAGACATATAATATGGGACAGAGGGAGTAGTAAATAGTAGAGCTTAATATTTCCATATCCATGTTACTAAGGGTGAAAGTCGGATGGATCGGATCGGAATTAGCCTTTTCGGAAAATTTCCAAAAAAATTCGGAAGTACAAAATCAATTCCAATTTCAATTCCAAAATTTCCGGAATCTAAAAATTCATTCCAATTCCAAAAGCCCGGAAATTTCGGAATTTCGGAAAAAAATCAAAAATCACATAAGCTTTAAAATTTCAAAACTTAGCGGAAATTTTTGAACATTATCATAATTTTCCAAAAATAAGAACATCCACTTCGATAAAAGTAAAACTTATAATTACTAAATTTCAGTTCAAAAAAATAAATAAAAATAAACACAACATAATATCTAATAAAACTTCTAACAACAATTTATTACCTCAAAATCCTAAAACAAAACTTATAGGTGTATTTTTTGGAAAATAAATATTATATAATATATATTATTTATGGGTGTATTTTTCAGAAAAAAATCGGACTTTTTTGGAATTAATTTCGGAAATTAAATCGGATCGGAAATTCCAAATTTATTTTATATGATTCCAATTCCAATCCAAAAAAATCGTAAAAGTTCGGATATCGGAATTTCAGAAATCGGAATGAAAAAAGTTGTTCCAAAATCGGAACTTTTCGGATCGGAACCGGCGGAAATTGGAATTTCCGTTCCAACTTGCACCCCTACATGTTACATTTATATTGTTAATAATGAGAAAATATAAATTGTAGGTTAATATAATGTAAATTGTGTTCTAAAATATATCAAAAAAATACTATCATCATTTGTCATAACATAATGAATCACACAACCAAATTTCACTAGACTATTTGATGGAAACCAAAATACTGAATACCGAACAAATTTTCGGTTCGGTATTCGGAACGTGGCGAAATTTTGATTCGGCGCGGTTCGATCAGTTTATCAAGCTGATGAACACCCATAGCTAGTTGTGGATTCCATTGTCAAAAGAAAAAAAAAACAAATTAATAATAATAATTTATTTGCATCCAGATAAATTTGTGTTACTAGAAACCTGAGAGTGTTTTCAGGGATGCCATTTACTGGTGTTTTCTCTACGAATGGTGCCTAATATCTCAACCAACAAACATTCCTAAATTTAGAGGATATTTAGATGCAAAGAAGCAACAACATTCCATTCCCACAACAAAAAAGACTCCCTTCAAATTAATAATTAAAAAAAATAAAATAAAATAGTGAATGAGTGAAAAATGTGGCTTGCGAGTGGAAAATCGAACAACAGCAACGCGGCGAGGAGGAACGGGAGGAACGGTCTTGTTGCGGTAGCCATTGATAAGGATAAAGGAAGCCAAGCTGCACTCAAATGGGCCACTGAGAATCTCCTCACCAGGGGCCAAACTGTCATTCTCATCCACGTCGTTCAGAGATCGTCTTTAGCTTCGTGTATGTATCGCACCGCACCTACTTCTCCCTCTTTTTTTTTTCTTTTCTTTTGTGTGTAATTAATAATTTTGAGATGCCACTAATGGGAATGCCGATTTTGATACCGGCACACACAATGAGGGACCGTGTCACGTATGCAGTTAGTATTGGATATATAAATATTAAATGATTCACCTCACTAACAAACAAACAGCGATACAGGTCATTCAACATGGTATCAGAGCTTTTGCAATGTTGTGTCCTGTGTTTTATTATGATATCTATGTTGGGTAAATTCCGCTACTTCTGAGATTAGGTCTAATTGAACTTTTCGAGTTTGAAAAATTATCTAGACATCCATTACACCTCACTAAATGACGTTTTTACCCTCACCAAATTATTTTATGGACTAACTACACCCTGAGCTTAGTTTCTAATTTCACCTCCTCGGGTTTGAAAAATTACGGAAATCTCATAGGATCTACAAAGGGGAAATAATTATGTACTATTCTATGTTAGATTTATTTCTATCCTAAATGTAATTTTGTTGCAACTATGTGGATGCAGTTGGCTATAACTTCGCCCTACAGGATCTCAATGGAGCTACGTGTGGCCACAAGCAAGTACACGAAAAGCAAACTAAAGAGCTACTACTCACCTTCCATTGCTTTTGTAGTAGAAAAGACGTAAGCCGAATAGCGATCTTCTTGGCTCTTTTTTTCTTTTCGCGAGAGTTTTGCACTTGCAAACTTTTTGTAATTCAATTTGCAACAGATAAATTGCTTCGATGTGGTGCTGGAGGACACAGACGTGGCGAAAGCGATAACGGAATATGTCGCACATGCTGCAATCGAGAACTTGGTTCTTGGAGCATCCCGCCATGGATTTATAAGGTGAAGCTCCCACTACTTTTTTCTCTACTTATACCTGATGCTGTAAATTGAAACATGACATGGAATTATTTAAGTGAAACTAGTTATTTTCCACATAATTCAATAATTTAATTGACTGAAATTAGCATTCAAAATCTAAACAATTGTATTTTTTAGTAATTTAAATGATAAAAAAAAGAAGTTACATTATATAAAAAGTTACTCCTCTTAATAGAGTTAATGGTGAAACAGTCGATGAGAGGGGTTTTTTTAGTCATTTGATTAGGATTATCTAGAATCCATGCACATTTATTAGTTTTCTTAATACGTGTGCATTAGATAAAAAACGACAAATGAAATGAGGAGGGAGCATATTGGATGCATTAATTGTGACATCAACAACATACTTAACTAACCATAGTTAATTTATAATTTTTTAGCACATTTTCAGACTATTTTAATGAACAAATGTTGTTCTGTGGCAGAAGATTAAAAACGGTAGACATACCCATGAGCGTGTCAAAAACAGCACCCGATTTCTGCACGGTTTATGTCATATCCAAAACAAAGATATCTTCTGTGAAGAATGCTTCTCGCCTAGCGCAATTCGTGTCCCCTCTTAAAGCTCAAATACATCAAATGGAGCAGGGCAATGGTAATGTTTCCCCTCGCGAGACATTTCACAAGCACACGCCAAGTATCAGAGGTTCGTCTTTTTTGGCATTTATATATATATATATATATATATATATATATATATATATATATATATATATATGCTTTCTCATCTGTAGACACGGTGTTGAAATACTGTGTTTTTCTGTCTGAGCAGGTGCAGAAAAGATTCTGCTAAAGGAAAGCGTTGATGACATTGATATAGTCAAGTAAGTCCTCTATAATCTCATCTAAATATAAAAAAGGATAAATTACGGGCATCCCCACGAGGTAAGACTAAATAACTTACAAACTGTTGTGGTATTGGTTGTAAGTTATTTAGTCTTACCTCAGGGGGGTAAAAAAAATAGCAAAAACAAATTATACTAAGGCCTGCCTAAACATTTCTATGATATATATACAGGTCACCATTTTCGAGGGGAAGTAGGTACAATGGGAAGCCGTATGGTGATTTCTCGGAACCTGATACTGACATATCATTCATAAGCTCGGATAGGCCCAGCGTAGATAAGTTAAGCACAGATCGAATTTCTGGTTTACTCTTTGACGGCGTTGATTCTTGTCGAACATCACGAGTGTCCACCAGCTCGGATAGTAGCTATGGATCGATTCGCTCGGGGGCCAGAGGGAGTGAACAAAACAGTTTCACTGATTTCTCCTCATCGTCACTCGAAAGTGTAAGGCCTCGTTTCCCAAGATAAGATTATGCAATCATATGAGAACCCAATTGTATAATTGCACTAGTAAAAAGTCCAATACACAATCCCCCGATAAAACAAGATAAGAGCTCATTTCTTTCATAATTTTGGGCCGGCCTGAAAAGTTATTCCACTAACCAAATATCTAATAAGATCTAATTATTTAATTGCTCATGAATTATCTTACCAACTAAACGAGGCCCAAGGAGATTAATCTTGATGACAAAGGCCTCGTTTGGTTCCTAAGATAAGATTAGCCAATATAACATTACATAATCTTATGAAAACACAATTATATTGTTGGAGGACGAAGGTCCAGTAAATAATCTCTCAATTAGCCCAGATTAGAGCCATTTTTTCCACAATTGCTAGCTGGCCCGAAGAGTTATCACTCACCAAAAATCCAATTATTTAATTAATCATCGTTAATCTTACCAACCAAACGCGACCTAATATTAGCACGCTAAGAAGTTGAAGAAAATTAGTTTGCAAGATTAAGAGACCTCACCATTTGTAGATACAAAGTTAATTTTGTGATCCACATAATGTGATTTGAATTATGCAGGATGACGTGGAAGCCGAAATGAGAAGGCTAAAGCTCGAGCTGCAGAGGACTATGGAAATGTACAGCACTGCCTGTAAAGCAGCTCTAACAGCACAACAAAAGGTAAGAATCAAAGGCATACGTAAACGATATTAGATACTTAACCAATTCCCACGTCTCTGTATAACTTTTCGAGCATACAGGCGGTGGAGCTTCATCGATGGCGTATGGACGAAGAACGGAGACTAGAAGAGGCTCGGCTTTCTGAGGAATCCGCAAAGCTGACCGCCGAACAGGAAAAAGCCAAGTGCAGAGCAGCCATGGAGAACGCTGAAGCAGCTCAGCGAATTGCGGAAATCGAGTCCCAAAAGAGAGCAAGCGCTGAAATGAAAGCCCTTCAGGAATCGGATGAGAAAGACAAGGCGATGAGCATGTCACAGTTGAGATACAGAAGATATTGTATCGAAGAGATTGAGGAGGCGACAGAGTATTTTGCTGAAGCACGAAAAGTTGGAGAAGGTGGCTATGGACCTGTATATAAGTGTTACCTCGATCATACACCTGTTGCAGTTAAGGTTTTGCGACCTGATGCTGCTCAAGGAAGATCACAGTTTCACAAAGAGGTAAGACAAGAACAAAAGTTTCAATTGTTAAACCTCACCATTTAGGGAGTTGTGTGCTAAAAAATGCATTATAGGGGGGTTGTTGATAATATTAATAACACGGGGACTTCTTTAGCAATTTGATATAACACAGGGGTATTAAAAGCAATAAACTTTATAAACTAATTATGGTTAGTTAGGTAAATGTGATTCATGTCACAGTTAACGCATTTAATACACTTTATACTCTGCATCTTTATACATCATGTGAACTTCGACGGTTAGGATTAGTTTGTACTGTTTACATTTTTATTTAGGACAAAATGCACTTCGCTCCCATAAATTTTCCAGATTCACAATTACCCCTTAAAAATTGAAAAAAGAAACTAACTCCCTTTAAAATATTGTTTCAGTTGCACTTTGCCCCAAAACATAATTTATGATGGGTAAGTTGCAATAAAATAACATTTTAAAGGGGCGAGCAAATAATATTTTTCAGGGCAACGTGCAAAAAAATAACATTTTCAAGGGGTGATTGTGTAACAAAAACACTCACTTTCGTAGAATAATCCATCAAAATCTCGATATCGGAGCAACTTGCAACAAAAATAACTTTTCGAATGGGTGCACTCACTTTTTTTTTTTTTTAATGTTGAAGGGAAACTGCGAATATTTAAAATTTATGGGGGGTGAAATACAATTTGCCCTTTTATTTAATATTTGCTAATGAAAAAAGCTTTTAGTATTAATATTAATCAATTATACTATTAGACAATATGTCAATAATTTACTAAAATCAATGCAAAAATGCACGTGTTCACTTACTAGTTCCGCGGCATATACGAACAACGCAGGTTGAAGTGCTGAGTTGCATGAGACACCCCAACATGGTGCTACTCCTCGGAGCATGCCCGGAATACGGTTGTCTAGTTTACGAATACATGGCTAAAGGCAGCCTTGAGGACCGTCTCTTCAGGAGAGGAAACACTGGTGCTCTCTCATGGCCACTTCGGTTCAGAATTGCAGCAGAGATTGCCACTGGCCTGCACTTTCTCCACCAGACAAAACCAGAGCCATTGGTCCACCGTGACCTCAAACCAGGAAACATCCTACTGGACCAGAACTACGTCAGCAAAATCAGCGATGTTGGACTGGCGAGGCTCGTACCTCCTTCTGTTGCCGATGACGTCACACAGTATAGGATGACGTCAGCAGCCGGAACTTTCTGCTACATAGATCCTGAGTATCAACAAACGGGGATGCTTGGGGTCAAATCGGACGTTTATTCGTTCGGTGTGGTGCTGCTACAGATTATAACAGCCAAGCAAGCGATGGGTTTGACTCACCACATAAGCCGTTCGATTGAGAAGGGGACATTCGCAGAGATGCTAGATCCTGCTGTACCTGATTGGCCGGTTGAGGAGGCTTTGGTATTTGCGAAGCTGGCTCTTCAGTGTGCTGAGCTTAGGCGGAAAGACAGGCCGGATCTCGGGCGAGTCGTTTTGCCAGAGCTCAATAGGTTAAGAGACTTTGGTGATGAAAACATGAACCAGTTTCTGGTTCCGTCCTCCTGTCCCAGAGCTGCTTCTGCAGATAATATGGTCAGTAACTGAGAATATATTAGAATTTAACCTCTTCTAAAACAATTACAAGTGGAAAAATACGAAATTTTTAAGTCTCTTTATAAAATACTCTTAAGAGATCTTAGAAGAGTTGAAATGACTCTGGAAACTCTGCAACATCTTATGCAGGCAGCGAAGAGTGACCCTCATGCATCATCCAAACACAGCGATCTGAAGGACTATGCTAGTTCAGCATCTCTGCCAGACAACCTGTCAGGTATAATCAAGAACAACCTGCAAAAGACTTAGCATTGTGTAATGAAACATAAATGGTTGTTAACTTACTATACTTTCATCTTTTTATCTTATAGAAACTACTGAATGAACAACAGCAGGAAAGTTCGTTAAAAACAATCAATGCACGAGTTTTCATCGGTTACCATGGTTTTTTTTCTCTCGTAGTGATGCTTTTGTAGCTGCACTAGCAAAAGGGAGCTCGGGCGAAAATCTCTGAAGCTCGTCAGCTGTTTAGTTATAGAAAGAGTGAAAAGTTCAAAGAAAGGGTGATGCCATATAAGTACAGTACCTCTGCTTGTCTGTATATATGCAACACAACATGATGTAAAAACTTTTGACATCATGTCCAAGAGCAGAACTATGTGTAATATGTATGTTAATATCTAAAAGTCTACGTACAGATAATCTTAACTGTTCAATTATGGTACAGAGTCCACCAATTGCTTTATGTGCCTTGTATTCATCACATATTTTTTGGGTCCTCTATATTTCACTTGAAATCAAACACCAAATGTTAATGTAAGTTAAAAATTATTAAGCAGACAAAACAAATCTGAACCACTTTCTTCATTAGCTAAGATATAAATCTCTTCTCGAGGTCAACCTGTTCCATGAAAAGTAGTAGATATATAGAAGGATGTCAGCATTACTCAAACATGATTTTACTTGATCAACACTATCTAGGCTCAAGTTAGAGAAAGCTCAAAAGGGATACAGAAAGAATGTCGTATTCAATGAGATGAGACACTCTATACAAAGTTAAAGAATACCTTATTCTGCTCAAATCGATTCATTTCCATCGACAATTTCATACATCGTCCATTAATACGCGACCACCTAATAATATCTGATCTGGGTATGAAAAGTTGAGTTCAAATGTGGTTCTCGTTCACAATTCACAAAACTTGTACTATATGTCAGTACCTGCTTAAACTGAATCTTGATCTGTCTTGACTACTAGTTCTGAAACTGTTTTAGCTGATTTAGATCGGGGGACACTCTCTACTGCATCTCTAATATCAGGTGATGCCCTTGATTTTACTCCATTAACAGACTATATAATCTACTTCACTGACTAACATTCTGCATCTTTGCCCCATTTTGTTAGGTAAACATACAACAACACAGCAAAAGTCATATATTACTCAAAGGGCCCTTCTTAGAAAGCAATGCAAATGAATTCTCGTAAAAATCACCATATTACAGAATTAAATAAAATGAGTATAAAAGACTACATGATCATAAATGTAATACTGGTAGCAGGCAACAAAGAAAAGAAGTCAAAGAAGAATCATTAAAAATTCCATGTTAACATCAACTAGCATCCATCAGAAAATTAGAAAAGAAAACTAGGAGGTTTCTGTAGGTTGTTTGCTCTTTCCTGAAACTATCTTCTCCTTCAAAGCATCCCAAAAGGCAGGTATTGCAACATCATCAGGAACTTCCTTGAATGATGGCAGGTAATTCACATCCACAATAACATGGTCACCAGTGCCTTCCTGAACCTGGCATTTACAAAATGGAGATACTGTAAGAGCTCGTTTTTGAATCATGATAGGACTTCATATGGAATAGGACTCGATAAATAAATAAATAAATAAATATAGATTGTCTTTTCAGTCTTTATTAATTTAATTTATTTTTCTGTTTTAGTTCTTATTTCTGCAGAATTTTGTAATATATCAAAGAGATAATGTTTTCATTCAATGATAAATTGAACAAACTAGTTTCTTTTTTCTTTTTCTTTTTTATAAGAATTTGAAAGCCACTCACAACAACATCAAAGCCGAATATAGTAAGGTCAAGCGTTCTTCTAAGCCAATCTGCCGCACCATTCACAAGCTCAAGATCAACCTGACAACTATTAGCACTAAGTCCTTCTTTAGCAACAGGAAGAGATTTTAGGCTGCCAAAAAAAGAAAAAAAAAGTTCCGTCATTTTTCTGAATACCATAAAGGAAAAATCAGAATCAATAATGTGATAACAAAGCTGAGGAGCAAGGAAACATATAATGCCTGTCAAAATGTAAAGGCTTCAGTCCCTTCTCCGCAAATAAATTCATTAAGGTGTCTGCATTTGGTATAGACTTCTTGATTGCATAAAAAATCTTTCCTCCCAATGCATAGAATTTGTAAAGCACAGCTGAATGATCAACATATTCCTGCAAATAAATTTCATTTCACGGTGCAGTTCTCAGGGAAGCCAATATAGCAGAAGATAATTCGGTAGATGAACTGCCGACTACAGAGACTTCGATGACACAGTTATCATGCTATATGGAAGCCCAAAGAAAAGAGTTATACTATGCCAACATTGCCGTAGGTAGCATATTTAGGTCTTATTATCACCCAAAACCCTTAACAATTAGCGTGGGGATTAATTGATAATTCCACTTGAAATGAAAGGTATATGAATGCGACTCAGTCTATTTGTTCTTCACCAACAAAATAAGGCAAAATTCATGTATGTAATTGGAGGCTGCTCTAAGCCAAAATCAGATCACAAGTAAAGAAACTCTATTTAACAAAGCTCGGTGACTTATCGAAGTCCCTGACCTGCACAACTGCTGGAAGAGGAACATTGAGATCCTTGTAATGATCCACCTTAAAAACAATTGCCTGCAACAAATATCAAAGCAGACCTCAACTTCTAAACAAGTCATCACGAAAGCTGCCGGAGTACCAAAATTAAAAATATTCTTGCATAGATGCAGAAAATGAACAGGGTCACGCCGGATCTTAATAAGGCCCAGCAACTAAAATTCGCCGCATAACTTGGTTGATCATTTTGCGACTTTGCGTACAGAGAACAGTTTATTTTGACTTGATTGTATTATAAAATTATACTTGATCGTACAATTAATTATCAATCAAACTCCCTCTCCGCCAAATTTATCATCATGTTATACTTTTCACAGTTCAGCTAGGCGGCTTCTTAATAAACACCCAATCAAGTAAAATAAGCCATTCAAACATTTGGTCATTACTTCAATTGAGACTAAGACACAAACCAAATGCTTAAAATCCCATCCGCCAAAATATGTAAACCTTGTGTCCAAAATAAGGTTAAGGAAGTAAATAACTATACGAGGAGATGAACTACAATAGATTCGATTAAGTGGTCACAAAGCAATGGCTTAGCAAAATATAACAGATACTTTAGAGTTTAGTAGTAAGACAAGCAGTTTCTTAACACAAGGAACAGATGTGTCACAAGGACAAAATGTAAAAATATTACTAGCCTGGAAATGGAAAAGGTTAAAGTAAAAAAGTGAAAACCATCACATTGGAAGAATTTCTTAAAAGAAATAAAAATACAGTTAATCATTTAGTTCCTGAGAAGTTAAGAATCAAAGATTTAAAAATACTTGATTATGAATTCAGATTTAATCAAAACACACATACCATACTGTGAGCATCAGATACACCGCATGCAACTTGAGGTTTCACTATATTTGGCAAAGACAAATTTGCTTCTGCTAGCCTTTGATCCAAATTGGGCTCGTCAAAGCTATCAACCTGCAGTGCGGAGTCAAATAAGCTTAACTGAAATGCTAATAAAGTTTAGGGGGGAGATGTTCTTTTCTTGTGATTAGTGAAATTACCTTCATATAAATGAACAGTAAATAAAACTAAAAAAAAATTTGATCACAAGAAGAAATATAAGATAAGCAATGACAATGTGCAATTGCACAGATAAGGCAAACTCGAATGAACACAAAAATATCTTCTTTCCATCAGTATTTTACACGGTCCAGGATATCACAACAGCCTAACTAAGATGTTACAGGACCAATCTCTACATTGGAGAATAATATCACCTTTAGAAGCAAAAACAGAAATATGTTGTCCTTCACATACTGGAACGTGAAAGAAGGAAATTTTGATCTGCGTATTGAGGATAGTTAACTTAAATATAAACTCATGCTTATTTGAAGCTGCATATAAGAAGAGAGAAAATGAATTTAACATCAACCTTGTTTAGTCATTTCCTCTCAGTTTAAGAAGGCTATTGGTCTCACAACTGCATATAAGAAGGCTATTGGTCTCACAACTTACACTAATATATACATTTTCGTTTCAACAACTCTTATACCCGGAGAGATTTTAATCGGTGAAGAATCAAAGAAACAATATGCTGCATTTAGACTCCAGTCCGATATAGACAAAACATGGATGGATTCTTCTCAATCAATGAATTCTATGCCATCACAGAAGAGATGTAATTATGATAATTGACCTTGAGAAAATGTGGAGCCCTGATTTTATGACGACCTTGAATGTTGACAGTTTCGAGGCCAATTAGAATCTGCTGGATTTTCAACCGATCTAATATAGGGAAAATGTTGTTAAATGGGTCAATTACACAACAATCCAGCTGGAGTTTGATATTCCTGCAAGGCAATAGGCATATGTCTAACAAAGATTCTTAACCATAACAAAAAATAGGATTGAACACATCAAATTGCAAGTTTTCCCTAATACTTCTGTTCATATCTATTGAATTTTCTAAAATCAATTCAGTTACTTTTTCTGGTAAGTTGCAAAATGTAAAAAAGAATGGCAGTAAAAAGGAGGGCAAAGGACAGCAGCTGCTTTTTGTGGCACCTAGTGGATAGTTGATCAACAAGAACAAACAAAATATAAGAGAAATCAAAACCCCTCTCTGTATCACAAGCTATGCATGTATCAACTCAAGTTCATCAATTTCAAGAGTATGAGGCATTCAGAGGAAGATGTACGAAGGGTCATGTCAGATTTCACACCATGTTTAAGCATAGAATTATAATTTCTTAAAAAAAGAAGCCCTTGTTGCAAAAAATATCCATGTAATCTACTTATAAGTTATATCTAGGAAGCGCGATTAAATACCGATATTACGGCGCTGCAACTGATATAACTCTGTAAGTTAATCTTGGACCACCCAAGGTCCCCAGGAAAACCATATATCATGAAAAGTCATAACAGGAGTCCTATATCCATATATTGTGGAAGTAGATCCTGTTATATGACTTCAGCATGCTAGGGCATGACAGAACATACCTCTTAGCATAAAGATCATGCACAGTTATATGTTTCTCCAACAAACTATCTATATAAAAAATGTGAGCAAGACTCTATCAGCTAATAAAACTTCAACTAAATTTGCTAAAGAAAAGTTTAAAATACATAGAGTTGAACCAACAAGCAATGGGCAGAATAGAGAGTTTCAAAAGCAACCAGATTTTTTATGTTGCATTACCGGAACAAATGATATCAATATGCTAGCATATCCATTCATGCCAATGCCAAATAGACAAAACACTAGAGACAACAAATACAAAGTAAAAATTTCAGATTTACCTTTGCAACTCCTGCAGATTTGTTGTAAAAGTAACTCTGTCACTGAACTCTGAAGGACTATCCATGTCAATAGCCAAAATCTCATCAGTTGCCTTATGAAGAACTGCATCAACCAGTTTCAACTGAGATGACATGGGAAGTCCGTAATTGAGGGGCAAAAATATCAGTCCGTTTTGTGTTGGACACAACGGAAAGGCACCTCTCTGCAAAATGTGAGACAGTGTAAGAATATCTGATTTCTGGCAAGCAACTCATCATTCATGATTCATGAGGCAGTCAAGACAACGTTGCTTATAGCAGAGTTCAAGAGCTACCAAATTAAGTCATCAAAACAAACTTCTCTTAGATGCTCATTTCATTTGTCTTTCCTGTGGTTTTATGCTAAAAAAATGAGTTCTTTCTAAAAAGAATAGGTTTATGTTAACATAACTAAAACAATAATAGCACAATCTTCCACAGGCTCTAAGTTATAATTCATCAGTTTCATGCAATAAGGTTATGCCTGAAGCTACAATGTCAAAGGTCCATCTGGAATTCAGGATTTCACTTTTAGCTGTCAAAATGATCCTTCATATCATCTTATGTTGACATCCACCAAAGTAACTGGAGGTATTAAATTTGAACTTAGTATAGAGACTTATCAACAAACAAGTCAAGAATCACTTCAAACAGGTCATAGAAGCCATTAAAATTAATGCAAAAATAATTGGCATTTGCCTGACAAAATTACCTTTGCAAAATCTTCTTCTCGAGAAGGCTTCATCACATAGCCCACTGTCAAGGCCTCTTTACCCATTGCCTGCGACAGTGAAACATTTTGGAAGTTATTGAATGCAACAAATCACATTCAGGGATTATAAATGAGCAAGTATTAGGAAAATGACACGAATTATCTAACTGGTCCGTACTGGTGAAAAAAACAAATTTTACAAAGGCAACATTAAAATGTTTATATGCCCAGATAAATTAGGGTTCGGGATTGAGGGCTGGAAAATGTCAGATGGCTTCTCAAAGCTGAGAGAATCAGCTACTTAGCAAGGTTGCAAGATTTTATGAGTTGCAGTATCCCTTTCAAATACAGATGTAAGAGCACACCGAGAATATCAACAAGCATAATCAATGTAATTAAAAAACTAAGAGTGGAAGTACAAATACTTACAATGATAAAGGTTTTACAAAATGATATAATGCTGAAGAAAACTGAGAATACGAACAATTCTGAACACAGCAATAAGGATACCAAACTCATATCCTACAGGCATTAGCTCTTTAATACTGAATATATCACTCTTCACATGATCCTTTATCCTTATCCTAATCTAACAATTTCATGGTGATTAAACAAGGTAAATCATGGGACTGTGTCCGGTCAGTTTCATGGTTATAGTTATAATGAACAGTCCGTGTCCTAACACATTTGGCATATTTAAACTTCACCCAGGATCACTTGAATTTTAAATATTTGGGTCAAATGATGTAATACGCAGGTTCAAATATATCTCATTTCAAGGACAAAAGGTTAACATATGAAACTAACTTCACTATACCTTACCAGATGCAAAAGTCCGAAAACTACACACGGAAAGGCAAAGGTTATAACATATGGAAAGGGAAAACCCACAAATACCTTTTTATTCAAATTGCAGATTAACAGAGGCAGCTCTTCAAGTTTGTGAATAGATATGCTCGACATCCCAGTTGCAACAACATATTCAAAATCTGTACAGAAGTACAACTCGTTTTAGCAGATAACTAATCTTCTACAGCTTGATGAAGCTAAGATTTACCAAACAGACATCCTTAACAAATAGCATAGAAAAGGACAACGAATTATCTTATGAACAGTGATGAGAAATACAATTATTAGCACAGATTTGGAAGGTAGCAATGCTTACCGTTGGATGGTCTTTTTTCAGCAGACCCTGTAAAAAGATAAAAGATACAAGATATAAGATGGCGTGGCATAACTCTGCAACAAGAGAGATGGTCTAATAAAATAAGGCATTTCTTTGTTTGGCTGTTCCTCTTAAGTCTACCAATTTAAGAATGATATCAACCCTTTATTTCAATTATTGTTGATTATATAATAGCTTATGCTTATTGGTTACCACATCAATTAATTTGCAGCAATCTTTTTATCAGCACAAGACACTTTTACATTGCAGCATTAGCAAGGTAAGAGAGTTCAAAAGTGTTGATTGACTTATCACTATTTTACAAATAGAAAAACCCCCTTACTTCCTAAGGACCGGGTCATGTTTTAATAGAAATAAGAATATTTGTCTTTTTTATTCATGCCTTCTTTAATGAGTTGAGCAACTAGTGCAGCTTACCAACTATAACCTTCAACCAGCCAGAACCATGATAGAGGTCCTCTCTGAAACTAGAAACTACATGAATAAAACATCCTCCATTGTCCTCCCAAACTCGAGAAACCTCACTTGAAATATCATCCTGTAGTGACAAGTAGAAGATAGGGCACGTGTAGGTTTTGGCCGTCTCTTGAAGAAGACACTCCTATAAAAAGTAAAGACAATTTTAGTTTCTTCATTGTTCAATTGGTATTGCAGCGATAGCATTATGAAGAAAAATGATAACCCAATGACGTAAATCCAGTATACCTATTCTACAAGTAACGAATCAATCAACAAGTGAATTGTCCTAAAATTTTAGTTAGAGAACTTATTTGGCTTGAGCAGGTAATATGTCATCATTTTTTTATTTTTTTTTTAAATTTCAACATAATATTAAATTGATAAGAAATTAGTGAAGTGTATAATCGCACACAAAGGAATACTCTGGTCAGAAGTCAAATTTTTACACACATATCACTTGGCCAGCAAAACCCAACAATAAAACTATCAACTGATGTTACGTGCATAGTGAGCTTAATGCATCCATAGAAAGCAGAGACTCCAACTGAAAAAAATGTTTTAATGTTCAAGGGTATAGAAAAGGCAAAACAGGGCTAGAAGTTCAATATAATAGACAAAGATCTGAATACTGAGGGTTGTCAAGCTCCCTACTCTTGCAATCGTTAAACCAATAAAGCTCGAGATAAACAATTTACAAGGATGTTTCGCACGAGTTAACAAATTTATGGAATCTAGATTGACCTTGATTGCACAACATCAGAAAATGACAAATGTGAATTATTAATAGTTGATCTCCCGGCCAAATTATGTGTGGCTGCTGATTTAGCAAACACCATCATAGACTAAGGCATTCATGTTTTCCTAAATGCGTTTCACAATTTAAGATCTACTCTTTTTGAATAACTATATATTCTTTATATTGCATCGCTTATAATCAAGTTTTTTACCACATAAAAGAGCATAAAGAAACTAGACTGCTGTTGTCCTTGAGGTTGGACCATTAGCAACTGATTTGCAAACTACGCTACAACTCCAAATTCCTATATAGCGTATGAACTTCAACACATCCGAACATATAGCATCTATTTCTGAACAATATACTTTAAATGGCTAGACATTTTTCTGGTCTGGCAAAGAAATGCAGACTAAACCTGGACAAATTAGATCGAAAACATAAGTTATTGCGTTTTTGCCATTCTGCTCTACAAGTTAAGCTTTACAAAGTGAAAAGTGTTCCTCAGATATGGGAAAATGCAAACTTAAACTGACGCTTGAATATACTGGGAATGCTTAGGAAACTCAACACTGCTTGACAGATTATCTATCTGATCATAAATTAAACTCAGCATAAATGATCCCCTTTGAGTTAGTATAAGATAAACGAACGGCACAGAAAAAAAGGGGGAAAAAAAAAAAGGAACCTCACATTTGGACTTGAAAGATCCTGTTCGTGAGATATACCCTGCAAAATTTGTAGATAACTTGGGCCATCAAAACTACGTATATTATAAATTTCAAAAAAAAAACTATGTCTATTAAAAGATAAATAAAAAGTGCTTACAAAGGATATTAGCCCTCCTAATAAAACATAAGAGCACAATTGTGATTTTTTTTACTGCACATCCCATAAATTCAACCATAATCTATATGTCCAAACTGATTCTTCACCTTGTTATGCAAAGAACTAATAACTAAAAACTAAAATTGCCCTACAGTGCCGTAAACTTCGTCAACTCAGATTCATTCAGGGACATCACTAACTATTCGGAGATCTTACAAATTTGGGGATTACACCTCACTTTTACCTAATAATTTATTTATTTCCAGACAAAAAGAAACAAAGGTATGATGAATGATAAACAGTACATAGCATGATTAATTCAAGATATCTATTAAAAAGAAAAGAAAAAAATAACTAACAGATCAAATTTTCTGAACGAAGGATCAGCTCCTAGAGGCATGTGATTGGGGTTTCAAAATTCAAAATTCTCATTTACATAGTCAAACAAATTTTACATTCGAAACAACCAATTTGACGCATTCAAAATGAACATTAACTGCATAATAATAGCGATTTCGGATTTAAATAAATTTGGGGGAAAAAAATGTTACCGTTGGGATTTTGGAGTAGAGTAGCTTGCGGAGCAGAAAATCGGCGCCGGAGCGGAGGACGGCATCTCCACTTACATCATCGCCGGCGGAGGGCAATAGTACGGAGGAGTCCAGCAGAATCCCTCTCACTCCACCCATATTTCTTCCTCTATGTTCGCTGTGTGTGTGAGTTTTTGCGGTGCAAAATGTGTGTGCATGCAGAGCTTTTTGTTCACAGCAGAGCATAAGAATGCGTACTTCTGAGGCAGCGAATTTCCGATCCTCGGAGAAGGTGGAAAATAAAGTCCGGTTATTTAATTTTGAGTAAATAGCACTTTAACCCCTCTGTGTTTTGAACTTTGCACACATGACCCTTGTACTTTCAATATAATTACATGACTCCCTCTAGTTTGAATTTTGTGCACATGACTTCCTTGTATTTTCAATATAAGCACATAGCCACTAGGTATTCCACTTAGTAAATAATCATGCTCATTAGAAGAAGAATTTTTTTAAAGTAGAAGAGGATTATATGTTTATATTAAAATGCAAACGGGTTATCTGCTATATTGAAAATATAACAGCGTTATGCACACAAAGTTCAAACATCAGGGAGGTTAAGTGTTATTTACTCTTTAAAAACATAGATTACATACATGGCAGTGTTAAATCATGCACTAAAGTTTACCGAATCATACTCATAAATTAAAAAGTTTTTCTCTCTAACGTTATAAAATTATTTCTCTATCACTTCTTCCCCTTAGGGCATTCTCTCAAAACCACTCAAGAGCAAACACGAATTAGCCATATTCGTACCAAATTTATGATTCCAAGAATTCTCTTCAACATCTATTAAATTTTTTTTTTAAATAACTTTTAAAATATTTAGTATTGTTTATTAAATATCCCTACAATATTTATTAAAAAAATTAAAACAATAATTTTGATATTAAGTATTTTTAATATTAAAAAATTGAAACAATAATTAACATTCATTTAACATCATTAAATAATTATTAACATTACTTAAACAAATAATTAAAAAAAATTATAAAAAAATAAAAACCTAACCCACCACATCCAACCCCGCCGCCCAATTAACTATTAACACTACTTAAACAAATAATTAAAAAAAATTATAAAAAAAAAAAGAATCTAACCCACACATCCACTTTGCACCGTTGAAATATATCATTTTGGCACTTTGCACCCTCAAAATAAATTAATAGCACTTTGCACCATCGAAACACAATATATCATGCATAATACACCTCATGTGGTTTCTAAATCTAACAAAGATAATTTAATATTATTAGTGGTATTTAAAAATTATATTTTTATCACAAAAAAGTATTTTACGAAAAAAAAAATCCTTCAACTATTTCGTTATCAAGTTATCTGAAAATCATATTTTCTTCCAAATATTATACCTAACATTTCCATTTCCCACCAATTAGAGTAGAAGATTTATCAATCGAATAATTTTGTGATAAAAGTTTATTTAATTTTATTTTGTAAGAAAAATATAACATTTTTCAATTATCCGGTGTGATTTTTAGTTAAGCCCAAGTCAAGGCTAAGTAGAACGAAATTGAGTCGCGCACATTATTATTCATAAACAAAATCCACGGACTCAACATAGCATGTCGCGGTTCATGTTTTGAAGCTCAAGCAAAATTACGAACCACACCCACACACACACACACACACACACACATATATATATATATATATATATATATATATATATATATATATATATATATATTATTACTATTACTAAAAAAAGATAGAATTATTTTTTAGTTACTGAATAACTAAATAGTAAATGGTCTATAATAATAAACATTACTAGTATTTAAATAGAAACAAAGCTATACTACTTAGATAATGCATAATAATATAAAATATTATAATAATAATATAAAAAGAAAATAAAAATTAAAAAATATATAACTATTGTATATTATTTATTTTATAAATTTTTTCATTATAAAATAAAAAAAATTATTGAAAAAATTAATAATAAAAAAAAACTCAAAATGAGTTCGAGCTCGACAAAGACGAAGAGAGGCCAATTAAGGCAATAGTAGTTGATTGTAGAAGATCTTCTAGAATCCTTCTATTAATATAGAGATCATTAGAGGATCTTCATTTGTATATATTTAATAGAAGATCGTATAACTTAATCATAGCATTTAGATCAAGATGATCACCAAGAGGTGGAGTTTTATAAATAGGAGTAGACTTATTCATTTGTAATTCACTATAAATGAATATATCTAGCAAAGTGTAATTTAATTTTGTATGGTAAGTTTCATTTGATTATTCATAGGTATCAAATTTATAAAACCATGTATATGTAAAATTTCATATGGTAAGTTTTCATGTCTAACATGCAAACAATTAACCTAAATGTATCTAATATGCTTATTTGACTATGTAGAATATGAAATTATAATTGCTTATTAATACTTATATGTTAGTCTAATGTGCCTCAAATTTAGCTGAGTCAACTGACGCATATGACAAGCTTTGGCCATTCAAGATTGTTAGTGGGGCCGACGGGCCAATATTTTACGAGGATATTAATTATATGGTTCCTGCGGCGGAGGATTGGATTGATCGGGTCTTGGTGAAGAGGACGGTGGCGGAATATTCTTCTTCCAACGACGACGAAGACGGCGGTTTCGGGACATGTACGGTTTGCTTGGAGGGATTTTCCAACGAAGCTTATTCGATGCCGTGCGGGCATTATTTTCACGGAGATTGCATCCGGGAGTGGCTGAGGACTAGCCACACCTGCCCCGTTTGCCGTTACGAGGTTCCGACGATAACGACAACGACGATAGAGATTTTGTATTGATTTATTCTTTTTTTTTTGGTTTGGAGATTTGTTGTTTGTTTAGTATTCTAACTCTTTATTAGACAATAGACAACCAACAGTTGGAATTTGTGCTATTGTTTGGAAAGGGTAGGTTGTTAATAAAATGATACAAAAATACATAAAACATATACCCACACATCCACAATATGTGTAGATCAACTGTAAGAAATCACTTGGTGTAGTCTTCACCGAGTGTAGTATAGAAATAACCCATTTTTGTCAAATTAATCCTTACATACCAATTAATAAATTCGAGATTTCAATAAATATTTTCTATAAACACCAAAGTACCCTTTTATGAAATTTTGAATTTTAGCTTTTCTATATGTCAAAACCATTTCTTTTGATTGGTTGATTAACTCCACTATTTTTTTTATATTGATGGATAAGCTAAAATATCAATCCTTATTTTTGGAATATTCAGAACTAATATGGATCAGAAATCGGAACTTCAAAAATCGAAATGAGAAAATAGGACTCTATATTCAAATAATTTTGGATCGGAAGAATTCTACATATAACTCCATGGAGAAGGACGAACTTATAAGTTATATGCACTTCTATCCAGACCAAAATTAGTCCTACAAAAAAGTCCATCACCTTGTTTCTTACCCAAAATGCCCTCACAATATAATTTACATCAATACCATCTAGGGGTGGATTCAGTACGGTTGCCAAACATTTGGTTCAATACCGTGTACCTACCGTACATTGCGGTATTGAAAATTTTCATACCATTACCGTACCAAAAAGTTCAGTATACCAATGTTCGGTATACCGTTATTTTCGTTACGGTACAATAGGTACGTGGTACTCTACCGTACTTATGTATACAAATCACAATTGCAAATAGTTCTAGTTACTCGTGTGTCTTATTTTCTAATAAGGTCCGGTGTATAATCGAGAATAATTAACATAATTTGACACAATTTCCTTTATTGAAACGAGAACACATACCAAAGTAATGTAAGTGTGATTTAATAGAACAACTAGGTATTTATTAGAAACTTGATTGTACTTGATTACATACAATAAATACGTTACCAATGCTATACATACATGTAGGTAAAAAAAATATTCATACATCAAATATAATATAAGGGGTTCTTTGACATAACCCCCACATTACTTTTTTTAATGGGGATATGCCCAAAATATTTTAGACCATTTGAGAAAAGCTCAGTTCCAATTTCAGCTATTATGTTTTCCAGCTTTACCCCGCCCGCCACCTCATTACTGGGTCACGCGCTCCGCGAATTTTTTTAATTTTTTTTCCGTTTTTTTAATCGACTATGAAGCATAGTCGATTAGTCCTAAATCGAATGTGCTTCATAGACGATTAAGGAAATTCTTTATTTTTAAATTTTTTTTTTGTTCTTTAATTTTTTTTTATATCAGGTTTATTAATTGACTATGATGAAGCATAGTCGATCAAAAGTCTGCTACTAAAAATAACAAATCAAAACTGCAAAAAAATGCAAAATCAACTATATTTTACAAAAAAATAAAAATATAAGAACATTATAATTGATTTATACAATTGGAATCAATAAACAAAAAAACCAAAAAAAAAAAGAAGATTGGAGTCGATCAAACTTAATCGATACCAGCGCAGAGTCGATTAAGAATCTGCTACTAAAAATAACAAATCACAACTGCGAAAAAATGCAAAATCACCTATATATTACAAAAACAAAAAATATACAAACATTATAATTGATTTATACAATTGGAATCAATAAACGAAAAATCCAAAAAAACTAAAAAAAAAAATTGGAGTCGATCAACCTTAATTAATCGACTACCAGAACATAGTCGATTAGCTTAATCGACTATGAATATGTACATAGTCGATTAAGGTTTCAACCTGCGCGAAATTCTCTACACGCGCCGTTATCCGCTCAATCCAACAAAAAACCTTAAATCTGCCTCCCCATCGTCACCACACCGCTGCCACAATACACTATTCAACCAATCCCTAACAAGAATAAAATCAATAAATTAAATAATTCATACAAAAAAACACAAATTAACATTTCAATGTCCAAAAAAAAAGAAAAAAAAAAAACAGAAACGATTCAGTCATCATCTTCAACGTCGTCGGTGGAAACCACCGCCGCGAACTACAGATCCATCACCACCCTTCACGCGGCGGCGAAAGGCGGTGACAAACACTCTCCACCGCCACCACCACCATCGGTCGATGTCTTGCTTTTCTTCCGAATTTCAGTCGAGAAAAGAAGAGAGAAGAGAGAAGACGAAAAAAGAAGAAGAGAGAACGGCAGAAGACGAGAAGACGAGGAAAAAAAAAAACAGAGTGAACGGCAATGGGTTAAGGGTAATAACTAATAAGGGTGGTTTGGGAATTATTAAATAATATTTGGGTAGGATATTAGGTAAGGGGGTTTTGTCTAATTATTTTTAGGAGGGGGTGTTTTCTTAACTCATTTTCCTAGATGAGGGGGTTCTTGCTAATTATCCCATAATATAATTAGTTGGCAATGGGGAACATAAAAGACCATTTAACAGAACATATATGTTCAATTACAAAATTCCACTTGGTATTGAAAAAACAAAAACAAATACACTACCATTAACTTAAGGTAAAAATAATTATTGCCATTTATATAAGGTTCTATGTAGAAAAATAAGAATTACAAAACATAATATCGGAAAAAATGTCTTAATCGGATTATAGAATGTAAATTGCGGTACGGACAGTATTACCATGGTATTAGAAACACAATACCACTACCGTACCATACTTTAATGGTACGGAACTAGTACCGTACTGTAGACAATGGTAACCGTTATTTCGGTAATTCTTGTTTGATATACCATGGTATATGGTAATTGGTTTTTTTTTCCAGCCCTAATTATTACCATCCATAATACTCTAACTTAACAAATAATTCACATTGAACCCATAATTTAACAAATATATCACATTAACCCCGTATTTACAAGTTTTTGAAAATATATATATATATATTTTTTCTGATTTCACCACCATTTGAAAAGGTCGTTCATTTCTTCTCTTCTGTTTGATCGTAGAAAGTGCGAAATCACCCCATTGAAATTCGAACCTACTGTAGAAATCGCAAGGTTAAATTCACCGATCCGGAATCCAATGCTGAGTTCGTCCATTCGCGTTTTTGACTGAATTATTGTTTAATTGTTCCTTAATTTTTTCAGATTTTTTAATCACGAAACAATGGCGACAGCCGGCAAGCAGAATGCTCTGGATTACATCAACCAGATGTTTCCCACAGGTTATGATTTACTCATACATTGTTGTGCCTGAGTCCGTCGGTTGATATCGATTCGAATTTATCGATTTTTTTTATATTAACGTTGTGTACTCATTACTCAGTAGGATTTTTTTTTAATTTTTTAATTTTTTTTTTATTGTTACTGAATCCAGCCCAGCAGACTTTGGTTTATGATTATAAAATTAAGAGTTTCATTTTCTTTTCGGTTTGAAAATTCGGATAGCGGCATAGTTTCACGTAAATTGGGGCGAATTTAGTGTGCCTAATAAGGTTGTGATTTGTGAACGAATTGAAATAGAATGATCTCTGGTCGAATATTCTCTAATGCGTGCTTCGAGAATTTGTCTTGGTATTATGCATGAAATCATTTCTTGAAACTTAGGGGTTGTTTTAATTTATATTTGGAAGAAGAAGAAAAAAATGTTTAATTAACAATGTGGATGATGGTTACATGCAGAGGCATCTCTATCCGGTGTCGAGCCCCTTATGCAGAAAATACATAGTGAAATTCGTAAAGTGGACGCAGAGATTTTAACAGCTGTCCGTCAGCAGGTTGGAGTTTATGCTTGCTAGTTTTTCTATGGGTTTAAATATTAAAACTAATGTTTTATCGTGTTGGTGCTTCATATGATCAATAACAGTTGTACGGTGATCGTATTTTTGTTTGTTCATTTACCACCTTTAATTGGTTAAGTGTCATGCAATGTTTTTAAATACATCAAGAAAAATGCTGGTTGAAATAGGATGTCGAAATTCTGTTAAATCCTTCTTCTTTAGTATGTCTGGTTACCGTTATTATTTTGTAGATAGGATGAATGATTGTGTTTAGTCTGAATTTTCATGTCTTTTGATACTTGGCAATCTTTTCCTCTTAGTGACTTGTTCGCCTTATCTCTTTCAAAGAGTAATTCAGGAACGAAGGCCCGGGAGGATCTTGCTGCAGCTACTCATGCAGTTCAGGTTCGCTTATTCATTTTACAATTCTTTTTTTTTTCTTTCTGAGGACTTTGGTGGTTTCCTTGCATATATGTCTTTATCTTCCTGTGATTTTCGTTGTCATTTTCTCCAACAACTTTAGATTCTGAATTGCTCTTTTTAAGTTAATCCATTTTATCATTTGAACCAGGAACTCATTTTTAAAATTCAAGCAATAAAAACCAAAGCAGAGCAAAGTGAAACAATGGTTCAGGAAATATGCCGTGATATTAAGAAACTGGATTTTGCAAAGAAGCATATAACTACAACAATTACTGCTCTTCATCGTCTTACCATGCTAGGTTAGCGGTCTTACTCTCGATTATCTTGTAATAGAGTTTACCTGTTCTATTTAGGTTTGTAAGCCTTACTGTTTTTGCGATAACTTTAGCTTGCCTATTAACTTCGGTAATTGAGAAGTTGCTGTTCAATTCCACACAATAAAGAATTTTGTTGAATGGTTTGCTAATTCAGTTTTGTTTGTTCCTTTTCTTTTTGCCAACCTTTTGTCTTCTTGGTATCTTTGGCTGATCGACGTAACTCTAGAAAATCCATGAAAACCTAGTCAGGTAGTCCTTCTTGAAGTCCTTTGTGTTAGCATTATATTTTACAGACGATATGTTTAAAGTAACATCAGTTTTTTCATGAACATTTTTTTTCTTTTGAGAAATCAAGCATGCCTTAACTTATTGAAACAATATATTAAATATTATGTGCTTAATGATATTCATCTGATTTAGGAAAAAGAGATAATGTTATCCTTCTTTTGTATCACAGTCTCTGCTGTAGAACAACTCCAAGTTATGGCTTCTAAAAGACAATATAAGGAGGCAGCTGCACAGCTTGAGGTAATAAATAACTGCGTAGAGTGGCTTGCATCCCATTTTATATTCTAGTTATAATTTACTTGCTTATTTTATCACTATTTTAACATTAATTTAAGGCCTTAATCAAGCCCTTAATATTTTGAATTAAAAGCATATTTGTCTGTGAATTTGTTCTTAATTTATACCACTATGTCCAATCTTCTTTAAACTATTGCAGCTTCTCTCCTAGGTAGTGTATTTCAGGTGGAGAATGGAGGGTAAACCATGTGTATTTATATCTCTGAACATGTGTAAAACTAAATGTATATTTCCGTACGTAAACCGAAATTGTATATAAATCATGTGGCTGATTAGCAAGTGAAACATAAATTTTATCATATGCGTGTGAAAACATGAATCATTTGCATTATTATACTGCTTGTTATCCCCAAACTAATGTGCTCTATATATTTGAACTTCATTGCTTATTCTTATTATTTTAATCAAGTTGTTTATATCGTTGCCAGATTAACGGTTAACCTTAAAGCATTCAAGTGGTATTTTATTTCTAGCCCGCTGTTAAATGCAATTTACTCTATTTAAGCATATCATGTTGGAATGTTTATTTCATTCTGTGATGTAAGTTTAGACTTCATACGAGTATGTCTTCCTGGATTATGTTTATTTTCAACTGGCTTGCATCATAGTTTACACTTATAAATCAATTATATTTTTAAACTTTTGTTTAATATGCTATTAGTGAATCTTATCACTTCCATTTTTCCCTCTTTATGTAGTTGTACATTCATGTGGCTAATTGAAAACTGGAACCTTTTTCAGTGTTTTTGGTTGCTATTTGTTTATTTATGAATATTCTTTTCAGTGATAATATGGATTTTTCATACATTTCAGGCTGTCAACCAATTATGCAGCCATTTTGAAGCTTATAGAGATATTCCGAAAATTACAGAGCTTAAGGACAAGTTTAAGAGCATCAAAACAATTCTAAAGTCACATGTATTTTCAGATTTCTCTAGGTGTGTAAAGTGCTCTTTCTATACCATTGCTTCAAATACCGAAAGGCTGTTTTCTACTCATCTTGAAATTGTTTGGTTGCTTCTATATACTAGTCTGTTGTTTAAGTACCAGAATAGCTGTCTAGATCTGTTGACGTATTGTTCTTAAGTTCTGACATTCTTTTTCAACAAGTATTTTATTTTGTAATTGAGAAGATTGTTGAAAGATGTGAAATACGAGACCTTTATACATACCATAATAACCGTATAGCGTCGAGTGAATTTATACACCCGGTCATGATTCTTACTCTATCTTGTTATGGATGAGTTCCTGATGTTGGGCTTTAATTTTCCGTTTCATACTTTTCTGTCTGGTTCATACTGTATTTCTATCTTTTTTCTCACTTCTCTACTTTCTTATTACATTTTCCTAGGTTGTTCTGTAAAGCTTCTTTAGATTTCTATGTTTAAATGACCCGGTTATAAGCTCGTACGTGGGTAGAACTTCTTTTAATGGGATATGTGCATTGTCCATCATGTTTCATCTTACTTTTACCCTTCATTTATCGATTTTCTGTTAAATTTCCTGCCATCTCTTCTTTGTCCACAGCTTAGGTTCAGGGAAAGAGACAGAAGATACTACTTTACTGCATCAGCTATCAGATGCATGCCTAGTTGTTGATGCTTTGGAGCCATCAGTCAGGGAAGAGTTAGTAAAGATTTTTTGCAGCAGGGAGCTTACATCGTATCAACAAATTTTTGAGGGAGCTGGTATGTCTAATATATTGACTATTGCGTCTGGTAATTAATGTTGTTCTAACTCGACTTTGACGACCAAGATTTTGAATTTTTGTTATATTCTATTCTCAACAGAATTAGCAAAGCTGGATAAAGCAGAAAGAAGGTATGCTTGGATCAAGCGTCGATTACGGACCAATGAAGAGATTTGGAAAATTTTCCCACCTCAATGGCATGTTTCATATCTGCTCTGCATCCAGTTCTGTAAGTTGACAAGGTTGGTGATTTACTTCTGGCTGAGTGTAAAGCTTAAAATTTTGATTCTTATTATTTAGGCGATTCTTTGATCATTGTGATAGTATTTAGTCAAATAATTGTACATGAGAATTTATTTAACTTTTGTTTACTGTATCAGCCATCATAGACTTATAGCTTTGTGGTTACTGCCGGAAATATTGTTAGTAGTAAATGTTATATATTTATGAGATGTAAAATAGAAATTTAACCATGATCTGCATTAATGAGAAATGCTGCAAAATGTTTTGAAAGATTTCCATAATACCATGATATAGTAACGTGTGTTTATCTTGTCTGTATTCTTCAGGGCACAACTTGTGGAAATCCTTAACAATCTTAATGAAAAGCCAGATGTCGGAACATTATTGCTGGTAAACTCTCTTTGAGGTTTAACAGTTTCTAAATGTGTCTTTGCATGTTTTGCAATTTGGAGCAAAAATCAAGTAATCAACTAATTTTAGGTTAAAGGAACCTTTTTCCAGTATCTTTTATGATAGCTTTGCTTGTGACCATTTTTTTACCTTTGCGATCCTCCTAAAATTGATGGGATGGTTCAGGCATTGCAACGGACTCTGGAATTCGAGGAAGAATTAGCAGAAAAATTTGGCGATGGAAGTCGTGGCAGAGAATCAGGAAGCGATATTGGGGAAAATAACATGGGAAATAGCAAGCAGACTATTTTGGACATTCGAAAGAAGTACGAGAAGAAGCTTGCAGCACACAATGGAAACGAGAATGAGGTATGCATATGATTGTATAGTTACTATAGTTAGTCAATGCACAGATTTGTCCAAGTTAGTTATATTGGCTGCATCTTATTTCTGGCTAACTGAGATATTTCTTTTCCTTGTCAGGATCAAGACGGCAACAAAGATTTGTCAGTGCCTGGGGCTGGGGTAAGTTCCTTTATCTGTATATTTTGGCAGCAACTTATGCATGGCATCACCTTTATTAGTAATTCTACTATGACGTTTTTTCTTTTGTTCTCTCCACATTTTCAATACAAAAATTATGTTCTGTTGCACTAGATAATTCAGCGGGCTGCAGAGCATGTTTTCCTCATTTGAAATGAGTCAGATTCTCAACTGATATTTATGCAAAACTTTATGTGCAGCAAATTAAAATACTCCGCTTTTAGAACTTTTGATTTTTCTTCATCTTTCCTAGTTAATATAAACATTGATTGTTTAAATAGGCGACTGAACAATGTGGTTAAACATTCATTGCATAATTGATGCTCTGAGTAATCGTAATTGGAAAATGGTTTGAACCAAAAATGTCATTTACTTTTACAGCTTTATTATATCTCTTATTTCTACCTCGGTTCCGATGTATATTGACTGCTTTGGTTTGATTTATGTGCCAGTTCAACTTTCGAGGGATCATATCATCATGCTTTGAACCTTACTTGATGGTATACGTGGAATTGGAAGAGAAGACCCTGATGGAGCATCTGGACAAAATTGTCCAGGTTTGTGGCTTTGCTACGACTTTTCGGCACTATGTAAGTGGTTGAAAAATCTCCGGCGCTAATATGCATTTATATCTTACGATGCAGGAAGAGACATGGGATATTGAAGAAGGGAGTCAAACTAATATTTTATCTAGCAGCATGCAGGTAACAAATGAAACACATTGCGTTTTATATACCGTGTGATAGATATTGTGTGGATGCATATGCTTAATAATATATCTTATTGTTGTGTTTTTATGGAGTGTATATTACCGTAAGTACATTAATACATGAAGCAGCTATGCAACATTTTGGAAGTAATACTTTTTGTAGCAGTTGATCTTTTTTACCATATATTTTACATCTTCATTGACTTGGTGAAAATATTGCTTGTCATTTTATGAAGGTCTTTTTAATTATTCGGAGGAGCTTAAAGAGATGCAGTGCTTTGACAAAAAATCAGACACTCTATAATTTGTTCAAGGTGCGGTTTTCCATTTCCATTCGTAGTTGCTCGGCCTGGATCAGATATTTTACTTCTATTAGGATACTTGTACTGGTTTTCATTTTAGTAACATACTTTTTTTTTATTTTAATGAACCAGGCCGAAAAGCCCTGTGCATTAGATAGGCACCTTTATAATGTTCATGCTTGATTGATTGACTTCAAAATTTATATGAACTTCTTACATTCTTAACATTGTCGATTTGAAGTGCAATGCATATATGTCTAGGCACTGTATGATTCTTCATGTATTGTAGAAAACAGACTCTAGATTGCATTTTTCGACCCACTTTATATGTTCTAATTTGATTATCTATAGAAAGGTTTTCCATCTGCTGAGCTGCATTTTACGTTTTCTAAAATCCCGTAATAGGTATTCCAAAGAATTCTTAAAGCATATGCGACAAAGCTTTATGCTAGACTGCCAAAGAGTGGGACGGGAATCGTAGCAGCAGCCACAGGAATGGATGGTCAAATAAAGGTATCCATTTCTTGCTTCCTTTTTTTATGTTGTTAGGCAATTTTTTAAAATTTATTTTTAGTTTTTCCACTAACTGGCTATTTTATACAGACATCTGACAGAGACGAACGTGTGATCTGTTATATTGTCAACACAGCTGAATATTGCCACACGACGGTTGGTTTTCTAAGATGATTAATTATCTGCTATGATCAAATAAAATTTCAGTCTTGTAAAAACGGCACGACATCTTAAATTACTGTGATCTTCGAAAGATGTATGTCTGATACTACAAAATTTCTCTTCCAAATGACAAGATTGTCGCAAATTGGTGAATTGTCTTTTGCAGCCAAAAAATTGCATCCTCCGTTAAGTAATCATATATCTTTATCCAACATCAAATGACTCTAATAGTTATCTGCCATATGACTCCAATAAACTTTCATATATAAACTAAATAAACACGAGATGATGTCATAACTAATCCAGTTCTTGTATCCTTCATTGTTTATCCTTTTTTTTTTCTTTCGACTGTCTATTTTATTCTAACTCCCTTTCTATGTCTTCAGTCAGGTGAATTGGCTGAAAATGTGAGTAAAATAGTCGAACCCCAGTTTGCAGAGAGCACAGATATGTCCGAAGTACAGGTAGAAATTCTCACCCACCCAACCTCCAATTTTGTTGACATGCATTATGTAACTTTGCTGCATTGTTCAGGATGAGTTCTCAGCTGTTATAACAAAAGCATTGATAACTCTTGTGCACGGTATAGAAACTAAGTTTGATGTTGAAATGGCTGCAATGGCACGCGTTCCTTGGGGTACACTTGAAAGTGTTGGTGACCAATCGGAGTAAGATGACTTAATATGAATCGGAATATGTTAACCACTGAACATCCTATTCCTTTTTTTTTTTTTGACTTTATGGATATTCCTGCAGGTATGTGAATGGCATAAATACAATTTTCACTGCTAGCATTCCTGTACTCGGACGCCTTCTCTCTCCTATATATTTCCAATTCTTTCTTGATAAGGTGAATATGCATGTATTTCCACTTCTCATATGTTCAGTCTGAGTTTAATTGTCGAGAAATAACCACGGTAAAATGATAAGAATGGCTAATAATTAAGTGGAGAGTAAACCAAGTAAGAAAATGGACAACCGCATGTGCTGATAGTTGTACTTTTAGCAAAACAATACTATCTGCAAAAGACATAACCATGACGAGAAATTCTTTGCTTTTGTGAACTTATTCTGTACTTTGTCTTTGATTCGATGCTCATACTTATATTAACTTTTGCAGCTGGCGTCAAATCTCGGTCCACGTTTTTACCTCAATATATTCAAATGCAAGCAGATATCGGAAACAGGAGCACAACAAGTATTGATACTGTTATACTCTTTCTGTGTCTTAAAAAAAAATTGTTACCCTTAATTTGACCCTATAGTATTGCAATTAAATCAGAAGACCCTATGGATATATAGTTGTTCAAATATATAAAAATACATTTACATATATTATTTGTGTAAGTCATACATTATACTTGTCGTGCAATTTGCAGATGTTGTTGGATACACAAGCTGTAAAAACGATTCTTCTGGATATCCCCTCCCTCGGAAAGCAGGTAAGCTAACAATTTATAGGGAGTAAACTAACTTCGGTCTCGGATTATGATTATTATACTACATTTATTGCTTTGAACAGAAATCTGCAGCTGCTGGCTACTCAAAATTTGTAACTCGTGAAATGAGCAAAGCTGAAGCACTGCTGAAGGTCTGATCTAAATTTTGCACTGAACTCTTTTCCACCCCGTCAAAATGTGTTTATATACCTTTACCTGAAAACGCGTCCCCATTTCTTGTTAAACAGGTCATTTTGTCCGCAGTTGACTCTGTCGCAGATACATATTGTGCTCTGCTGCCTGAGGGTACCCTTTCAGAGTTCCAGCGAATTCTGGACCTCAAGGTGACATAATCGTAATATTGAATTTGTTATTTTGCCACTGGATCAGAAATTCATTCTTTAGAATATATACACGATATATATATATATATATATATATATATATATATATATATATATATATATATATTGCTTAATTTAGAATATTATTAGAGTCTAGTAGAGGCCCTGAGTTATTATTGGTTATAATGCATACATGATATATGAATGTAAAAGTTTTACGTTTCGGTTTCTTAATCAACAATAATATGAGAGTCTACTGTGACATTTCTATACGATTTTCTATCTGGAAAACGAAAATTATCTGCTATTTATTTCACTTTATCATTCTTTTGCAGGGCCTGAAGAGGACTGAACAACAAAGCATACTAGACGATTACAACAAACGTGGAGCTGGGACCTACCAACCAGCTACGGTTACGAAGCCAACCACCCCAACTACAGTCAGCGCACCTGTGGTTACTAATCAAGCTAATAATCCTGGAATTATTCCATTGAAGGAAGAAATTGTGGCAAGAGCAGCTGCACTTGGGAGAGGTGCCGCCACAACTGGGATTCGGAGATTTCTTGCCTTGACTGAGTCAACTACCAGAGATAGAAAGGACGGTAGTTTCCGGAAGCTTTTCACTGGATGAAATGTGCCGTTGAATCGTTTTTTTTCTTTCCCGGCATCGGTTTCGTCCCATTTTTTGTCGACGGTTCAGATTTGTCAATACGTCTGATCGTTTCGCAACTCTGCCAACTCCAGCACCAGCTCAACCAAAACTGCCGGTATAGAAAACTTTCTTGTATCTGTTCTTAGTGTAGATTTTCGGGGGTGGGTTTAGTAAATTTTGTATCGGTAAGTGCAAGTAAGGAATATATTTATGTTTAGGTTGGAATAATTTGGTGGAAGCATCACTATAGTCGATGAAAATTTTGCTTCATCAGAAGCTTTTGAAAGCTTCTTCTAACGCTTGATGCAATAGTTCAGTTATATTTTTCTTCTTTTATCAAGCAAAAAAAATTAAGTTATACTTTATCATTGAATTTCGGTAGTGATTTTTTCTCTTTTTTTTTTTTTTACCAAAGTAAATGTGAATTATTTTTCAATATCCCATTGAAGGTCGAGTCTTTAAGCTGGCTTATCCGCAGCCGGCTGCTTTAAATTTAACAAATAAGTTATAAGAGGGGCTACTTCATAATTTACCCAAACGAAAAAGAACAACCTCGAGTCTAAAACCGTAAAGCATGTAAAGTAAAGCCTTGGAATGTCCATTTAACACAGGCTCCTGTACAATACATAATTAAATTTAAAGTGTGAAGGCCAATTAGGAAGTACATGCAACCACAATTTTTGCAACATGAGTCAATAGAAAATAACCGAAGAATTTAAAGCTCCAATAAACCGGCATTTCGAGCTCGAACAGACAGCCACCACTTTACAATTATAAAGAGAAAAAAACATTAAAAATCAAGTAATTTAAGTTAAATTAGTGCAGACTCTTTACGAACAAATGAAGTTAAGAGCTGCGAAAACGATTATGATACCGAAGGGACCAACAATAAGCATGTGCACCCAGTCTATCCCCAACAAAATGGTTGCTGGAGGGTGGAAGACTTCGAATATCCAAATATTGCTCTGTCAATGATTTTAGGTCACTCTCAAAAAGACGACAGATGAGAGCTATTTTCACCCCGTGTATTTGATTGCCCCTTCCTAAACCATACAACTTTCAGGAGTTTGAACCCAAACGAAGATGAAGAATCTCAGCACTTGATCCATACAGAGGAAGCACCAACTTTCCGTATAGCAAAAGATGGCTCCAGTCTCGGTTATATAAATGATATGAACCAAAAAATACAACTATAGCAGCAGCACTCTCCATATCTTTCTCATATACACAACCAATGACCACAACGAAAGCCATGCTGAAAAGTAGAGCAACACTACCCCAGAAGAAACAAGAATTTCTGCCCCTGCAAGACTGGAGAGAGAGAGAGAGAGAGAGAGAGAGAGAGAGAGAGAGAGAGAGTTATAGATGCCTTTTCCAGAACCTCAAAATACTGAAATTCTATTAGAGAGAAAAAAAAAAAAAAACCTTCCATCTCTGGCAGCCAAAAGGGCAGTCAAAGCACACATTTGTGTCGCAGTTTTCCATTTCCCCAAGTTATTAACTGCAACGGCCTGAGAGGGAAGGGGGGATGGCATTTTAATGAATTAGCTGAGGAAGCAACAAAATGTATTTCTAATATCAAGTTAAATGTGCTTGGGATTTAAACCTCTAAGAGCTTTCTGTTGCGAGAAGCAGCCCATTCCCTGACTGCAGACATGGTTATCTACAAGTTTGAAGAAGGACATGTAAATGCATGTACAAAATTACATTAAACAAAAAAAAAACAAGCAATCTTCAACAGTGTTAGTCATTCAAGGAAGCACGGAAACAGTTTTCAACCAACACATCTCGAGCTTTAAAAAGAAAAAAAGGATAGGCAGAACAATTTCAAACATAATTAAAAGGAAAGCACCAACATTGACCTGAGTGTCAATAACTTAGAAAAGGTCTTAGTGTTCTACCATTGAAACTGTCATTCTTGATATAAAGGTACAATAGAAGTTTCTAATGTAACACCTGGTTAGTAAGTATTTGTTAATAGTTATAAAATTCATAAACAATTTTTAAACGAGAAGTCTTGAGTACACTATTATACAATTCCTTATAAAGAGCTAGGAGCAATTCTATGCATTCCCAAAAGTACCTTTTCCTTTATTGACATTCTCTTCAATAGAAAATTTTCACAATATCTAGTTGTGTTCCATAACTATACTCAAAAAAATGGAGTTCATATTTAAAATTCCTGACAACCAATTCCATGCATTCTAAAAAGTAGCCCTTCCATTTATAGCCTCTCTATCAGGCTCTTTGGTAGGAAGACTGAAGTATTGGCATCAAGCTTTCTTAGTATTATATGTTGTATTTTAACGTTAAAAAAAAAAAGACGAAATATATTTATGACAATATGAAAATTAGATAATGTACAAATGTTGACGTGTATTGGCCCTGTTTTGTCTGGGAAAGAAGGAATTGGGTCACTGCGAGTGATGAAACGTGTAGCCGAACTATTTGTGGCGAATTAAATCGATTATCAAATATAGCCTTGGAACTATACCTCTCTACTAATTATGGCAATTGCAGGCACAGTCAATAGCCATGGTGCTTGTCCAAACATGCCAGCTTCAAAGGGTTTGGTACACAATAAGATCAAGGTGGCAGCTACCATGAGCTGCATCAATACCAAAAAAAGAAAAAGGAAAAAGCTTTGTCAAGATTAAAAACTTCGTCGACGAAATAATACTCGAGCAAATAATTTGAGAGTATGCCAAAAATAGGCAGTGTTACCTTATCAGCCACTGGATCCAAAAATGCTCCAAATTGAGTACCCAATTTCATCTGTTACACCATAGTTGTACATGAACATGTAATTATCAAAATAAAGAGAAAAACAGACGATTTTCCAATTAAAATGTTGAAAAAGCAGTACCTTTCGAGCAAGGTATCCATCAAGCCAATCTGTAGCGGCAGCCACTATGAAAATTCCGACCGTGGCAGGTGGTCCCCACCAACTCTCAACATAAAAGGCTGGTAAGATATATTAATATGTTAACTATGGAATTGGCACAAAAATGGCTGCTACTAAATAGATTGAATTGGACATTAAATCAAATTGCTCTCTCTCCTGATTTTGGAAAATTCAGGTTAACTATGTTAATGCAAGAATTTGAGCTGCCATGAATTCTAATTGCAATTATCGTTATTTCTCCTCTCTAACCAAATCGGAGATCAAATGATTTTAAACAAACAGGAGATTCGAAATTCGATAAATTACTGCTGACGAGGAGCGGGACTGCGGCGACGCGGCCGATCGTCAAGATCGTGGGCAACGTGAGCAATCTAGACGAATCCGGCGGCGGCGGCGTTTTATGCGGCGGTGACACGTCAGATGCGGTATCGACCTTGCAATTGACACCGGCGCCCATTTGAGTTCCGAAATTGTTTTTCGTTGTGCGATGAAAATGACTGTCTTGCCCCTTATTCCTAGAATCGGAGGTGTAGAAGCTGAGATTCCGGTAGTGATTCCGACGGGTAGGGAAAAGTTTGGGGGTGGTGCCACCGAGCGCGGGGGTTGAGCATGGGGTCGTCCTACACCACCAGCCGGCGAAGTAATTGCGCCGGAGAATTTTCCCCGAATCGACGGCGGCGGAAGGGATCGGAGACGAGAAACTGTTGATCAATTTGTGAGAGTGAAAGATGGTGAAATTGGTGAATTTGAGTGCGCCTGGCATGGTGGGTAGAGAAGAGTATAGGTTAATTGCGCATGGGGGCTCACGTTAGCGTGAGGCTTATGTTAGCAGAGCTGATCCAGCTGGAGAAGGATTTCTTTTTTTTTTTTTTTTTTTTTTAACCTTTTCTTGCATTTAGAATTACAACCATCCAAATAAATTTAGGGTATATTACAACAACCCTGAGGTATGGTCAAATTATGAAAATATCTCTCATGTTTGGGTAATTACAATCATCCTCTTAGTTATAAATCTTTTTACACGTCCCCCTTTGTGGTGTCAGATTTAGGAGAATCTTCTGGATTATATGGAATATTCTCTATTTTGTACCGTTTTATCACATTCGAGCTCCACATTTTGATGCAAGATGATCATGAGATGCGTTTTTTGGCTTGTATATATATCAGATTGTGGTGCATCAGAAACTCATTTTTGCACAAAACGAGTATAAACTATAGAACATTCCACAAAATTCAAAAGATTATGTTGAATTTGATACCGCAAAGGTGGACGTGTAAGAAGATTCAGAGTTGAGGGGGTGGTTGTAATTTACCAAATAGGATATTTTTTTCATAATTTGACCGTACCTCGAGGTTTGTTGTAATTTACCCGATAAATTTATCAAATATCAAAGGGTAAGTTACGACCACCCATGATGTAAGGTCAAATTATGAAAAAATCCCTTCTTTTTTGGTAATTATAACCACCCATCGACTATGAATCTTCTTACAAGTTCACTCTTATGGTGTCAAATTCAACATAATTTTCTTGTCCCGTGAAATTTTCTCTAGTGTGTACTCGTTTTGTGCAAAAATGTTGTTTCTGATGCACCACGATCTGATATTTACAAGTCAAGGGACACATCTTATGATCATCTTGTTTCAAAATGTGGAGCTCGATTGGGGTAAACGTGCACAAACTGGAGAATATTCCACATAATTTAGAAGATTCCATTAAAAATGCCAACGCAAGGGTCTATGTGTAAAAAAATTTATAGTTGATGGGGATGGTTGTAATTACCCAAACATGAGAATCTTTTTTCTCGTAACTTGACCTTCCCTCATGGAGGTGGACGATCTATACCCATTTTTAAATTATAAATTTATAAGCATTAAGAATAATTAAAGATATCAAAGTACTACAAATTTATAGAACTAGCAATGGAGCCGGGTCTACCCCAAATCCACTGGCTCGACCAGAATTTATTTGAGCCGAACCTAATTAATTGTGAACCAAGCTGAAGTTGAGTCATTCTATCAAGTTTGAAAAATGGGGCTTACTATTCATAGTGCGGTTTTTTCCAGCTACAGTGCGAAATAATTCATTTGTCAAAAAACACTTTAACCTTTTACAAAATTCTCTCAACCTCCAAATATTTCGACTTTTGTAGATCGTGATTTGTTTTCGTAGAAATCAGTTAAAACTCAACGATTATCAAGATGGCCAACATCGATCCCGTAAATGAGGTAAAAAATTACGTTTTAGTGTGATTTTTTTTCGATTTTCAGTCGTTTCGTGTAGCGTATCACGAAATAATTGAAGTCGTTTCGTAGTGGTTTGCACGAAATTAACACCTTATTCATGTTTTTCAGTCATTTCGTGTACAAAACCACGAAATTGTACCTCTTATTTCGTGTACAGTCACACGAAACAGCAGTAAACTGTTTTGTTACTCATTTCGTGCAGTACTACACGAAATGTATGCATTAATTTCGTGTACTTTTACACGAAATACCTAGTTTTTTTTTGTTTTTTTTTGTGTGTGTGCAAGTATCTAACATTTTTTTTGTATTTACGCAGCCATATGACGACAATTTGTATTTTGATCCCTCGGTTTTGGATCAAAATGAATATGAAGATTTCTCTCACTTCTTCCAAGTTGATATTGTGTTCGGTAGTAGGGAAGAATTAATCAACTGGGCGAAAGCAACTGCAGTTAGTCATTGTCACCGTTTGATTTGTCAGTCTAAAAGGGAGAATGCACAGTACATGACGTGTGACAAATACGGACATGGCCGACAAACGAATATCGATGTGGAAGATCCTAGAAACAAAGGAACAAAAAAATGTGGTTGTCCGTTCAAATTGATTGGCAAAAGATCAAGGTTTGATGAATTATGGCGGTTGACTGTCAGCGATGGCAGGCATAGTCATCGTCCGGCTTTGTTTCCTCACGGACAAGGTACGACTAGTCGTATAACTCCACAACAGAAAGCAAGAATTAAAGAATTGCGAAATTCTCACGTGAAGCCAATGCTAATCATGGATAGATTGAGAAAAGATGATCCGACGATACAAACCTCTATGAAGCATGTTTACAATGAGTTGGCCAAGATTAAATCTGAAGAAATGGAGGGCATGACTGTTATTCAGTTTATGATGCATAACTTTCAACAAGGCGAGTATCGATATTGGCATCGCGTCGATAGTGAAACGAGCAACACGATTACAGATATTATGTTTGCATGTCCCGAATCTATTAAGTTATTACAGCTGTTCCCGTATGTTATATTGATGAACTGCACATACAAAACCAATAAGTAAGTAAAAATTACGATTGTTTAAATTATGATTATTGTGTTTTAATGTCTTGTATTGTTTAAATATGTAAAAACAACATTGTTGTAGGTATGGAATGCCTCTTTTGGAAATAATTGGGATAACTCAAGTTGGGAGGAATTTTACAATTGCTGTTGCATTTATGTCGCATGAAGATGCAGACACCTACGAGTGGACTTTGAATTGTTTGAAAGAATTGCTAGATGGTGTCGAACCTGATGCGGTCTTGACAGACAGAGAGTTGGGTCTTTTGAAAGCACTGCCAAATGTCTTCCCATTTTCGTATCATATGTTGTGTATATTCCATATAAACAGAAATGTTGAGGCAAATGCGACGAAATTTATGGGAGGCAACAAAGACCAAGGTCTAATATTCCGACGTGTGCTGTGGGCTAAGCTGGTGAAATCAGAAACCGAAGAAGAGTATCATTACAATTACAATGAAATTGTTGGACGGTATGCAGGGTATCCTAGGCTGATACAGTATGTGAATGATACGTGGTTGATATACAAGTAGAAGTTTGTTCGAGCCTATACTCGCAATGTGTATCATTTTGGCAACACGAGCACCAACAGGTATTACATGTTTTAGTTATTTAAATGATAAAATATATTATATAAAAATAATATTTATTTTGTAATTTGATTGTCGTTGTATGCTTTGATTGTTGTTGTAATTGGATAGGGTGGAGAGTGCTCATTCTTCAGCGAAGGGTTGGTTAAATGCTTCGACCGGAGGTCTGGATAACGTGCAAGGCAAACTTCGGGACCAAGTTTATATCCAAATTAGTCAGCTGAAGTGCGATTTTTCATTATCATCCAAGATAAGGAAGCATACTGCAGCATGGCCGTGTTTTCAGGGTTTGATTTGTTATGTTACGCATCTGGCATTAGAGAAATTGGATGAAGAGATGGAGTCCCCGGCGATGCAAGATCCGAGTATTAGCACACACTATCTTTGGAATACTCATGGGCTCCCATGCGCGTGCAAAATTGTGCAGAAAATGGAAGATAATGGCACGTTCGTCATTTTAGACTTGCATCCATTCTGGAGTACCATGGCAGTTGAGCCTTCGGAGCTACCTGAGTATCAAGTAAACCGCGAGGAGATTGTGGATAGACAGATTGATGACCTGAATTGCAATTTGAAGAAGATGAATTACATGAGTAAGATAAATGCCGTGGCCTCATTGCGTGGCATCGTTTATCCGTCTACGTCGCATCTGTCCGAGCCATCATTTGTTAAGACCAAAGGACGACCAAAGAATAACTCGACAAAGAGAGACCCTTCTGGATGGCAGTATCATATTGATGAGGAGACAATTAAGTCGTCTTGTGGTTCCAAGGGTCGCCAAACCTCATCTGGTGCAAAGATTCCTAAAGCAAAGGTTGAGAGAAGCACTGATGGAACGCCTCAATCGAAGATGAAAGGTCGTGGTTCTCGTATTCCCACACAAGAATCTGCTGCCGCTACAATACATGCACATGAAGGAATCGACTTTTATTCTTTCGTGCCCAGATTTATGGTCCGTCTTATTCAAGATTATGTTAACGTGATGGCGGATGGCAACTGTGGGTACCGGTGCGTTGCTCAAGCCGTGTACGGGGATCAAGAAAGATGGTCGCAAGTGAGAGGGGAGTTGCTTATTGAGTTATACGAGCATGCTAATGTTTACACGGCGATGTTTGGCAGTACCGGATACGTTGAGGTCATACGCAAGTATGACTGGACCTCAGGGCCTTGTCCACAAGCTTATTGGATGGACATGAATGAAATGGGATTGGCCATTGCTACCAGATACAGTGCATTAGTGGTACTTTTGACTCAAGTAGGGAGTATGACTTACCTTCCTATGTTTGACAGTGGTCACTTATCATGTGATTGTTGTGACATTGCACAACAATCATTTCATGTTTGTTAATTTGGTCGCGAATAGTCCTCTACCACCAATCTATCCGGCATGGGTACACCATAGAGCTAAAAACTTGAGGCACTTACTCAAAATGTACAAACCCCGACTACTCTTGTACGAACAATTAAAGTCTGGTCGGTAGTTCAATTTGTAATTGTATTTGAATTCTAGTTCAATTTGTAATTGTATTTGAATTCTAGTTCAATTTGTATTTGTATTTGAATTTTAGATCAATTTGTAGTTGTATCTGAAATCTAGTTGAATATGTATTTGTATTTGAAATTTAGATCAATTTGTAGTTGTATTTGAATTATAGTTCAATTTGTAGTTGTATTTGAAATCTAGTTCAATTTGTATTTGTATTTGAATTTTTAGGTCAATTTGAGTGTGTGAAATAAATTGGTTAATTAAAAAATAAATCAATTAGTGATTTCGTACTGAATTTCACGAAATGTTACTTCATATTTCGTGGAACAATCTACGAAATATGGTCTTCCATTTCGTAGAAAACTCCACGAAATATGATGTCACATTTAGTGTACGTTTACACGAAATACACAAATATTTTCAATCTAACAGTTTCTTCCTTCGTGTTCTATAACAATAAACACTTATATTTCGTGTGAAAAGACACAAAATTATTGAGTGGATTTCGTGTAATAATACACGAAATAGCGGGCGAATTTTGTTTTTTTTAGAAAAGTTACAAATGAAATAAATCGCACTGCAAGCCGGTAAAAACCGCACTATGAATAGCATTTCAGTTGAAAAATATATGAATGAGTATGAGTTTAGTATGGCTAAACCCTTATTATATAAGTAATTTTTTTTAAAATTTATTATTTAACATACTATGTGACCAAACTAGTCTTTTGTTCGGCATATAAATGGCTTTTATAAAGGCATCAATTTCAGGATCTCGTTTGATACCAACATCTTTTTTTCCACATTCGATAATTCAGCCAACCCAGTTCGAAAGTGCTCTGCTTCCAGCTAAGTGTTCACTCTGACATGCATAGGACACATCCAAAATAAAGAGAGAAACATACAAAACAAAATACAAAATAAATAAATAAAACAAGCAAAATATGTACCCAAATTATGATTATGAGTAAAAGAAAATAGAGCGAATGAAATACTCTTATCAAAAGCACTTATTCTTGGACTAGACTTTAATATATATATCGAAAATAATATTAGTTTACTTATCACGTCACAAGACGATGAGAATGTCCAATATCACGGACTTGAACCTCGATTAAGTAGTTTGCGGCATTTAGCCACAAATTAACACCCTTCGTGTTTATTCGATCTTTGCCCCTGGCGAATATACTAAGTCAGTTTCACTGGAAAGTGCACAAGAGTGTGTGCAAGTGGTTAAGAAAGAATACAAGTGTTGTATAATATTAAGAATACTTTATTCAATGAATTCTTAGATAATTACAAATGAATGAGACTACCCTATTTATACAAATCAACCTCCTCAATGGATGGTGATGATCATCTTGATCTAATAACTAATATTAACTCCTATAATCTCCTACCAAATATATACAAAGGAAGATCATATAAGAATTTTTACATTAATGGGAAGATTCTAAAAGATCTTCGAGAATTCTCTAAGGATCTCTACTCTTAGACCTAATTGGACCCTCTTCAACTTCGGTTCGCTTCATGGACCATCTTTAACCCCTTGGTTCCAAGGCAAAATGGGCGGCCATGACATTCTCCACAACCTAATCTGGCAACGTCCCGTCTCAAACACCCTGATGGTATTGACTAATTGTCACAAATCTTCCTTGATACACTCGGATAGTTCTCCACAAATGGTGCTAAGATCCGCGACCTCAGCCTTGCGACTAAGTGCATCGGCTACGACGTTGGCTCCCAGCTTATACTCTAACGTGTAATCAAATTCCTCTAAGAAATCTTGTTCCTAATTGGGTCTCTTCGACTTGGGTTCGCTTCATGGACCATCTTTAACCCCTTGGTTCCAAGGCAAAATGAGCGGTCATGACATTCTCCACCACCTAATCCGGCGACGTCCTCGTCGTCTCAAACACCTTGATGGTGTTGGCGAATTGTCACAAATCTTCCTTGATGCGCTCGGATAGGTTTCCACAAATGGTGATAAGATCCGCGACCTCAACCTTATGGCTAAGTGCATCGGCTACGACGTTGGGTCTGCCCGGCTTATGCTCCATTGTGTAGTCAAACTCTGCTAAGATATCTTGCCATCGATCTTGCTTTTGGGGGACAACTTCTTTTCGGTTTGGAAGTAGCTCGTCGCAATCTTGTCGGCCTTGACCACAAACCTGGCCTCAAACAAGTAATGTATCCACAATGGTAAGCAATGAACGATCGCCGTCATCTCCATCTCTTGTACGGTGTACTGTTGTTCCCTATTGTTCAGCATAAGGCTCTCGTAGTATATCAGGTGTCCCTTTTGCATCAACACTACAACAATAGTAAAGTCAAAGACATCCGTGTACAACTCGAATGTCTTAGTGAAATCGGGTAGCGCCAAGACTGGCTCTTGTCTTACCGCCTTTTTAAGGTCCTCGAACGCTTTGTGGCAATGTTTGGGCCACTCCACTCCTTCTTCTTCTTAAGAAGGTCTGCCAAAGGCGCGACTCGGTCCGAGTAGCTTAGAATGAACTGTTGATAATAGTTAATCAAACCAATGAAAGAACGTAACTCGGTTACGTTGGTCGGCGGTTCCCACTCCGTGATCGCCTTAGTTTTCGCCTCGTCCATGTGCAATTGGCCATGCCCAATAATATGCCCAAGGAATGGTACCTCTTACTTGGCAAATGCGCGGCTCCACTTTGGTATCCTCTATTTCCATAGTTGCCAAGCATGTCAGTTTGTGCTTAGCAAGTTGCATAGAGCCGGCAGTGGGTCCACTCCTATCCGTTACCATGCTCACTATACAAATAATATTGAAAGAAAGCATCACAACGGCACTTATCTTTCGCATGAAGTCCAAGCCAAGCACGACATGGAAATCGTACATGGGTCCCACCGACAAGTCTATCGGTCCCTTCCAAGCGCCGAGTACCATGTCCATATTCTTGGCCATGACGTTAAGACGCTTGTTCCACATTATTTATTAAATTCATTTCAAAATTGCCCTGCACACAAATTATGAAATTTTCACCAACTAATATTTAAATGCTATTTATCATTTTTATTTAACATTTAATATTATCAATTTTGTATCTACCATTTTTGTTTGTTTTTTTTTTTTTTTTTTTTTTTATTATTTTAGTATTTCTTTCATTATTATAAAAACCTATTTTTTCCTTGCATAAATATGGAAAATTGTTAAAGCTAGATTTTTATTTTATGTTTTTCGACTATAGTCATATATAGATACTCATAGTAATTCGTAGTCGCACAGTTTGAAAATATCCCAATTTTGAACCCTAGACGTCCGCAGACACTTACAACATAGCTATTGTAGTCATCGACAATTATCCAATATTAAAATCTAGATTCGCTACCACCACCGCCAACGTCATAGCCACCGCCTCGTTATTGCCATTAAAACCTCAACATAACCACGACCACCATCGCTATAACAGCCGCCATAAACCACCCCCATCGTACCCACCAATGTCATTGCAGCCGCCATAACTACCCCCACCATACCCACCACCGTCATCCCTCCGCCTCTGCCACCGTCATAACCGGGCCTTTACAACCGCGATAACTTTTGTGTGTGATATTGATTTTCATTAAGGGTAATAATGTCATTACCTATTTATTTTTTTATTTTTTATGTTGATGGTATTGAATTGAGAAAGAAACGGTATTTGTTTTAGCCGCTACCCCTTTTTTTTTATAAGGATATGTCCAACCACTTTTCTCTTGTGAGCCGTAGATCCAATTCATCGATTCCAAATTTACCCTTCCACTATTTCCCATTACCCACTACTTGATATGTTCCCCCCTTTTTAATGTTAATTTTCGTTTTTTAATTTTATTATTTCAAAAATACTAATTTAATATTTTTTAAATAATATTTTATTTCAAAAATAATTATTTTTTTCATTTTCTTTTTTGTTAATTTTCAGTTTTGTTTTTAAAAAAATTGACTATAATATTACCGAAATCAACTACAATATTTTCGAAAACAACTAAAATATTTTCGAAATCAACTACATTTTTTTTTCAGATCAACTATAAAATTATCATATTACCAAAGGGTGTTGCTATTTGCAGCGGGTCTTTTACTGAAATTGGCTTATTTGCAGCGGAACCTTTTTCATTTTTTTTTGAAATTCTCTCTCCTATTCCCAAACTCTCTCAAGACATTCGAATTTCAGAAATTTTTCGACTTTGAATCTGTAACAGACGAGGCTCAATTCATGTAAATTTTCAATATCCGTGCTCTGTAAAACGGAGAATTCAAGTTTTTTGAACTTCCCGTTCTGCAGAGCACGGAAACTTGAACTTTCTTCAAGTTTCCGTGCTCTGTGGAACGGGAAACTCAAAAAACTTTTTAATTTTTTAGTTTCGAAAAAAAAAAAATATGAATCCCCCGTGCTGAAGAACACGGGAACTTGAATAATCTTCAAGTTCCCGTGCTCTGCAGAACGGAGGACTCAAAAAACATGAAGTTCCCGTTCTGCAGAACATGGGAACTTGAAGATTATTCAAGTTCTCGTGTTCTGCAGAACGGGAACTTCATGTTTTAATTATTTTTTTTATTTTTTTGTAAATATCGAATTTTGTAATTATTTGATGAACATGATAACAAATATTCGGATTATTGTACTCGTTTGTATATTCATCGTCAATTTTTTCGTCAAAATCACCATCATCACCCTACCAAATAATACTAAAGGAATAAAGTAAACAAAAAAAAAAGAAAAAAAAAAGAAAAAAAAAAAGTAAAACCCATATTCCCGGCCCCTAGAGGACGGGAACTTCAAAGTTTTTTCCTTTTTTTCATGCCCTACGTGCTGCACAACACGATCTAACTTTCCTTTTTTTTTTTTTACCTTGTAAAAGTAATATGAATTGGCCATAAAAAAAAAATGTTGTTTTTGGTTTCGAATTTGTCGAACGACCTTTATATTCTAAGTTTTCGATTTTTTTTAGTTGAGAGAGTTTCGATTTTTTAGAAAGTTAGAAAATTGACAAATGAGACTACCGCTGTAAATAAGCCAATTTCAGTAAAAGTCCCACTACAATTAGCATTTCAGATTACCAAAATTAAAATTGACTACAAAATTGTCAAATCAACCACAAAATTATCGAAAACAACTATAATTTATCAAAGGGATGTGATATTCGCGGTAGCAAAATTACGAATGCGGTTTTAAAAAATTCACTCTCTACTTATCTTTATCTCCCTACAATTTTATTTTTAATAGCTTTTATATTAGAAATCGTTCCAAAATCCATGTTATTGTAGCGATTTGCAAAGAAAAATGAGTGCATCGAATGAAGGTCGTCGAGATACAGTACCCAATGAGGTAAAATTTGTTCGTTTTTGTTCTTTAAATCGCGACTCACGGCCAATTTGGACGCCGTAAAATACGTTTCACGACCAAATTGGGCGCAAAAAAGCTCGATTCACGCCCGATTTGGGCGCGGAAAAGTACTTTCCGGACCCGGTTTGGGCCCGCAACACAGCTTTTCGCGCCCGGTTTAGGACTCGAACACGGGTTATTAGAAATACCAACTTGGCTACAACCATTTTGATAACATATTCTTATTTAACTATAATTATTTATTTCATTATACTGGGCAAAAAAAAATTAATAAATACGCGTTGCTACCAAGACTCAAACACGGAACTATTGTGTAATAGATGAAACGTCTGACCAACTAGGCTACAACGAGTTTGTTAATTGATACTTGTTTAAATCTAATGATTCATTTCGATTATACTGGTTAAAAAAAAAAAAAAAATTGAACCGGACGACCGGTCCAGAATCGGCATCTGGACCGAACGCCCGAACTAATTTTCCATGCCCATTTTGGGCGTGGGAAAGCAGTTTCCACGCATAAACCAGACGTGGAAACTGCTTTCACACGCCCATTTTGAGCGTGGAAAATTCGAAAACCCAACACTAAAAACAGCTCCAAATCGCGATTTTCTGGGGATTTTCACATGATTAACCACAAATTCAATATATATAACTACTTTAGATGATTAATTACCTTTTAAATTGACGAGATTTTCGGATTTGGGAGAATTTGTGAGAGAGGTTGAGGGTTTTTGGGGCTTTTGGGGATTTTGGGGTTTGGGTGGATTTGATGATTTTTAGAGAGAGAAAGAGAACACTATTGTGAACGAACGTATTCGTAATTTTACTGCCGTGTAAATCATTTCAATTTATCAAAATCAACTACAAAATAATCGAAAACAACTAAAATTTACCGAAATCAACTATAATTTTATGGAAATCAGCTACGGAAAAAATATCAAAACCAATTACAAAATCATCGCTACGAATTAATTAAATAAATAAAAAAAGCCACCTCCATTGGAGAACCCTTGAATTTCAGCGCCGTTGCTAATCAGCACCGACAAAGGGATCATATTCAAAACAATTTTCTGCCTGCAAATTCACTCTTCTAAGGAAGTCAACTCTCTCTCTCTCTCTCTCTCTCTCTCTCTCTCACATGTAAACCATTTTTCCCCGTCGGTAAATTCGCACTCTCCATGTGATTATTGGTGGGCCCCACCCCCACTCCCACACAGTAATTACACACACTACCGTCGGCACTTGTGTTATTCATCACTCTTCTGTGTAGTCGATAAACGAGAAAACAGCAGAGAGGCGCATTTCCCATTTTATATTTACCGTTGCAGTTTATTGATTTGCAGCGAATTAACGAGGAATAGAACAAAAAAGGAGTTATTTTTGAGTTGGATTTTGTTGTTCCGGCGATGGCGGCGGCGGCGGCGGTTGTGGTGAGCCCGGCTCCTGTTGCTACTTTTGATCACAAGAGGTTCGTTCGTTTCGGCTTTGCTTAATTTTGACCGTCTCTTGCCTATTTGTAAATCTGTGAAACGTTTTAGTTCACATTATTTAGATCGACAGCATTTGAATTGAGGATTAAGAGTGTATGTTATGATTCTATTGTGATCTCCGGGTTTTTAGGGTTTCCTTTGCTATGTTCCTTTTGATCTAAAGAAATTCCTGATTTAAACAGGGTGTGTGTATGTATGGCATGTATATATTGATTTAGTCTGTATCCTTTTACTGGTAAGGCATCCGAAACTCGAAACTGCTGTTTAGAAATCGAGTGACGGAAAATGGATTCGTAATATCTATATATAATTTTGTTTTTAATATTTGTTTCCGGTAAACAGGGATGCTTATGGCTTTTCGGTGAGACCTCAACACTTGCAAAGATACCGGGAATATGCTAGCATATACAAGGTTGTTTTCCCGTCTTCTCTACGAACTCGATCTTCAGTAGAAGAAGAATATTTTTATATTCGAATTATATTTATATTTGATAATTCTCTTAGGAAGAAGAGGAGGAGAGGTCAGATAGATGGAAGGATTTTCTTGAAAGGCGATCGAAACCCGATGGTATACTCGAAACCAGTAGCACCAATATTACAGCTGGCGATAGTTCCAAAAATGTTGATGAAAATGACGAAGAAAATAAAGAGGGGCCCGGTAAAAAACTTCATCGAGTACTAACGTGGACAGAGATCAGGCCATCTCTTGGTGCCATTGAAGATATGATGAGCTCTCGTGTGAAAGAAAAGAAGGCCAATTTGGTTAAAAGTGAGACGCAGCTTCCTTCTATAGAAGCTTCCGAAGAGGAATCCGATGAGGAGTTTTACGATTTAGAAAGATCTGAATCGGACCCCGTTCAAGACGTAATTTCGAGAGCGAATATTCCCGTTATGAATTCGGAATCTCCACCTCATTGGAAAGAGGAGCTTGAGTGTCTTGTTCAAGGAGGAGTGCCGATGGCACTAAGGGGAGAAGTAAGATAAAGAGTCGTAAGACTGAATATTCTTTTTTTTTCTAATATTTATTTATTTATTTATTTATTATTATTATTATTTTTGTTTGGATTTGCAGATGTGGCAAGCCTTCGTTGGTGTTGGAGCACGTCGAGTGGAGAATTACTATCAGAATTTGCTATCTCCAGATACCGATGTAGAAGCTACGAACCAAGTGGAGTGTGTCGGTGTGCCGGAAAAATGGAAAGGGCAGATCGAGAAGGTTTTTTACTTCGTTCTTCTTCATATGTGAAATCATTTTCTTTTTACTGTTTATAATTGGATATGTAATTTTATTGATACAGGATTTACCGAGAACTTTTCCTGGTCACCCTGCTTTAGACGAGGATGGTAGAAATGCTTTAAGGCGGTTACTTACTGCATACGCCCGTCATAATCCCTCTGTTGGATACTGCCAGGTAAATCTGTCGTTGTTTTTCTTTTTCTTTTTTAATAACTTATATATATATATATATATATATATATATATATATATATATTTTTTTTTTTTTTTATTTATCTTTTACTTTTTTATGCAGGCCATGAATTTCTTTGCAGGTTTGTTATTGCTTTTGATGCCAGAGGAAAATGCATTTTGGTAGGTCAATATCTTGGTAAAATATTTTATTATATTATTTCAGGCCCATTTTGTGAAATACTTTATAGTCGCCGACCATGTAAAATGTTGCGTTGCACATCAAGATATTGTAATTTAATTACATGAAGTGTGTATTTCGTTTTGCATTTCTATAAAATGCATAGAATTGCGAACTTGTTTGAGACATTATTGATGCTATTTTCAGGGCCTTACTGGGTATTCTAGATGACTATTTTGATGGATATTATTCAGAAGAAATGATCGAATGTCAGGTATTCCTTGCTTTTGCTTAATTTAAGAGACAATTTATCTAGTCTTTTTGATAAAAAGGCATAATATGATTAATCATCTCTTGGTAGGTTGATCAGCTTGTTCTTGAAGAGTTGGTGCGCGAAAAATTTCCCAAAATGGGTCCGTTCCTTTTGATAACTTTTCTGCTAAAAGCTTTGATTTTTATTTTTCTTTCAATTATTATTATTATTTATTTATTTAAAAAAAAAATTATGCTCCTCGTGAAATTTGGTGTCTACCACAGTAAACCATCTGGATTACTTGGGAGTACAGGTGGCATGGGTGACTGGACCGTGGTTCCTCACAATATTTATGAATATGCTTCCATGGGAAAGCGGTCAGATTCTTTTATCTCAGTCATGCATTACTAAATTCGAAAAATTAATGGAGAATTTATATATCATTTCTTTATTAATCAACTTCTAAAATTTGTAAAAGTAAACTAATTAGTTTTATCTGCCTTCAGTTCTTAGAGTCTGGGATGTGCTCCTCTTTGAAGGAAATCGCGTAATGCTATTCCGTACAGCACTCGCTTTGATGGAGCTATATGGTACTTGTCCATCACTATTCTTCGAAATATATTTACCAAAAAAAAAATTATAATAAATAATCCACTTGAATACGAGACTTATTTTTGTTCAGTTATTTTGTAGGACCTGCATTGGTTACAACAAAAGATGCTGGAGATGCGGTCACGCTGCTTCAGTCACTAGCGGGGTCAACCTTCGACAGCAGTCAACTTGTACTGACAGCTTGCATGGGCTTCCAAAACGTGCAAGAGAAAAGATTGCAAGAATTACGGAATAAACACCGACCGACGGTCAAAGCTGCAGTCGAAGAAAGATCGAAAGGAATGAGAGTTTGGAGGGATTTATATAGTTTCAAACAGGATCCGAGTTCGATACTTGTAGGAAATGATAAATCGGGAAAAAAAACGGATAGTGAGATGAATAGTAATGTGTCGAATGTGGATGAGATATATATGGGCTTGAATGGTGACGTGGAGGTGGACCCCACTAAAGATCTTCAAGAACAGGTAGCTATTACTCATTACTTGCCGAAAGTGTAAATTATAGATGTAACAATTTCTGAATTCAAATATTTTAGTTATTTTTTGCATGCATAGAATGTAACTAAATTGTTTGTGCCGTTTATCGAACATGTTTTTTTTACAGCAACTTTATAAGATGTTGATTTTATTCAGGTGGTATGGCTTAAGGTTGAGCTATCGAAGCTGCTCGAGGAAAAACAATCTGCTGAGCTCAGGTGAACGCAACTCTGTAGTTCTGTCTTAAAATTCGTATTTACCAAGATATAATTTTTTTTAACTATAATATGGAAATGCGTAATTTAATATTTATCAATGAATTGTATTAACGAGTTTTAGTTTTGTTTATAACAGAGCAGAAGAGCTTGAAACAGCATTAATGGAGATGGTTAAGCACGACAATCGGCGACAACTAAGTGCAAGGGTATCTAAAATGCTCCATGCACAATACTTTATAATTTATTTTAATTTATTTTTACTTGTTTTAATTTGATTCTTCAATTTTATTATTATAGGTTCAGCAATTAGAAAAAGAGGTCTCTAAACTTCGGGTAGCACTTGTTGATAAGCACGAACAAGAGAACGCCATGCTTCAGGTATAACTACTGCTGTATTATTCGGTTTCGGTGAAAATTTCCGACTCGTTTATTATTATTATTTTTTAATTTTTCATTTTTAACAGATATTAATGAGGGTAGAACAAGCACAGAGGGTGACGGAGGATGCTCGTATATTTGCCGAGCAAGATGCTGCTGCTCAGAAATATGCAGCTCAAGTTCTTCAGGTTTCTTTTTTTTTTTTTTTTAAATTTGATTTTAGATTTTATTGGGTTTTCTCGTTTACACTTTACATTGCAACAATCACGTGCAGGATAAATATAAAGAAACAACTGCCGCCCTGGCGGAGATGGAAAAGAGGGCGGTTATGGCAGAGTCTATGCTCGAAGCTACCTTGCAGTACCAGTCGGGCCAAACCAAAGCACAGTCTTCTCCTCGGTAACACAATTGTTTTTTTCTAACTTTATTTTTTTATTTCCATGAAATTACTACCGCTCCCCTCGTTTAATTCCTTGCCCATAAAAAGAAAAAAAAAACGGGCATCTTTAATAGTTCGATAATAATCTCGGGTGTTATCTGTAGATCGGTTCAGCAAAGTGATCAAGATCATTCGCAAGAAATGCCAACGAGAAAGATTAGTTTGCTTTCTCGATGGAGAGACAAGAATAAGGTTAGTATTACTTGTTCGTATTCCTGCATTTATATGCGTATTCCTTATGTTTGTGTTTTTATTCGTAAAATTCCAACAAGTATTAACTTTTCTCTATTAAGAGTTAGGCATTACAAACTGAAGTCTCGAGTCTTAGAACTCATATTAAATTATAATCTTACCTAGCCGAATTGTTCCCGAAATTACAAACAGTTGAATAAAATACAAAAGCCGCCCTTTTTTTTTTTTTTTGTGAAGTCGTATATTATTATTTCTTGTGTCGGGTTTTTGTGAAGTATGTTAGAAAATACTAGAAAAATCCGTAACAAAAACAAGAATTTGTATGCAATAGGAGAAGTCGAGTGGTGTTGAAGAGCAAAACGAAGGGAAATCTTCGAATGAGGATAATCGGAGTTTAAGCCTCGAAAATGAGGAGACGAACGGACATAAGGTGGACGAGAAGGTATAAATGGAGTTTATAAAGAGTGATTTTGTTCGGTACTTTCGATTTATTATCAAGAGTAAGAGGACTGATAAAACATTTAATTTTTTTGTTTGTTTATTTCATTGGCAATAGTCTCTCTTGTAAGGAAATAAGTGTAAGAAGGAAACACATATTTAAGTTTTTTTTAGCATCATTGACCATTGTACATAATAACTATCTTTTTTTTAAAATATTTTTGGTTCATATTATCTGTCAGTTGTCACTTTAGATTTATATTACTGCATTAAATGTATTTTTTTATGGGTGACAATTGGAACATAATTTCCGATTTTCGCCGATTCCTATCAGTGATTTTCTTGATTTTGTAACAATAATTTTGAAATTCAATTTTCCATTTTTTTGAAATTATTTGGATCGGAATATATAGGAGATTCCAATTTTCTTCCCGACTTTTTCTGAATAATATACTTAAAATGCCAACATTATTAATTAGTATTTTACTTTTTAGGTGAACAAAAATTGAATTTTTTTGAATTCCATTCATTCTCATCATAAATTTTCCGATTTTGGAACATGTTTTTTCATTCCAATATCCGAAATTCCTAGTTTCGGTTTTTTCATTCTTTTCTTAGAAACAAAATTGGAATTAGCTTTCAATTCTGATAAAAAAAAAATAGTTTTTCCGTCCGATTACACCCCTAACATGTATGAAGACATCATACTCGATGAATTTGACAGGTGTTGCATCTACAAAACCCTCGGACATCATCAATTCTTTCATTTAAAGCCACTAAAGTTTGAGCAATTGCACCACATATAAACCAAACTAAGCAGATGCATTCAAACCATGAAATATCACTACCAATATCATTCATTACAAATAGTGACGAAACTACGATGTTTAATTGTTTATAGCCGTTTATATTAACTAAAACATAAACCCTCGTACTGCATTTCTTCCGGAAGCTACTAGTATCGAAACTCCCTTGGTTAAGTCTCGTGTTCGTATTTTTCAGAACCTTTACAACATTTGCAACGAGAGGCCACTCTTTCGGCTGCAAAGACATCGATAAAATTACAAAGATTTCACAGAAATGGATCTAGGGTTTCGGATAAAACCTTTCTTTTATATATAAAGATTAGTAAATCAATTATTCATTGGATTTTATTGACCACAAAACCATGTAAAAAATATATTCACATCTCATGCAATTTCTGATTTTTTTTTTTAAACACAGATATAAATCCATATTAAAATTAAGTTAATGGTAATTATTACAAGCACTAAAACCAATGAATAAAGCAAAACAAAACAAATCAAATGTATTGTTGAAATAAAAGTTTAAAATATCCTAATTAGGTGAAAGGTGAAAACAAAATGGAGAGAGGACATAAAAATTAGTTTTAATGATCACTAGATTTTAAATTACACAAGCACATGTTACATAAAATCAAAGCCATTTCATGGCCAAAAATTAACACACAAAAAAAAAATAAAAACAATAAAAAATCAACATTGTTGGATCAATAGAAAAACAAATCCTATTAAATAAGTTTTAAGTTAAAAGATTTTTCGTCTGGAGTTGGTCTCTAACCGGTACTATCGTCCTCGGAAACTTCATCCTCAGCATGTCTGAAATCAAATACATAACACAAATAAGTTACATTTATCGCCTATCATATTGCACCGAAAAATACAGACATAAATAATGATATTAAGGATTAGTTCGAGTCAATAAAATTTAAAAACAACACTCATGGGAAAAGATAGTAAACGATGATTTTGTTATAAGGTCGTAGAGCCAAGATTTTGTCTTTGTGTGGCCAAATATACACTAAAAAATTCTCTAAGAGGCAACAATACTACATTACTCGAAAAAAATAATAACTTGATATATAAAAATACAAGATTTTTTAGGAATAGCGGGGGGCCAAGGCCCCTAAATGCTCACCATTTTTAACACTTCGACATCTAGGCCTCTATATTTGTAAGATAATAATGTACACCAATTCCTCATTCTCAAGAAGTAACCTTTCGATATGTTATTTTTCAATATCTAAATTTTCTCTGTGAAACGAAAAGCATCAATATTATCAAGGGGTTGAGAAACGAAACCTCCAAGATGTGGTCAAATTACGAGTCTTTCTATCCAAATGCAGATTTTCCAAAGCAGTAGAAGCACGGACTACATCTTCCGGAAGTTCTTCATTATTACCATACCGCCAATTGTATTCATCTTTCCTATATCCCGATGTAGATGACCTTGCTCTTCGATCTAATATAACAAAATAAAATATAATAAAATAATAAATAACTTAAGAAATGTTTAAGGATCAACTTCAAATAGTTGTCGTATTTACCAGATGACTGTGAAGCGTGATGAGGCCTGCAAGGAGTATTAATGAACTACAAGTTATAATCTTTTAATTTTTTTAATTTTAAAAAAATAAATGGAATAATTATTGATGATTAACCTTCCTAGTGGAGGTAAACCACCAGCCGGTGAAGTAGATGAAGGTCTCCTATTGTTTCGAATTTCCATGTTTGGTATAAATTCGACTTCAGGCGTGTTCGATCTTTGGCTGCCACCTCTTTCTTGAGATAAATTCTACAATAATATATATATTTATAAAAAAATAAAGAAAACTGATTATTTATGAGAAAGAAAGTGGAAAAGAAACGGAAATACAATTATATAGCAGTGGTTTACACTCTAGTGAAGCGAGTAATTTGCCATACAAAGGCACAAAAATATAATTTATAGCTTCTCTATCAATGGAAGTTCACACCTATGGCCTCGTTCGGGAATGTTGATAGAATTGATAAAATTAATTGAATTGGTTAGGATTACAATATCCATAATAATTTACTTTATTCATCTCGTAAGTATTAATTAGCTCATAGTTCCCAAACGAGGCCTATACGTATTAGCTCGGGAATTGAATATTTCTACGTCGAAATAGCTTCCATTTAATGTGTGCTTCATATAAGGACAGTATCGTATATAAGGCTTTGTATGAAAAAATGGACTTTTATCTGACCTCGTACTTTAAGAAACCCTCAAGAACATCCAAAAGCAAGGGCCCACTTTCTCCGTTCCGATTAATGTCGTACGCGTTCTTGCTCCCGAAATCTTTTAACTCCGATTTCCAAGAATCCTTTGGCTGAAATTAAAAACTAAATTCAACAAAACTGTCCAATCGTAAATAAATAAAACCACACGGTGAAAAAAAAAATAGTCGAACAACGGTGTGGATAAAATTACCAAATTACACTCCGGTAAGTATACTTTCAACGTGTGGTTTAATTGCGCCCAATCCAGATATTCACATATTAAGGCAGTTAGAAGCCTTCCTGGAATTTATTAAAAAATTAAACATTATTTATAATTTCTTTTCATAAAATTTCAGCCATATTTTCAAACGTAAACGAAAATTACCCGAAGGCGAATTGTGTAGATGCTTTGCACGATCATTGCAGCTACCCAATAAAGCAGGAGGAAGACCTTCGTCTTTTTCGATAACTTTATCTTCCTCTTCGATAGCTTCAAACACGCTAGCTCTCAATTCAGCCTAATAACCATAAAAATCGAAACTTTTCAGCATATTTTATCGAACATTTGTCCCCCACGAATTTTACAAATACTTTTACACGTGGATAATAAATAACTCTAATATTGCAATAAATATAGAAACACATTAAGAAACTGCATTTTTACTAACGTCGGTTGTCTATCAACTTAAATTCGAGAACCTTAACAAGCCTTCTAGAAACTAGTTACGAAACGAAAATTTTAAAACCTAAATCTTCGAGTTCCGACATCAATCAAGTCCACGCAAATCCCACTTCAGCAAAATTTAGCAATGTCATATTTAATCTATCGAAAACTACCGAAAAATTAAAAGAAAATCCATAGTTTTTTTTAAAATACACTAAAAAATTGTATTAGCAATACTAATACACCACAACCCTAAATTATGAGATCCTAAGAACAAATATTCTTTCAAGCCCACGTATAAATCGACAAACACAAACATAAAACAGACGAATTAATTACTTGACAAAAAAAAAAAAAAAAAAAATGAGGGCAAAGAAGCTAACACGGATCCTGGCAAGAACGCCTTTCTTCTCCAAAGTACGAGTGACTAGGGTTTTCAAATCCATCATTTCTCTCGTGTAATCATCCATCTCTGGGTTTTTTCGGGTTTCTGATTTTGGTTTTGGGGTTTGGGTTTGTTGAGTTTGAACTGAAGATGAGTGATTAATTGGGTTTGATGTACAATTTCCAGTATCCAATTTTATGAACTTTTGTACAAAAGTCGTGTTCCAGGTTTAGCGACTTTACTTGGTACTGAACAGAACTGTATGAAAGCGCACCCAGGAAAATTGACTGATAATAAAACAACGGGAGAATTACACCTCTGGTCCCTCAAGTTTGTCCCGGTTCCACTTTTGGTCCCTATTGCTCCAAAGCTAACAAAGTTCACCACTTTCGATCCCCGCCGTTACATACATGTCCGTTAGCAAGTAACGGAGAACACTATTTTGAGGCCAAAATTGAGATTTAAAAAAAAATTGGGGCTGAAAAATAATTAGAAATTTAAAATATACTACTTATAATTAAATTTTTAATAATAAAAAAGAAATTAACTAAAAAAAATATTTTTGTAATTTATACAAAATATTATTATAATTATACTACTTATAATTAATTTTTTTAATAATTAAAAAAGAAATTAAATTATTTTTGATTATACTTAATATTATTTTTACTCATACTATTTATAATTAAATTTTTAATAATAGATAGAAATTAACTAAACAAATTATTTATACTTAATATTATTAAAATTTTAATTATAAGTAGTATATTTTAGAATTTCTAATTATTTTCCATCCCAAAAAAATGAAAAATATTAAACTTCATTTTTGGCCCAAAACAATGTTTTAAGTTACTTGCAGACGGGCATGTAACGGCGGAGACCGAAAGTGTTTAAAATTGAACCGTGGAGGTGAACTTTGTTAACTTCGGAACAACATGAACCAAATGTGGAATCGGGTCAAACATGACGGACCAAAGTAGTATAATTCTCCCTAAAACAATGCTAAAAATGAATAAATTTATTATTGGTTATTCTTTTTACATTTTTCATTTGTGACAAAATTTAAAGGACAAAATGCACTTCACCCTTTTTAAAATTAGAAATTTAAATTTAGTGGAAAATATGTAGAAAGCGGGAATTACTGTTCTGTCCCTCCTAATATTTAATGATTGATGACTGGTTAACGCAACAGTGGAATTATCCCTTTTAATTAATTAATAAATAAATAATAATTAATTGGCTTTATTCCCAACTCTTTATCTCCCTCCAAATTATTTAATCCCTAATTAATTACATTCAGTGGGATTTGTAATCTGATTCCCTCTTCCACTTTCTTCCCCATATTATTTGCTCCGCCGCCTTCCACCGCCGTCCACCGCCGTGAGATAAAAAAGAAAAAAAGAAAAATGGCGCCTATTGATCCTCACTCCTACACAGACTCAACCCACCCACTCACCACCCACATCTCCCTCTCCTTCTACTTCGATTTCCCTTCCTCCACCATCCACTCCGCCGCCGTCCTCTCCCTCTCCGCCCCCCACTCCGGCCCCTTCACCCTCGATCTCCGCTCCCTCTCCATCTCCGCCGTCGTCGACCCCGCCACTCTCGCTCCTCTCCCCTTCACCTTCCACCCGGCCTCACCCGACGCCGTTTTGGGCCAATCCATCACCGTCGCCCTCTCCAACCACTCCCAATTGCTGGTCGTCTTCAAAACATCCCCTTCTTCCTCCGCCCTCCAATGGCTGACGCCGCCGCAAACGTTCAACAAGTCCTTCCCCTTCGTCTACACGCAGTGCCAGGCCATCCACGCCAGGTCCATTTTCCCCTGCCAAGACACCCCCGCCGCGCGCATCAGGTACTCCGCCAAGCTGAACGTCCCGCGCTACCTGTCGGCGGTGATGGCCGCGAGACACGTCACCAGGCGGGACCCACTACCCGCCGAGTGCGGCGGCGCGTGCGACGACTCGCTGTGGTGCGGCGAGGACAGGATCGTCGAGGAATTCGTGATGGAGCAGCCCGTACCGCCGTACTTGTTCGCGTTTGCTGTTGGGGAGTTAGGGTTTAGGGAATTGGGTCCCAGGACCAAGATCTACTCCGAGGCGGTGCCGGCGGTTTTGGATGCCGCCGCCAGAGAGTTCGCCGGAACTGAGGAGATGATTAAGGTGGGGGAGGCTCTGTTCGGGCCTTACGAGTGGGAGAGATTTGATTTGTTGGTATTGCCGCCGAGTTTTCCCTATGGAGGAATGGAGAATCCGAGGATGACGTTTTTGACTCCGACCGTGATCAAGGGGGACGCGAGTGGGGCCCAGGTCGTGGCTCACGAGCTCGCGCATAGCTGGACGGGGAATTTGATCACCAATAAGACTAATGATCACTTCTGGTTGAATGAGGTATATTGATTATCTTGTTTTTTGTCTTTGTTCGTGCAATTATGGTTGATGATTAATTACGGGGATAGCTTGTAATTTGAGTATATAGAAAGGGTTTACGGGTCCGTTGTTTGTGTTATTCTTTAGCGTAAACCACTGTGTTAAGTAGCTAACTTAGCTGTCGTATTTGCCAAGTTCGAGAGAAGGTATTGCGATGCATGAGTAGTCTATTGCCTATTACGGAACCAACTAATTGAAAGAGTCGTTGATTATGTAACAGTATCCGTTCACTTGCTGTGTGCACTGGACTTGGAAAACCTGCCTATATTATTCTTATGTACAATTTTGTTTAGTGGTTTATGAAGCTTCGAACAGGTCAATCAAATGCTAGCATGTGGTGTTCACGGTTAAATTCTTTCAAACGATAGTCGAACTATGCATCCCTTGCAATATACCACAAGGCCTACTTGAATTTTAGTGGTTTCGTTGATGAGTTACTATGATTACAAATAGTTGGTGGTAGAACTTTTCATTCATCGCTTTTTCTCCTGATATTTTATTATTATTAAAGTGAATTGTGTTCTGTCTTTCTGTAAGGGTCGTTGTTTTTGGCATGAATAGTTTTAGTCTGGCCTGGTTGGATATTATTGTATATCTAGCGGCCATAAGATGGGAAAACTGTAGACAAATAGCAGCGATAAATTGTCAAAAGAATATACATTACGCTTTTTTTTTTTTTACATATTGCATGTGTGCTAATAGGGTTTCACAACATATGCGGAGCGGCGGATAGTCGAGGCTGTTCAAGGAATAGAAAGGGCTGTACTGAATATCGGAATCGGTTGGAAAGGACTCGTCGAGGAAATGGAGAGGTTTAAGGACAACATGGAATTCACCAAACTAAAAACTAACCAACAAGGAGTAGACCCGGATGATGTATACTCTCAAGTTCCTTACGAGAAAGGGTTCCAATTTTTGTGGCGAATCGAGAGACAGGTAAATAAATCACATACTCTCTATTTCTTTCAATATCTTCCCTATAGAAGCTTAATTGGCATTCTTTGTGCACAGATTGGGAGGCCTGCATTCGACGAATTTCTCAAAAAGTATATTGCCACTTTCAAGTTCCAATCGATCGACACTGATATGTTTCTTGATTTCCTGAAACCAAATGTTCCTGGTATAGAAGATCACGTTGATCTAAAAGTATGGACCGAGGGTACTGGGATTCCTTCGGATGCAATGGAGCCCGTTTCTGAAATCTATACGAAGATTTTATCACTGGCTAATGAATTTAAGGCAGGTAGGATGCCGAATGAAGATGAAGTTGCTGAATGGGGTGGACAAGAATGGGAGCTTTACTTAGAAAACCTGCCTAAATCTGTTGAAGCTTCCCAGGTACTAATATGGCATAATAAATCTTTTACATTTCATTACTGTGGTAGATACATTATATTTTCTTGCACTATTCTGAGAGATTGTTTCTTCTGCTTTCAGCTGTTGTGTTAGTAATTGGAGTTGTTTGTTTGTGGTAGTTAAGATGATATACGTAATTTCGATATTCTTCGTAGCTTCTCATGTAAAGCAAAAGTAACCTTAGCTCTCTAATCTTGGGAATAGTTTCAATGTCTGGTATATATCATGTACAAGTAGGGGTGTAACGATGCCAATGTAAATATTTCCGATTTTTCGTATTTGTTTTTTCAATCCGATTTCCGAAATTTCCAACATTTTTAGCCTTTCAGAATCGGTATAGGTTTTCAGATACCGAAATTTTCCGAATTGGAATCAGATGTTACTTTTGAGTTTCGAAAAAAAAAATCGGTGGATTTCGATCCGATTTTGTTTTAAAATGTCCATTTTTTTTAATGCAGGTATCAGCTCTGGATGAACGTTACAGGCTTTCGGAGTCAAAAGATTACGAGGTGAAAGTGGCATTTCTCCATCTCGCTATTTCATCGAGGTGCAGTAATTACTACAACGAGGTTGAGAAAACTCTGAAAGAAGTTGGGAGGATGAAATATCTGCGCCCACTGTACACTGCACTAGTCCAAGGCACCGGAAAAGAAGAGGAGAAAATATTTGCAAAGAGGGTTTTCTCGGAGGCATGTGCTTGCTACCACCCTATTGCCCAGGGCGTAGTCGAGTCCATTCTCGCCAAATATATGTAAACAAAAAACGCGTTTTTCTTTTCTTTTCTCTATTAACGCTTTCATTCTGAACCGAAATATGTGTTGTGTTTTAACTTTGAATCCTTGACTTTCAAGCTTTCCCTGCTTGTGTTTAATGCATCAACTAATTTCCTGTGCCATATTTTCCAATACATGAAAAGATGTCAACATCTACCTACTCTCTACATAATTTTAATTTGATTCACAATTTTCCACAGAAAGTGCCAAATGATAATAGAGTAAATTATGGTCGGCCCCGAGGTAAGGTCAAATTATGAAAAAAACCCTTCTGTTTGGGGTAATTACAACCAACCTCCTCAACTATGAATATTCTTACACGTCCACCCTTCCGGTGTCAAATTTAGTGGAATTTTCTACATTATATGGAATATTCTCCAGTTTGTACCCGATCTATTCCATTTAACCTCCACATTATAAGGCAAGATGGTCATAAGATGTGCTTTTTAGATTGTATATATATCAGATTGTAGTGTATCAGAAGTTGTGTTTTTGCACAAAACGAATACAAACTAGAGAGCATTCCATGAAATCTAAAAGATTATGTTGAATTTGACACCATAAAGGTGGACGTGTAAGAAGATTCATAGTTGAGGGGTGTAGTTGGAATTATCCAAACATGAGGGATTTTTTCTGTAATTTGACCTTAACCCAAGGTGCAACCGTAATTTATCCAATGACAATATGAAAGGACCTGCTAATAAATATTATATTTCACTCACTTCAACATCAGAGACAGTGACACTGACAGAGGAAGACTCCCTCGTTGACTTGGATTGAAGACCTGACTTCAAATATTATTATAAAAAAATTATATTTTTGACCTCACATGTTTGTTTATTTTATTAATAACTTGGGATTAAGTATTAAATTACTGTAATAAACACATTTTATAAAGACTGTAAGTACATTGTTTAATGAAAACAGGGGCTTAACTAACCTATTTTAATAGCTCGAGGGCTCATCTGCTATTTTTTCAAGAAAACGAGGGGTAAAAACACAATAAATCAAGAAATTGGGACCTCTCCTGTACAACTATTAAATTCCTATATGCATGACAACTGACGGTGACTTCTCCATAATGAAGAAAACACAACTGCACTAATCCTTAATTATCCAGAAATTAATCATGGGTTTTAAGACATAATCAAGAACTAACACCCCAGCTAACAACAACTAGTTGTAAGAGTTCTCACACCTATAAATCTCACCCAAAATTTCAAACAATTATAACAGCATCAAAGAAAAGAAAAAAAAAAAAAAAAATTTAAAGATGAAACTCACCTCAAACTCGAATAATTCCATGCTGTTCTTTCTGATCTTCTTATTCTCCATCTCAGAGAATGCACTTGTATCCAAGTCGACAAATCTCCGACAACGCTGCCTCCATGACCAGAGAAGAGCTCTCATCAAACTCCAACAAGACATCCTCAACAACAACGCTTCCTCCATCACTTTCGACGACAATTCGTACCCGAAGGTCGAGAATTGGGACGAGAAAGTAGACTGCTGTTCGTGGGAAGGCGTGCATTGCGATAATTACGGCCACGTCGTTAGCCTAAACCTCAGCTACAGCCAAATCTCGGGCAGAATCGAAGCCGTGTTCGATCTAATCCATCTCCAAAATCTCAGCCTCGCTCGAAACAACTTCCAGCTGAGTCCGATCCCTTCCGGTTTTGAGAAGCTCGCGAATTTGACGCACCTCAATCTTTCCTACTCTTGCTTCTCCGACCAAATTCCGCCGGGAATTTCTCGTTTGGAGAAACTAGTGTCGCTCGATCTCTCCACGATTTCTTTTTGCGAGCTGCCTCCGACTTTCAATGATCCGGACTCCAACCATGTCTTCCATTTCGAAGAGCTGCATAGACTGAGGCTCGAAAAACCGAATCTTGATTCGTTTTTTCGGGATTTGAGAAATCTGACGGAGGTCTATCTTGATTATGTGGATCTTTCTGCCCAAGGGACAACCTGGTCTCGAGCCCTATCGGGACTTCACAACCTTAAAGTCCTCAGTTTGCCTCACTGTCGGCTCTCCGGTCCTATTGATACCTCGTTCAAGAATCTGAAATCTTTAAACTTCATCAACCTGGAAGGCAACAATCTCTCGTCTGAGGTGCCTCGTTTTCTACCAGGTTTTACGGATTTGCAAGTGTTGAATCTCGCTTCGACTCAACTTTATGGCGACTTCCCTGGAAATGTTTTCCTCTTACCAAAATTACAAACCATCGATCTGTCGAAGAACTCGAACCTGACGGGGGAGTTGCCTGAATTTCCCTCAAAAAGCTCGTTGCAAATGGTTTCTCTGTACGAAACGAACTTCACAGGGAAACTGCCAGATTCGATCGGCAATTTGAAGGCCATGACGAATTTGCTTCTTTACACATGCAACTTCTATGGTTCGATCCCACGGTCACTAGCAAACCTCACTAGTGTGGCTGAAATCGACATTAGCTACAACAAGTTTGAAGGCACAATCCCGGCTTTCGGAGATTTCAGCGTGCCGAAACTTCAAGATCTTCGGTTATCTTTCAATCTACTCACGGGCACAATAGAGCCTCGTATTTTCACACTCCCGTCTTTAAAAATCTTGTACTTGAACGACAACCGTTTAAGTGGGGTCGTTGGGGAATTTTCAGCCTCCTCTTCGGTTTTGGAGAAGGTTTACTTGAACGGCAACAATCTGAGTGGGGGTATACCGAGATCGATCTCCGAGATCCCGAGCCTCAGCTTCGTTTCGCTAGCTGCCAACGAATTCACCGGCTCGATGCAGATGGATGCTTTCCAAAACCTCGAAAACTTAACGAGCCTCGATCTTTCTTTCAACAGCTTAACCATCGGAGCCGACAAACAGGATTTGGTGTTTCCAATGCTGGAGGAGCTGAAATTGAGCAGGTGCAACCTGACAGAGTTCCCTGCTTTTCTCAAGAACCTAGAACAGCTTAGGACATTGAATCTTTCGAACAATCAAATTCGAGGACCTGTTCCTAAGTGGCTGTGGACTAGCTCTTTGAATGAGCTGGATCTTTCAGAAAACGAGGTAGATTTTCCTAATGGTCACGAAGAAAACGGCACGTTTTCTCCTTTGGGAAAATTGACGATGCGTTCTTGCAACGTTTTCGAATTCCCGGAGTTTCTGAAAGTGACGGACAGCCTCTGGTACCTTGACCTTTCAGGCAACAAAATAGAGGGCAAAGTACCGAGCTGGATTTGGAAGAGCAGTCTCCAATACGTGAACATTTCCCACAATAGTCTCGATTCGATGGAAGAATTCTATCCTAATATCACACTGGATCTGCTGGCAACTCTCGATATTCGAGGAAATTCACTTCGGGGATCGCTTCCAAAAGGGATTTGCAAACTGAGCAGCCTTTCGATTCTGGATGCTTCTCATAATAAACTCAACGGATCAATTCCAGAATGTCTAGGCATGATGGTTTCTCTCTCCGTGTTGAATTTGCAGCGGAACAAGTATACACGAATCCCTTCAAATTTTGCACCAGCAAGCAAACTGAGGTCTTTAAACATCAACGGCAATCTCTTGGAAGGAAATCTTCCGAGGTCAATAGCAAACTGTAAAATGCTCGAGGTGTTGGATCTCGGAAACAACATGATCACAGACACGTTTCCCTTCTGGATGGATAAACTACCCGACCTGAAAGTTCTTGTCTTGAAGAACAACAAATTCTACGGGCAAATACAACTTCCGGCTACAAGAAACTTTTCTCTTCCAAAGCTGGGAATAATCGACCTCTCGTCGAACAACTTTACCGGAGATTTGCCTCGGGAGTTTCTGGAAAGTTTGGACGAAATGTTAATGAACAGAAAAAGCAAGTCTGCAGCATTTAAAACAATTGGGCAATACGAGTACTATCAAGATTCAGTGACGATTATGAGCAAAGGATACGAAATGGTCCTCGTGAGAATACTTACAATTTTCGTCTCTCTTGATCTCTCCAACAACAGGTTTGTTGGAAAAATCCCTGAAGAAATCGGAGAGCTCAAATCGTTGGTTGTGCTCAATTTGTCGAGAAACGGGTTCGAAGGGAGAATCCAACCTTCGTTGGGGGATTTGGTGGAGCTGGAATCGTTAGACCTCTCGCAGAATAAACTATCCGGGAATATTCCTCAGCAGCTTACAGGGCTTACTTTCATGTCGGCTTTTAATATTTCTTACAACAATCTGACAGGGAGTGTGCCTCGGGGAAACCAGTTCGAGACGTACACGAACGATTCGTATATTGGCAACGTTGGATTGTGTGGCCAGCCATTGTCGAAGAAATGCACATCTGATGATCCAGCGACACAACCTCCATTACTATCGGACAGTGGTAGTTCGGAAAACGTGAGCTTATTCGACTGGAGATTTGCAGTATCTGGATACGGATGCGGAGTAGTTGTCGGATCTGCACTCGGCTATACATTTTTGCCGAATTTTCAATATGGCAGAGGGCGCGTGAAGATTGGAAGATGGGGTAGAAGATGAGAAATATCATTGTGTCGAAAATCCGAACCTTTTCTAGAGCCTGCAGCTAGCTGATAAGTAAGAAAACAGATTTATCCTCAGTAGCAGTTATTTCAATATATTAAGCAATAATCCCTTATAAAATGGCTATATATCTTCAATGTAGATATTTTGATTAGAATATTTCAACAAAATAAATCTGAAAAATGCACTATCCACGAAGAAGAAAACTTTCAAATAGCACAATTACGAACAGAGAATTAGTACAACGCACTGGTAATTAATTAAGCATTATTGTACCTGAATTAAAAGGCGATACGCCAAGATACAATTAAAGGGCAACAGTGCGCAATTCGACAAGTACAATCGTCTACAATCGTAACCTAATTCAAAGAGGAATAAAAAAAAAAGGGGGGGATGAAATCTCCTGGTTCGACTATCTACACTGTTTTCCCCCTTTCTCAGTACGGCTAATGAACGATTCAGTTTTGGGTAAAAGGTGGAGTCTCGGGAGAGAATTTGGAGCGGCGGAGGGCGGCGAGGAAGAAGGGATTGCTGAAATGGCGGTGGCGGAGCGGAGGCGGGGAAAACTGAAATATGTAGGAGGATCGGTTATTGTTATTTAAATTTGTTCATATTAACTTTCGTTCGTAACTCATAATTACGCGAAATTAATTAATGAGCCAATAATAATGTAATATATATATATATATTAATTTTGTACAATAATGGATATAATTTAACAATAAACATTAAAAATTTAATATATGTTATTAGGAAAAATTGATATAAAGTTACCTTTTAATTTTTAGTTATAATAATTAATAAATATAATTACTTAATTTCAGCTATAATATAATAATTTGGCTAAATTACAACAACCCTGAGTTAAGGACAAATTACGAAGAAAAAAAAAAACTTTCATGTTTGGGTAATTATAATTACCCCTCAACTATGAATTTTCTTACACGTTCACCCTTATGGTGTCAAATTAAACATAATCTTCTAGGTTTCGTAAAATGTTCACTAGTTTGTACTCGTTTTACGCAAATATGCAATTTCTGATGCACCACAAGCTGATATATACAAGCCAAAAAACGCATCTTATGATCATCTTGCATCAAAATGTGAAGTTCGAATGGGATAAAACAGAAACAAACTTGAGAATATTCCATATAATTTAGAAGATTCCACTAAATTTGACAATGCAAAGATGGACGTGTAAAGAGATTCATAGTTGACATGTGGTAGTAATTATTCAAACATGAGGGGTTTTTTGTAATTTGACATTACCTCAGGGGTTGACCGTAATTTACCATAATTATTCTACTTAATAAGAAATTAGCAAATGTACATGATGTGAATTTTGGACCATAGTCCAAAAATAGTTTAAAAAATGTAAAATTATAGGTTCACATGGATCCGGGCCAAACCCTGAAACACTTGCGATAATAGCCCACAAATTAAGCCCGCCTATTACACGGCCCGGCCCGGCCCAAATTGAATACGGATGAGAGGAAGGATATTTCGGGAAATAATGTAATATGATGCCAAAAGACTTTCGGTATACAAGGAGGAGAAGAGGCCACGTCGACTGCCACAGCCATAAGCATTAAAACCTCGTACCCCCTGCCGACAAAGTACAAACCTGTCTTTTGATTTTTTTATTTTATTTTATTTTATTTATTTCTTTTTTTTTTCTGACAATTACTATTTGTTTAATTAATTAATATAAGGATACAGGTGTTTTACTATTGTTTAACAGAATTCAGAAATCGAGGTCCCCTTCTAATTAATTATTGAAATTTGAACCACTTGCATGAAAATTCTGGTCTAATCTCAAGTTTTAGATAAAATAATTTAATATGTAATTAAATATTTGTATTATCTTCATAATTAAGTATTACAACATTATATAATTAGAATGAGGGTTGAGAGGACACCTATTTTTAAATAGAATCTTGCTTTAATAATCCCATTCAATATTGGGTCAAATAATCAATGGATTAATCCCGGAAATATAGTATTTTCTCACTTCGCATTCTTAAAAGAACTTCATGGCATTTTGTAATCTCGAAACACAATGATTCATTTACTATGCACATTGAATTGAATATTTAAAATTTAACAAATGTAATTTTATATATTTTGTCGGTTTATTTATTTCTCGAATGCAAAATGACAAACTGAACTATTATTTTCTTCTACCTCCAACTTTATTTTGAGCGTATGAAGTGCAAAATAACAAAAATCGCACATGAATTACTGAAGGAAAAAAAACTATATTTATTTACAAAAAGAATTAAATAAAATCTTCTCACTAAATTATTCGTTTAATGAATTTTTATTATAGTTGGTGAAAATATTAATTTAATATAAATTCTGGAAAGAGAATATAATTTTCAAATAACTTTTAATTTTTAAAATATGTTGATGAAAGATGTATTTTCATTTTGCACTTTATACATTCGAAAGGATTGATAAATATTAAAAAAAACAAAATTGACCCTCGGCCTCCTAAAAATTACCACAAAAAATATTACATTACCTTCATTAGCTTTAAAAATTCATTCAGAGTGCACGCATTGCGCTTGATTTATTGTGTTTCGAGTGTGCAAATTGCTATTAATTTTTTTGAGAATGCAAAGTGGAATTAAGCCAATAATCAATATATTTTTCTTTCATTCTTGCACCTTGATTTAAAATATAATACCTAACAAAAAATTGACTCAAATTTATTGCATATTAAGTCAATCAAACAATTTATGTTGAGAGTTCATTTGGCAATGTGTGGATGGGGTTATACATACATTATATAGATATATAGATATAAAGATGTTGAATAACTCCTAATTAATATCTGGGCTACGTTATTAGCACGGCTCTTATGGCGCGTTTGGTAAAGCTAGAATAGGGGTCTAGTCAAGAAAGAAAAAAGGTCGGCCGACACTACCTTATCCACATGTCATTCCTAAGGTTCTTGTTGCCCACGTGGCAGTCTGTTATTGGTTTATAACCATCTAGCTAAGCAGCTTTGCTTTGAGGTGATGTATCAATGGTAGATTTTCTCTTAGATTTTAGACCATGGGTTTTTAAAGTTTAGCTAAACAAATATTAAAAGTAAAAAAAAAAATCTCCTTTCACTTCAAATAATTTATTAAGAATTAATGCCTAAATAGTAAATACTATGTATTTTTCAACTAGTATTTGTCACATTGGCTATGTTTGTTACCGTTTTCAAATTCTTTCCACACTTTCCCCAAAATGAAAATTATCTACACTATTTTCAAAAACTTTCCCCAAAACAAATTCAAATATTTCTCTCTCTAACAAATATGATTTGACCGCTACAGTGAAAATTGTCTTCACTAAAATACAAAATCAAATCACTTTATCTTTTCAATTCTTCTTCCAAAATACCTTTTTCCAACATCTTTCAGACGTGATTTGACTTGCTACAGTACAAATTGTCTCCTCCCAAAACACAAACAAACTTTATTTAATTTTCAAATTCTTCTCCCAAAACATCTTTCCCCAAAATAAAATGGAAATGGAAGCCCAAAAGCTTACCAAACACAGCCATTGTGTTCCAAATTGTGAACACGAATAAAACAAATGTCATTGTTAAAATACACTAATGATTAACGAAACGCATGAATATATCTGACGATTCGAATTTGATTTTTCATATAAATATTATTAGGTCGAGCTCGTTGTAGAAAAAATTACATTGTCCGGTATAATTTATACCTCTCGTTTGCGTACAAAATATATATTACACAAGAGCATAATACTACCCAATATTCATATACACATACAATTAGTGTATGCTAGCCATGTTTGATTTAAAAACTTGAGCTCTTAGAGCAACTCAAATTGGCTTATCAAATAGGTTATTCAAATTTTTAACTATATTATTTACATATTAGACAATAAAAAAATTAAAATTCAATGGAGTTATCGAATAGGTGTACCTATTTTGATAATTCACCTCTTAGGATGTAAATAAATCGATATATTAAAAATAAAACCACTTAAACATCCAATCATAAGTTGGCATGTATCAATTACATATAAAATTACCCATAAACTTCCTATTGATACTTAATTTAATAATCATGGATGAAGTAAATGAATTTTAGAATGAAATTAATGTTTGTTTATATTTTGGAAGGAGACCAAAAATACATTGCAGTAATCAAATTATGTTTAAATGTGTTAAAAAATATATTTTAGAAAAAAAAACAAATTGAAGGAGAAATAAACTTTTGAAATTGTTTTGAGAAAAAATATTTGAAAAGTTTGACTACCACAATTTTATTTTGGGGAAACAATTAAAACAAAATAAAAAAACTTCCAAACATTGCCCAAGCTGTTGTTTGTGCTTTTTCTTATTTAAAATAAGTTTTTTTAAGTTATAATTTTCAAAACAATCATTTACCTTCTTTTTCTATTTTAATTAATTTTTCAGTTAAATTTATAAATACCCAAATTTTTTGGAATAAGCACTTAATCCCAATTTAACTCATATGGTGTTTGCAAAAGCTTATTTAAAAGCATAAGTTGGTGATTGTGAGTTAAGTTGATATTAAGTGCTTAATTCTAAAAGTTGGGTGTGTTTGCAAAAAATCTGGAAAAATAACTGAAATAGAAAAAACAGGTTAAAATTATAGCTTAAAGCAACTTATTTTAAGAGAAGCAAAAGCAAAAGTCAATTTTGCAAACACCTAAAAAACAGATTATGAGAGAAAAAAAGTTCCTAATCAATTTTTAAAAGCTTTTGCAAACACCACCATAATCACTAACTTGTATTTTAAATAAGCTTTTTCAAACTCCACCGAAATATATTTCCCTAAAATTCATTTATAATTACTATTTTTCTTAATAAATACTTGTGTCAAAATTTCAAACGAAGTGGGATGAAGTACATTAATAATTCTTAATAATTAATCACAACCAAACAAAGATTTAAATGACTAAATATATGTAATTAAATAGTAAAGTACTAAATTTAAGTGGGTGGGTATCAAATCAATCTTGATGGAAGAATAAACTTTCCATTTTCATACATTATTGATTTTTGACAGTGCCCTTTCGTGTGGGGGAAGGGGAACCAATGCATGAAAATGGCAAGTGGCCTTGGTTTCTTCTTTAAGTTATTTTATTTATTTATTATATTTATTTTAGTTTTATTTTTATTTATTTATTTATTTTTATGTTTTTGGTGTTTGTGTGAACGACAAGAATCCCCCTCTTCTTGCAAATTGACATCATTCGTGATGTTATCATTCCACCCTAATAATTTTTATAAATCTAAATTCTAAATCTCTGTAAATTAGAACTAACAAAATTCTATTAATTTTACAAAATATTAAATTAGTGAATTGATAATGTAGTGTTTTTTTAGTTGGGATCAGAAGAAATTATTATGTAAGCGAAATTATTAATATTATAATAATTTTGCTAAAATTAAGATTTTTTTTTCGAAAAAAAAAATTAAAAGAAAAAGGGATTTGTTTTATTAAACATTAACCTTTGTATATTTCTTTGTTTTTTAATTGCCGAATTTTATTTAATTATTAAAAAAAAAATCCTATTTGGACCAAGCCTAAGATTCCAGATGTTATATCAATCGGGAAATTGGTAATTTTGGTCCTCTATGTTAACCGGTTTAGGAATTAGTTCTCGAGATTGTTATATTTCAATTTTACACACAATAACTTTACAAATTTAACGTTTTTGGTCCTATTTTGCTCGAAATTTTGATTCTACTCCTTGATAAATTATGTGGCTAATAAACTCATCGTAATTTAGTTATATGAATATTTATTAATTATAAATAGTTCTCTAACTTGATTTATAAACTTGTCATCTCACGTGATAAAAATTCTACCAAAACCTAAGATAGATGTGGAATTATAATTTTTTAAAGTCCGTATAAGTAAAATCCGTAAAATTTGTTTGTCATATGATAAAATTTGAGTTCAAGCAATTAAGAGAGGATAAAAATGCCAAAATTACAAAGTTATTGCATGTGAAATTGAAATGGGATAACTTGAAGGACTACATCTCTAAATAGACCAACATAAAAGACCGAAACTACAATTTTCCTTATATCAATACATGTACTCTGTACTAAATTCGGTTCTTACTAAAATAAGTATAGAATAATTACTATTTTTCTTTTTTGCACTAAATACCATTCTTATTACTAAAAAAAGCATAGAATAAGTACTATTTTATTATTTTGTTTAGGATGGTTAATTAATTAGGGGCTCTTTGAGAAAACCCCCTCATTATTTTTTTTAATTGAGGGAGGCCCAAAATATTTTAGTCCATTTGAGAAAAGTCCACACCCATTTTCAGCTATTATGCTTTCCAGCTTTGTCCCCACCCGCCACATCATCAGTGGGTCACGCTCAGCAATTTTTTTTTTTTTTTTTCCGTTTTTTTTCTTAATCGACTATGAAGCATAGTCGATTAAGCCTTAATCGACTATGCTTCATAGTCGATTAAGGAAATTATTTAATTATTTTTTTTTTTTGTTTTTTTAATTTTTTTTTTCTATATCAGGTGTATTAATCGACTATGATGTGAAGCATAGTCGATTAAGAATCTGCTACTAAAAATAACAAATCACAACTGCGAAAAAAATACAAAATCAACTATATATTACCAAAACAAAAAAATATACAAATATTATAAATGATTTATACAATTGAAAGCAATAAACAAAAAATCCAAAAAAAATAAAAAAAATTGGAGTCGATGAACCTTAATCGACTACCAGAGCATAGTCGATTAGCTTAATCGACTATGAACATGTACATAGTCGATTTAGGTTTCATCCACAAAAAAATCAAAAAACAACCTCCCCTTCGTCACCACACCACCCAGAGCTCCTGCCATGGCCGAACCCGTTAGGTTTTAAGAAAAAAAATTGGCAATTCATCAAAAAAAAAAAAGAAAAAGCTATGGAAATTGAGCATCAAATTATAGTGAGGGGTGAAGAGGAACAACAAACAAAGCAGCAGGTACAACTCATCAATCCACCTTCACCTTCATCCTCACCCTCCCATGAATTCTCCTTCACCATCTCCCTCCACCCGCCGCCCCAACCGCCGCCGCCACAACCGCCGTCCGACATTAACACCAACAAACCAAAATCCCCTCCTCCAATCGCCGCCATCGATTTATCTCCGGCGGATGAAATCTTCTTCCACGGCCACTTACTCCCCCTCCACATCCTCTCCGGCGGCGGCGTTGGTCAACGGAGGCACCTTTCATCATTTTGGCAACGGTATCAGTGGACGGCAGAGGAGAGATAGTGGTGGTGGTGAACTGGGGAGGAATGAAGAGAGAGAAATGGGGTTGTTTGTTGATGAACGGTGAGCCAGGTTGGCAGCGGCGACGGGGGCGACGGTGATGAGAAGATTTGTCGGAGAAAGAAAAAAAAAAAAAAACAAAGAACACGGCAGAAGAGAAGCAGAAGACGAGAAGATGAGAAGACAAGAAAAAAAAGAGAGAACGGCAATGGGTTAGGGGTAATAAGGGTGGTTTGGGAATTATTAAATAATATTTGGGTAGGATATTAGGTAAGGGGGGTTTTCTCTAATTATTTTTGGGAGGGGGGGTTTTCTTAACTCATTTACCTAGATGAGGGGGGTCTTGCTAATTATCCCTAATTAATTATATGTGTTACGAATATTACATAGTTTTCATCCAAATAAGTCTACTAAAGAAAATATAAGTGCGTACTTTCTAGGGTTGGCATGAATAAATATATAATTACACATCAATTACTCATGCTAATTTGTTAAATTAAATTACCCTACACTCGATTAAGTGTATATACAAGTTACATAATTATCATAGCAATAATATTTAAGTAGTCTAGTGTGGTTTACGTCTCTCATATAATTAACAAACTATTGTACGTGGGTGTAATTTATCCAGTGCACCTATATATAGCTCGCTGCTTGTTTCTTCATTACAAAATTTGAATTATAAAAATATCATCCAAGTATGTGTACAATTTTTATCTAATTGATAAATACATATACTAACTAGTTGTTTCGAATTTATCGTGTGAAGCACTGATAATCGTCTCGATGGCATCATCGAGACGGTTAGCACATCGATATATAATAGATTCATTGATGTTTAATCAAGCTTGAGAAATGTGACTCAATAAAATATATAAGAAAGTATTTTTGTCAGACAATACATATTTGAGGGAGCAGTTGAAATTACAGAAATATAAGAGAGTTTTTCATAATTGAATATTTACCTCACTCATTGACTTTAATTATTAATAAGAGCAACTCCAATGGAATTATCAAATAGAGTATTCAAACATTTAACCCCCATTTACATACTTAAAAATAGAAATCTTTAACTCCGATGAAGTTATCAAATGAGGTTTCCATTTTGATTATTCACCTTTTGGGTTGTAAACATACTTGTTAGAAATTGAGTTATAAAAAATGTAACCTCCTAAACATCCAATCAGAAGTTGACACGTGACAATTACAAATAAAATCACCCATAAACTTCCAATTGATGATTAATTTGATAACCATGGTTGGATAACCATAATCGGAGTAGATGAGTTTTAAATTAATATTAAAATAATTCTCAAATATCAAATAAGTATTTGATAACTCAATTTTAATAATAATAATAATAATAAATAAATAAATAAATAAATAAATAATACATTAATAAATAAATAATAATAATAAATAAATAATAATACAGACATCTTTTCATTTCATGAGCGTTTGTTTGTTAGACTGTTAACATTCCACTCTCTCTCATCTTTTCTTTCTCTCTCTACATTTTCTCTCTCTCTCTCTACATTTCTTCTTCTTCCTTCTTCTTCATCCTTCCTTGAGAAAGCGATCAGAATTTACTCAACACGGCAATAATTAAACCCGGTTCGGAAATGCAACTCCTCCGATTCTCTTTTTCTCTCACTAAAAACCCTTTCCCCTCTCATCAATTTTGGTGACTGGGGTTTTCGGTTTTTGATTTGTGCTTACATTCATTCATTCATTCAGGTACATATATACATATACATATAATGGAGATATATAGATACAGATATATATAAACACAATTACCAGATGGTATCTCTATTTAGTATTTTCTCTCTCTCTCTTACGGAGAAATTAACCATCTGCAAATACTGCCCAACTAGGCGGTGTACACCTGCTGCATAGAATTACAGCTGTTTTTTTTTTTGTTTTTTTTTTTATTTAATTTTTTTGTTTTCTACGCAAAAACACGCAGTGGTGTGTGAAATGCTGGATCTGAACATCGACGCCGGATTTTCCGCCGAGGAGAAAACTGACCGGAAGGAGGAGGCCGAGAATACCGCCGACGCCGATTCGTTTACCTCCACCACCACCACTACCACCTCCGCCACCAAAAATGGCGCCGATGAGCTCGACTCCGACAGCCGTGCACCCGGAGACTTCGTCTCCACTCTCAATTTCTCCATCCTTGGCGAAGACGTGGTCGAAATCGATCGCGACGTGGTTAATGATAATACCAGAAGCGAGCTGCAGCTTTTTCCGGTGGGTGATTTGTATTCGTCACCGGTGGCGGACAAAGCTAGGTACTGGTTGAATCTATCGGCGGCGACGGAGGTCTCCGCCGCCGGTGGGGTGGAATTGGGGGTTTTGACTGCAGTACAACTGCCGTCCCCTAATAATCAGGTGCAACCGCCGGCGGCGGCGAAGAAAGGTAGGCGTGGGCCCCGCTCTCGGAGCTCGCAGTATCGAGGGGTTACTTTCTACCGGAGAACTGGAAGATGGGAGTCGCATATCTGGTCCGTCTATATATATATATATATATATACACACACATTCACACACACACACACACATATATATATACATACATTATATATTGCATGCATGTCTGGGTGGGGTTATATATGTAGATGTGTGGGTTTTAATTAGGGTTCCTTCTTTGGATATGTTCTGTACTTCATACTACAGTACCTGTACTTTTGCTGCTATATATAGAATATATATTATTATATATCATTAGTATGGGTTTTTCTTGTTTCTATATTTAGTCCCAATAAATTTGGAAATTATTCCATCTTTCACAATTTGTTCATCAAATTTTGTGGGCTTTTCCGGTTCTTTCTATGCTACACCGTGGATGTTCACAATCGATCTACACACACCAATGTGGGTGTGTGTGTGTGTGTGTGATTTTGAGTGAGTAACTGTGACTGTAACTGAATTCTGTGACTGTCACTGAATTCTGTGTGTTTTGATGTTGCAGGGATTGTGGTAAACAAGTATATTTGGGTAAGAACGTAACAGTGAGCATTTCGTTTTATCTATCCCGTTTTTCAATTCGTTGTTGTGTAGAAACAACGAGCGATAAATTTTGCCTAAATGATTTATATAATCGACCGTTCATATATATCTCCTCGTTTCGGTTCTGCTTACTAATTGGTTTCGTGTTTCTTTCCAGGAGGATTCGACACTGCTGATGCAGCAGCTAGGTAAGAAATACGACTTGCAAGTTACGATATAGATGTTCGGAATCTTTTAATTTTTGAGTTCTTTTTAGAAGTTAATTTTAGTGAAATTACATTATGTATCTCGCAGAGCATACGATCGTGCAGCGGTCAAGTTTCGTGGAGTTGATGCCGACATTAATTTCAATATCAATGATTATGTTGAGGACATGAAACAGGTTGATTATTATAGATTAGTGTATGTATATGTATATGTATATATAGATACACAATTTTTTCAAGAAGTGAAATGACAAGAATTGATGATTTTGTAGATAAAGAACTTGACGAAAGAAGAATTTGTTCAAACACTTCGCCGACAAAGCAGTGGGTTCGCTCGAGGAAACTCAAAGTACAGAGGTGTAACCGTGCACAAATATGGTCAATGGGAAGCACAAATGGGTCAAATCCTCCAGCATAAGTATGACTTCCCTTTCAACTTTTCATGTATAAAAAGGATTATATATATATATATATATATATATATATATATATATATATATATATATATATATATATGTGTGTGTGTGTGTATGTATATATATGTTTGTACTAGGACCTATTGTTCGTTTATTGGGTTTCGTTTAAGCTTCCATTTGCGTTTCTGAATTAGGGTTTATGACAAAGCAACTATTATGAATAATCCGAGACAGCCGTTTGCCAACGTCATGCCTAGTAATTACAAGACCGAAATAACTACCACTTCCACAGACGGAGGTATATATACATATATACGTATATGTGGAAACGATTTGTTGGTTTCGTTTTGTTTCGTTTTTCTATTGCAGGAAACCGGCAGCTGATTCTGTTAAGTTGAATTGTTGCTTCAGGTAGTAGTGGGAATCTTGATCTGAGCCTTGGAATTTCTTTCTCTTCGGATAATCCGCTCACGAATTACACCACCAAGAACTTGCACTCTCCTTACGCATCTAATGAATCTCCCGACGCGAAAAGAATAAAGGTACTTAGGCTAATATGCATGAATTTTTGCTTCAGTGTTTGAATATTCTCCTTTCGATTTTTCATTTTCCGATATAGAATCAATTTTTTTTCCTTTAATTTTTCATCATGGTTCGCTGTGTCAGTCTTCGTAAAATTTTAAAATAAATGTTGTTCCACAATAATAAGAAGAAATTATGATAAACCGGTAAAAGATAGTGCAAAGACATAAACAACAGAAATTACGATAAACCGTTAAAAAAACCACTTATGTATGTTGTTTTCTCGGATCTACTCGTGTCGATCTAGGTATAGATAAATAATTCTTTTGCCCCATTGCTCTTGTTTCGATCGGGTACTGTTATATATTTATTCACTGCAAGATTTTATTATAATATGATCTTCGGAACTCATTTAATAAATCCATAATAATCATTGGTTCGACTCGACAGGTTATTCAACCCTCTTCCTCCCACGGGCTAAGAATGACAGCCATGTGTGCTTCAATGGGAGAAGCCACATATTCTGCTTTTTCACCGAACAATAAGGTAACTAGTCTCTAAACAAGAATCAATCAACTGGGTTAATTATATTACTAGCATTCTTGATTTATTTAATTTATTTTTATTTTTTAAATGTTGGATCGAAAAGAAAAGAAATTAAATGTTGTTTTAGGGTCACAAATTTAGTGACGGAAAAATCTTTTTTTTTTTTTGTTGCATCAGGAAAGAGCCGTGCCACATTTTTCGTATAATGCAACATCATCAAGATTCTCTTCCACTACTACAACGACGACTACGACAACCTCTCCGTACGCCAACTCGCTGACATCATCCACATCTACACCACAATTTGCCGACACATCTCTTCACAGGCTCTTATGACCGTTAGCTCCAGTTCGAAACCACTCAATAAAATCACCGGCAAGTGAAGCTATAGCCCCAGGTTTATTCGATCTCTTTTTAATCATACATATTATTGTTAAAAAAAAAGACAAAAAAAGGAAAAACGAACATTGTGTACATTCTGAATTCTAGTAAGAAATCGGAAGGACGTTTATTAATAGTGATGTGGTGAATTAACTGTGGTTATGATCTTTGGCTGGGAAAATATATGTCAAAGTGTTGATGATAGTTGTTATAACTTCAATGAAAGGTGACATCTAGTGAGGCTTGGTCATTTCTTTTAGGGTTAAATACAAAAACACCCTTGTACTATGGACTTTGTATCATATACCCCTTGTACTACACATAAATACAAAAACCCCCTGCTGTTATATTTTTTCCAAAATTTGACGAAAATACCCCTGATAAACCTATAAATATAAGGGTTTGTTTGAGCCATTTTCCACTATATTTTTTAACATTTTCGGTCAATTTTACTTGGGAAATTTTGATATTTTTATTTTTTTCTTCAAAACATTTAATTACTTTGATTTTTTTACAAAAAAAATCTGAATAAAACCTTTTTTATTTTTGTTATTTTGAATTTTTTCATTTTTTTTCTTAAATGTCTTCCGGTAGTTCAAATTCTCAACAATAATAGGATTGTAAAAGGATTGTAAAGATGTTTGAACTAGCGGAAGACATTTAAGGACAAAAAATGAATAAACTCAAAATAACAAAAATGAAAGGTTTTATTTAGAAAATTAAAAAAATCTAAGCAATATATATATATATATATATATATATATATATATATATATATATATATGCATGAGTAGGGGTATTTTCGTCATATTTTGAAAAAAAATTGTAACGTGAGGGGGGTTTTTGTATTTATGTGTAGTATAGGGGGTATATGATTCAAAGTTCATATTACATGGGTGTTTTTGTATTTAACCCTTTCTTTTAATTAGGAACTTTTATATTTAGGGTAAATTACAAACATCCCCCTGAGGTATGGTCAAATTACAAAAACCCCCCTCTTGTTTGGATAATTACATCTACCCCCTCAACTATGATTTTTTCTTACACCTCCACCCTTATGGTGCCAAATTCAACATAATCATCTAGAATCCGTGGAATGTGCTCTAGTTTGTACTCGTTTTGTGTAAAAATACAATTTCCGATGCACCACAAACTGATATATACAAGCTAAAAATCACATATTATGATCATCTTGCTTCATAATGTAGTGTTTGAATGGGATAAACGGGTACAAAAGTGATAATATTTCATATAATCTCGAAGATTCCACTAAATTTGAGGAGTTGAGGGGGTGGTTGTAATTATCCAAACAGGAGGGATGTTTTTGTAATTTGATCATACCTCAGCGGGGTGTTTGTAATTTACCCTTATATTTATATGTTTTAGTATTTATGCTGCGGAAAATATTCCACGCAAATTAAATATGTATTAAGGTGGTGTTTGCAAATATTTTTTCGAAGTGATTATAAAGTTTTTTTTGGGTCCAAATTAGTTTTTCTTTAAACAATAAAAAACTCATAATCACTTTGGAAAAACGTTTGCAAACACCACCTAAGCCTTGTTTATGTTGAGAAGTGCTTAAAATATTATAAATTGAAATAACCTTTTTTGTTTTTTACCCAAAAACGATTCCGAATATTTTCAAATATTGTTACATTTTTAAGAATATGGACAATTTGCTAAACATCATGAGCACTAATAGCCTGTCGGATCGGGACAATCATATTTGACTATTTTTGCATTTTGATAAAAGTATACCGAGCACTTTAGTTAGAGAGATTCGATATAAAATAGTCATTTTAGACTGAAAATGTCTTATTATCCTTCAATTCAACCATCCTCAAAACAACATCCATTCCAAAAAAGTCATATTTATTTCGATTTTCCTCCTCTCCCTACCAGTCTCGTGCCGCTGACTTTCGCCACAGCATTATTGAAAAAAAATGTTTTCAACTATGTCTATTTTCAGTGCAAATTCTTCAATTAAACTGTCTATTTCAAATCTAAATTGTCTATTTGTCAGTCTAAACTCTTCAACTATATTATCTATTTTCAGTCTAAGCTGTCTATTTTTTACTCTAATACTTTAGCAATTTTTCCATTAAGAATAATCATACATACATGATACATATTTTTCATACCAAAACTTAGAATAATGCTTTAGGTTGGATCACAAAATCACTTTGTAACTTCTTGTAACTTTCGATGTTTTTACATTTATATAAATGAAATCTCTCACTCGCCAAAACACATTCACAATTATCTCTCAACAGATTATGTTCATTTGCATTCTCTCTTTATCTCTTTATATCGTTGTTATTATACTTTGTTTCCACAATTAATGAAACCAAAGAGCAATACCAAGGTCGATTTACGACATTCTCTAAATTGTCCAATAAAGAAACCATTTGTTCTTTCATCTATTAACACCTTTAAAGAATAAAAACACACACGAAAAACTTGCAAAAGACAGCATAAAACAACCGATTTGCAACAAAATGTGTCAATCTCTCGTACCAAAGTCTATCTACGCTGGTGTTTTTGCTTCTAATCGGTTCGAAAGAATTCCTTAATGACGATCTTGTTTGGCATAGAGATTTGTTAAACCCCATCTTCAATTATTTACAATTTGTTGTTTATTTTTATATACTACTTTAAACCAATTACTTCAAAAATTTCGTTTATCCCTTGCTAACTTACGGATTGAAATAATTTCAAACTATCTTTCGATTATGACCAGTGGCAAAGCAAACAGAGGACCACGGGGGCCATAGCCCCGCCGACCGCCGTTGTTAAATATGATGGTAACTTACTTGATCATTAAGTTATTCAGTTCTTGCACGGCGTTAAAGGAGACGATTCTTTCTCCGAAATTTCTTTATGGGACTTGAAAGTTAACAAAGGTAATGGATATGAAGTTGTGAATAAGTCTTCCAGAATGCTGAATGCCCTGCCCTGTAGGGCTTCACCATTTCTAAGAAGCTTCCAAGACTTGGAATTTTGGGACAATCATAAATATTCAATTACAAGTGAAAATCAGTCGAATCGAAATTTGGAATGAAAACTTGAGGATATTAAAAAACTAATTCAAATTTTGTTTAAGAAAACTTCAAAGTTAAGAAATCGTATCGGAATTGGAATGAAAAAAAGATTGTTCCCAAATAAGAATTTGTCACATTCAAAGTCGACGAACCAAAAAAAAAAACTCTTTTTTTCTCATTCACCTCTAAATCGAAAAAGTAAAAAAAATAATCAGAATTGTTAGAAATCGAAATAAAAAATATTGTTCTATAATAGAAAACTTCCGGAAAAATTCAAAAATTCCATTTCAACCTAACCGTAGTTCGAAATTTTGTGCGAACAAAACCTCCTAAAAATTTACTCCAAAATCAATAGATAAATAAAATTACACACATCAGTCATTCAATATTGAGCAAATTACGGCCAACCTCCCAAGGTAAGCTCAAATTACAAAAAAAAAAAAAAAAAAAAAAACCTCATGCTTGGATAATTACAACCACGCCTCTCAACTATGTAATATCTTACGAAAAACACTATCATTCAGTACGTAAATTTGACGCCATAAGGGTGGACGTGTCAGTCAATACAAAGTTGATGGGTGGTTGTAATTAACCATACAAGAGGGGGTTTCCATAATTTGAGCTTACCTCGGAGGGCTGGCCGTAATTTGACCTTCAATATTACACAGAAATAAACCCCTAAATATAATTTATTTATTTTTTTTCTGAATTTTAAAATAATGTAGGCTACTTGTTGGTTGACCTATCCGAGTCCCATGTGATAGAAAATGATAAAAAGGAATCTTAAAGCCAATATTTGTCCCCTTTGACAAGTCCTCATACAAGTGGCAAATATAGATTCATAACAACCTCAAATTATATAATTTCAGTTACTGCCCAACTACCACCTTATCATGGCTTTCAATCTGTCAACACAAGTTCGCATCGGGTGGTCTAGTTGTAGGAGCAAGAAATTATTACATCACTCGACTCGAGTTTGAATTCCCTTTGTCAATACTTTTTAGGAGAAACGAAAAAACAATTGAGCCATTCTTGAATTTACTATGAGCTCGAAGGTAAATAAACCCCTCTCGGAGCATGAATGACAAACAATGAACTGTGAGATAGAGACACTTAGAAACAGGACAGAAACTTACATGTCGTGTCGTTATTTCGTAGCAAATGTTGTCTCTTCCAGCCTCAAGCAACCGGGGATGCACGCGTATTTTCAAGAAATACACAGTTATACAAGGCTAGGCCAAAAGATTTAGAGAGAGAAATTTTGAGAGAGAGAGAGAGATGACAGATGCAGCTGTGCAGTTTTTTCTCAAAAAAACTGACAATTGGTTGAGCAGAGAATTAAACTTACCTGATAACATCAGGGCAAGAATCAAGAGCTTGAAAGACGAGCTTGGGATTATGAGAGCCGTTTTCAAAGACATCGATAATCAGAGAGAGCAGCACAACCAAATCCGGGAGTGGATTCAACAGCTTCGAAATGTAAGCTATGAAATCGAGGATGTTCTCGATATAAGGGCATATCAAAAGTACGCTCGTGAAAACACGCCCTGGTATCACATAGGATCAAGAATTGGAAATCACTCAATTGCAGACTTGATAGAAGGGATTGAAGAAAACCTAGAAAACATCAAAAGTCGAAAAGCTGCTTACGATATCAGATTTCCGTCCCATCGTGCTTCAACTTCAACTTCAAGTGATTATGAACGGGAAGGAATTGCTCCTTTGTACACACCAGAAGTTGAAATTGTGGGTGTCGAGGAACAAAGGCAAGAACTTGCTTCTTGGGTACTTGATATTGAACGGGCTTACAAGGTGATGTTCGTTGTGGGAATGGGTGGATCCGGCAAAACTGCACTCGTCAAACTGGTGTACGATCAGCTCAAGACTGACTTCGATTGCCATATTTGGCTCACTGCTTCAAAGTCTGTCAACAGCCAAGAACTCCTCTCGATCATGTTAAGCAAATTACGCACGGAAACAGCGAATTCTCCTCAAACACTCCAGGATCTTGTCAGCATGCTGAATAATTATCTGCGAGATAAAAGGTACCTTATAATTATTGATGATTTGTGGACTATAGAAGTGTGGGATGATGTCAAGTATGCATTACCTAAAGATAAATGCAGCAGAGTTATAATCACTACGAGACGAGGTGATATATCTTCTTCCTGTAGAGAAAGCTCGGTCGATGTGTACAAGATCCAACCTTTGTCTTTTGAAAAGGCTCGAGAGCTCTTCGAGAGAAGATGTCTGTTTCCTTCAGCAACAGGAACGCGTTTGTGGGCTGAAAAAATCTTGAAAAGATGTGAAGGGCTGCCACTTGGGGTCATTGAAATCGGAAAAGCTTTGTCAAACAGATATAAAAGTGAATCCGAGTTGAAGAAACTACACGACAGTCTACAAGCAGAGCTTGCTTCAAGTTCAGGTCAACTGTCAAGCATTAGAAGGGCACTGATGTTGAGTTACGATGATTTGCCGGACCATCTTAAATTCTGCTTTCTGTACATGACCATGTTTCCGGACGATTACTCTGTGAAGCGAAGAACATTGATTAGATTGTGGATAGCCGAAGGTCTTGTAGAGAAAGAGAATGGCAAAGAAGTCGAAGATATTGGAGAAAAGTACCTCGAAGAGCTCATGGAGAGGAACTTAATACAGGCAAGTGAATCGGACTTTGATGGAAGGCCGCAAACTTGCCGACTCCATAGCCTTATGCACAAGATTGCTCTTTCTAAATCAGCAGATGAGAATTTCTGTACGGTTTGGAAAGATCCTAAAGGTGATATTTCAAAGAAGACGCGAAGACTGTCAGTCCAGAGCACCGAATTCGATATGCGAATCGAAATGCCATGTTTCCCTCGTACCTTATTCACATCAAGCTTTTGTCTGAAGACGGCACCACGCATTGGTTCCAGCTTGAAGCTACTGAAAACACTGCATTTGGACGGTGCATCCGTGGACACATTTCCTAAAGGAATCGAAAAGCTCTTACTACTGAAGTATTTGTGCTTGAGCAACACAAGAATCAAGATGGTCCCTGTGTCCATTGGTCGATTGCAGCACCTCGAGACCTTAAATCTCAAGCAAACATTTGTGACATCAGTGCCGGACACATTGACTAATCTGACAGAACTCCGACACTTGCTAATTTGCCGTTACAATTATGATCGTTTGCAGCTCCTCGATGAGGTGAATGGATTCAAAGTACCAACCGAAATAAGCAAATTAACTCATCTGCAAAAGCTATCATTTGTACGGGCAGATAGTGATGACAGAGTGATTCAGGAGTTGCGAAATCTGAAGGAGCTCAGGAAGCTAGCGATTATTGATTTACCAAGAGACAGTGGTCCGATTCTGTGCCAAGTCATTCAATCGTTAAGGAATCTTCATTCCTTGAGTATGACGTCACTGAAGAGGGAAGAAACTCTAAAAATTCAAGAAATCAACAACCCGCCTCAACTCCTTCAACGTTTGTATTTGAAAGGGCACTTGGAGAAGATGCCACGCTGGATCTCCAAACTTCATGACCTTGTTAGACTACGTCTTAAGCAGTCTAGGCTGAGACAAGACAACAATCCCATCACAATTCTCGGGGAACTTCCTAATCTGTTGGAGCTCCAGTTGCTAGATGCCTACACAGGAGTCCAGTTAGATTTCGAAGTTGGAACGTTTCTGAAGCTAAAAGTACTAGAGTTCGATCAAATGAAAGAGCTGACAGTAATCATTATTGACGAGGAGGCATTACCGTGCCTTGAGAAACTCATAATAAGCCGATGTCAGAGGTTGAGGCATATCCCAGTAGGCATTGAGAACGTCACTCAACTCAAAGAGCTCCATTTGGGTCACATGCCGCCTCATTTTATCGAACCGCTTAAAAGAAATGGTTCAATGCGACAACTTGTTCAACATATTCAAAAGATCGACTCCAGGAATCATCACGGTGCATTGGAAGATCTGTCATAGAATCTGAAATTGGTATGGATTAGTGAAGAATCTTTATAGAAAGGGGAACAAGTTTCAAGACAGCTGTGTTAAATTACAGTCCGAGACGGTTGAATTGGTGAGATTAGGAGCTGAAAATTGAAACGAAGTTCTCGACTCAGTAGATTTGTGATTCGAATTTTTTAAATATTAAAGCAGTGTTTTTCATTTTGAATCAAAAGAAACTCGATTTTCAAAATTTCTGATTTTCTTTTGGATCGTAGTGCAATATAAATGATATTTCAATTTTCGTTTCGATTTTACTTTCGGAAAATGACTCCAACAATTACACTTATAGTATCAATATTAGTATTACATGTGAATAAAAGAAATGAAATTTCAAATTTCTGTTTGATAAAAAAAATGATTTTGGAACAAGTCTTTTCATTCCAATTTCCGATTTTTCCAAATGTTTCTTGAACAAAATTGAGATCAGTTTTTCATTTTCAAAAGAAATCCAGATGCTACTTCCAATCAGATCCGTCTGATTTCGCCCAAGTACATTTAAAATTCACCATACAGGGTAATTTCAAAATTCATTTAAGCCCAAAACCTCCAAATAAATCGACTCCCTATTTTTGTTCCAAATAAGTGGAAAACTGTCGAAATCTACACCTCTCTCAATAATTTCATACAATATGGAAATTAATCCCCTAATTAATTGGAATAACGTATGCAACTTGTTTGTTGGCCTACACCAATACCATTTCATAAAGCCTCTATTTGTCCCATTTTGACAACTCTGCATATAATTTCATGCAAGTGGCAAAGACTTCCAATTTTGATAAAGTCTCTCTCTTTTATTCGATAACAAAATCTGTTCATGACAAACTCAATTATACAATTCCAAAAATTACTAACCAAGCCCGACCACCAAATTATCATCAACTTGCCTTTAAACAACCTCACTTTTATCTACGTAATTTTATTATTCATTTAATCAAATTGCATTTTGTTATTCATGAGAATCTCAATTATTTGTATTCATCCGAACAACTGCAGTGCAATAAAATAAAGAAAGGAAATGAAATTATTTTTAAATAATGTATGCAACTTGTTAGCAAGACCAGTGTAGCATGTTGATGTGATAGGCCAATGATAAAAGTTATCTTAAAGCCAATAATTGTCTTCTTTCAGCAGGTCTCTAATTTTTAAATCATCTAAGTAGGTGAGCATCGATATGTTAAATCAAAAGACTTCAAATCTGATCAGGTCTTTCTCTTTTATTCAATAAACAATAACCTACTCATAACAAACTCAGTAATATAATCCCAATTTGCTTGTTCAAACAACGGAATGCCTAGAAAGAGCAAGATTTAGTACCCATGAAAATTCAAGTTTAATACGACTAGTCGTTCTTTCCTTGATCTCCCATTTCATAAAAGAATAAGTAAAAGTGATATTTCTTACCAAGTATTGTCTCTTTAGCCTTCAAATCTACCATTGCTATTTGAGATATTAGACTCCAAATAGAGAGATGGCCGAGGCCGCAGCCACCTATTTAATCGAAAAAACAGACAATTGGTTGACTAAAGAATGGACCTTGTTAGAATCCGAGAGGATTCTAATTTCGGTTTTTCAGCACGTGTGTGAAAAACGTGTGTCTAAAGCTAGGGAAGTTTCCTTAATGCTTTAAACTCTTATTTTGTCATTAATTTATTTAATTACATAAAGTGATGTGTTAACAAGGAATTTCTATGACTAAGACCTTCCTTTGTTATACAAATCCTTTTCCTTACGTGAATAAGAATCCCTAACCTAATGGATTTTATTTCATTGGTATTTTATATTTTATGGGAATTAAGTATTCATTAGTAGTGGGCTAATATTTCTTTTCTATTAAAAACTCTTCTTTGTACGTCTAACAATAAAACCTAATGGGTTTCTTTATTTCTTGTATAGGAAGATTCAATCACGTATAAAAAGGAAGACATCAGAACGTGATTGTGCGCGGCTTTTTGGAGAGAAAAATAATTCTCTTTTCTTTGTTGCTCTTCTGGAGTTTTTCTATCGAGAGAAGATTTCAGAGAAATATTTTTTTCCTCTCGTTTTTATTGCTCCGTCGTGATACGTGATTTTCATAGAAAATATATCGGCTTCAAGGCTTTGTGGTGAAGACACCAAGATTCAACGAGTATCACAAGTTTGCTTCTTCTATACAAAAAGAAGACCGGTTCTTCGGGAGAGGGGCTTAAACAGATCTCGGGAGGAGATCGATCCGCCGACTGAAGAAATCAGCGTTGAAGGGAGTTCAACCGTGCGGAGCAAGGGACGTGCTGCAAATTGAAGATTTATAATTCAGCGTAGTATACAAGAACGGCGTCAACAAAGAGGGAGTCTTTGTATTTTGATTAAGTCCTATTATTGTATTCGTAAAACTAAAAATTAGTAAATTTTATTTGCAGGTCCCCGTGGATGTAGGGTACAGTTGTATCCGAACCACATTAAAATTTGTGTCTCGTTTATTTCTGTTTTTACGAACTGCTTCACGAACTGTTGCAACACTTCACGCAACAGTAACGAAAAACTGAATCTGACACAAATAATTTATATCTACACGAAATAAATTCTAACAATTGGTATCAAAGCCTGTCACTAGATACACTTAGTGAGATTTTGGGATTTAATTTTTTAAATTGTTTTGTGCAGATATGCTTCATCGTGAAGGAGCGTCTACAGTACGACCACCTATCTTGGATGGAACAAATTACTCTTACTGGAAATCGAAGATGAAGATGTTCATCAAGTCCGTTGATGAACGAGCTTGGCGTGCTATCGTGACTGGTTGGACCCCGCCCATGGCTAAAGGAACGGATGGTATGCAAACGGTAAAACCAGAAGAAGCATGGACTAATGAAGAGATATTACTTGCCAATTACAACTCAAGGGCGATAAACTCAATTTTCAATGGCGTTGGTGACAATCAGTTCAAATTGATAGCATCGTGTGAATCAGCAAAAAAAGCATGGGAGATCCTACAAGTGACGTATGAAGGCACATCAACTGTTAAAACATCTAAGCTGCAGATGCTAGCCACGAAATTTGAGAGTCTTCATATGGAGGAGGACGAGACGATTGCTGATTTCCACGCTAAGCTGTGTGATATTTCAAATGAATCGTATGCACTAGGTGAACAATACTCGGAAACAAAGTTGGTAAGAAAGGCACTACGTTCATTACCAGAAAGATTCGCTTACAGAGTTGCAGCAATCGAAGAAGTGAGAGATATCAATACGCTAAAGCTAGATGAACTCATGGGTAAACTGCAAACCCAAGAAATGAATTTTAGAGCAAATATTCGAGAAAAGAAAAAGGTGAAGAATGTGGCATTCCAAGCTGAAGCTTCCCATGGCATCTCACAAGGCCAAACATTTCATGAGTGTGACATTGATGTTGAAGAATCCTTAGCAATTATGTCAAATAACCTCGAAAGCCTGCGTAAAAAAATCGAAAATAGAGAAAATTCCTCTCAATCAGGTAAGTCTGTTAACCCTAACAAATTTAAAAAGTTTTCTAATAATGGTTATTTTGGTGATGCAAAGTCTAGGAGAAAACAATGTCGAGAGTGTGGGGGTTTTGGACATATTCAGGCCGAGTGTGCGAACACTTTGAAGAAAAATAAGATGTCACTCACCACTGTTTGGAGTGATAAAGAGGACAGTGATGAGGATGAGAACAACAAAGGAGATCAAACCACTAACTTTATGGCATTCAGTGGTACTACTTCGATGAGCAGAACCGAGGGAACTGTTGCAACAGTCTGTCCGACAGATTTCAGGTATGATGAATTATCTTTAAATAAGGACAATAGTCTGACTTCATCATTTAATTTTGCAGGTGAATCTGAGAGCAGTAGTGATGATGAAGAGCCAACCCTTGAAGAGGTGAAAGATGTATATAAAAAAATGTACCGGAAGTGGCTTGAAGTATCTGAGGTAAATAAGCGCCTTGAAAATGATAAGCATGTTCTCATAGAGGAAAATAAAGTGTTGAAGGTAAGAATTTCTACTCTTGAACAAAATGTTATTTCTTCTAGTAGAGAAATAGATAGCTTGCAGGCTAAATTTGCTCAAACCCAAGATGTTATTTCTAAGTTTAATACTGGTAGAGTAACTTTGAATGAAATTTTGAACAAAAATCAGCCGAACTACTGTCGTATAGGTATAGGGGGTAACCAGCTATCTACTGGTGCATCGAAACAGAAAGAAAATCCTAAAAGAAAAATCAATTTTGTTAAGCAATCCACTGTTTCACAGACTGTTGCGACAGTTGCACCAACACAGCCATTTCAAAGAAAAGTTTTTGTTCCTACCTGTCATTTTTGTCATGTTCCTGGTCATATACGACCCAGGTGTTTTAAGTACTTGAAAATGGTTAAAAGAATAATGGCCCGCTCACCACTTTCCGCTAAAATTGATCACACTTTTGTGTCGTCTCAAAAACCCAAGATAAAGGTTGATTTAGTGAATAAAACTCAACAAAAAATCTGGGTAAAGAAGTCTGATCTTAATTGTTTATCTGCCATTACTTCTTTAAACTCATCTGATGATAGTACTAACTGTTCCAACAGTTCTTGTGACAAAGCTAGTTTGGGGAATAAAAAACTTGGTAATCTGAATTGTGATAATTTGTATGCGAAAAATAAGTTTATGAATCCAATTCAGCATTCGAGAACTAAACTTACTGATATTTGTCATCTTTTCATAAGGGGCTTGGTCGAAAAGGGGGTTGTCTCAATTGATTATGGTGCAACGGAGAATGAATTAACTGATGCTTTTGCAAAAACCCTTGATGCACAGAAATTTGTTTCCTTGCGAAAATCGCTGGGAATTTATGTTGTTTAATCTGATGCAGTTGCATGAACTGTTGCAACAGTCTGTGTGTCCAGACTTGCAACTTTTAGTGGTAGGACACTTCATATGTTTTTGCATCTCATATAGGACCTGCATTAAGCATACTGCATATGATTGAGACAAATGTGAATTTGATACTTCGTGTTCTTCTAAACTTTGTGGGGGTAGAACTTCACCAATTCCCAAAATGATTACTTAAAAGGCTCCAACTTATTTATTTATCTGAATAGTCTTGTCATGGTTGGATGTTTTTATAGGGAAAATCTGCCTCTTTTAATGAATGAAAGCTCTCTTGAACTACTGTTACTAATATATATATCTACAACCATTTGGTCAGTGAATAGTTCGAAGCCTTTTTGAGTCGAGTCAGTAAATCACGTGGCCGAAAGCTCGCTACATGGCCCAATTAGAAAGCCCAGGGGACTACACATTGCACGACCAATATAAATTATACATATGGTCAGTGAATAGTTCGAAGCCTAGTTGAATCGAGCTAGTAAACCACTTGACCGAACACTCACTACAAGGCTCAATTAGAAAGCCCAGGGGACTACACATTGCACGACCACCATAATCTCGTTCCTTTTAATTGCTCTATTTTTCATGAGAAAAAGCTACCATTAGACGTGTGTGTACGCTACCTAATAAGAGCATCTTTGTGTTTGACTTGGGATTATTAAATTTATTGGTTGCATTGGCAGTCGGATTTTTGGGGATTGCATTTATCGTGAATGTGAAGATAAATCCCATATGTTTTGTTAGCCCATGTTGTATCCTATTCACATATGTCTCTTCACTCATGTTTATTTCTCATGTTTACTTCTTGTCTTGCATTAGGCATTATTTAAAAAAAAAAAAAAAAAAAAAGAGAGAGAGAGAGAAAGAGAGACGGGATTTTTGTTTATGTGCCGGTTAAATTTATTTTTTTGTTGCAGCCGGATCTATTGAGTTTACTCCTCTCATCTCCACGTTTCTTAGGAAGTTTGGCAAAGTCTGTAGTCTTTGTTATTTAATGTTGGATTTGATATCACTATCCTTTGATTTTCGCATTGCAATTATCGTGTGGTATTGAGTTGTGAGTTTGTGATTTTGTGTGCACGTCATGTATGGTGATTCTTCTTACTTACTTTCAAAATTCTCTCTTCGTTTGATCTTTTTGTTAAGTGTTTGAACAGATTGCTCGACACATCAAGATCATTAGTCCATGTTAATTTATCTATGCATGGTGATTGCCCAGAAAGGGGGAGAAAAGAAAAAGAACAGTAAAGTTGGCATGAACACAGGGGGAGTTCAAACAACTGTTGCCACAATGCACTAAACAATTGCTGGAACAGTACTGGAATACATGGGGAGTTCAGACAACTGTTGAGACAGTTCATCCGACAGTTTTTGGAACAATAAAAAAAATAGGAGGTCATTCAAGGAGGAGGTCATTTAAGGAGGAATTCATTGTAAAGGGAAGTTGATTCTGCTACTGCATTTTTTTTGTTGTTCCCTGCTTAATTGAACAATTTTACCTATATGCTTTCCTAAGCTGTTTTTGCTAAGAGCTTAAACTGTTTGATAAACTGTTGCAACAGTTTATATGTGCAGATGTTATTCTGAATTTGCTAACCCTTGTTCATGCATGTATCATATATTTAGGGGGAGTAAATGTTCTGACCAATCAATGCCAAAGGGGGAGAGTGTTAGAATCGCGGTGGGATTCTAAGTCCACAACACGGGGTGCTAATGCAGACATTATTTGCTGAGTTTTTTTTTTATCACGTGGATAATTTACCACGTTGTCATCCACCGCCTTCCAAGTGTATCAAGCCGAGTAAGCAAAGGGGAAGAATGAATGCATTTACAAGAGGAGCTGCCTAAAGATCATTCACAGAGTAAGATACACATGCAGGGGGAGCTGACTCCGTTGTGAACCACCTGCCGAAGTCACTACTGTGGGAACAGTTGCTGAAACTGTGGCACTTACTATTGCAGCAGTTGATGCCACTCTTGTTGTAGAAAGAGTTGATAATGATCTTTGTTTTATTGCTTCCGTCTATCATCTGATTGTTTTATTTTCTCAGGTATTTGATTAAGGGGAGGACTTGATTATAATAAATAGATGACAAAGGGGGAGATTGTTAGAATCCGAGAGGATTCTAATTTCGGTTTTTCAGCACGTGTGTGAAAAACGTGTGTCTAAAGCTAGGGAAGTTTCCTTAATGCTTTAAACTCTTATTTTGTCATTAATTTATTTAATTACATAAAGTGATGTGTTAACAAGGAATTTCTATGACTAAGACCTTCCTTTGTTATACAAATCCTTTTCCTTACGTGAATAAGAATCCCTAACCTAATGGATTTTATTTCATTGGTATTTTATATTTTATGGGAATTAAGTATTCATTAGTAGTGGGCTAATATTTCTTTTCTATTAAAAACTCTTCTTTGTACGTCTAACAATAAAACCTAATGGGTTTCTTTATTTCTTGTATAGGAAGATTCAATCACGTATAAAAAGGAAGACATCAGAACGTGATTGTGCGCGGCTTTTTGGAGAGAAAAATAATTCTCTTTTCTTTGTTGCTCTTCCGGAGTTTTTCTATCGAGAGAAGATTTCAGAGAAATATTTTTTTCCTCTCGTTTTTATTGCTCCATCGTGATACGTGATTTTCATAAAAAATATATCGGCTTCAAGGCTTTGTGGTGAAGACACCAAGATTCAACGAGTATCACAAGTTTGCTTCTTCTATACAAAAAGAAGACCGGTTCTTCGGGAGAGGGGCTTAAACAGATCTCGGGAGGAGATCGATCCGCCGACTGAAGAAATCAGCGTTGAAGGGAGTTCAACCGTGCGGAGCAAGGGACGTGCTGCAAATTGAAGATTTATAATTCAGCGTAGTATACAAGAACGGCGTCAACAAAGAGGGAGTCTTTGTATTTTGATTAAGTCCTATTATTGTATTCGTAAAACTAAAAATTAGTAAATTTTATTTGCAGGTCCCCGTGGATGTAGGGTACAGTTGTATCCGAACCACATTAAAATTTGTGTCTCGTTTATTTCTGTTTTTACGAACTGCTTCACGAACTGTTGCAACACTTCACGCAACAGTAACGAAAAACTGAATCTGACACAAATAATTTATATCTACACGAAATAAATTCTAACAGACCTTGTCCGATAAAGTTAAGGAAGGAATCGAGAGGTTGCAGACCGACCTGCCGATGACGAAAGCAATTCTCAAAGATATGGATACCGAAAGAGAGCAGGATAACCAAACCCAGGAGTTGATTCGCCTTTTTCGGGGTGTGATCTATGACATTGAGGATGTTCTTGATATGAGAGCATATCAAAATTCCCATCAAAACTCCCCATGGTATGACAGAGGATCAAGAATAGGAATGCATTCCATCGCCGCATTTATAAACGAGACCGAGGCAAACCTTAAAAGAATCACTGACAAGAGGGCTGATTATCAAAATAGACGTTCCTCTCATCCTGCTTCAATTCCAAGTTATCAACAGGCAGAAATTGCTACCGAGGACACTCCAGGAGATGAAATTGTAGGTGTCGAGGAACCAAAAGAAGAAATGACTTCTTGGATACTCGATTCTGAACGTGCTTGCAAGGTGAAGTTTGTTGTCGGGATGGGTGGGTCCGGCAAAACTGCGCTCGTCAAACTGGTGTACGATCAGCTCAAGACCGACTTTGATTGCCATGTTTGGCTCACTGCTTCAATGTCTATGAACAGCCTAGAACTCCTCTCCATCATGTCAAATAAATTACGCAATGAAGCAGCTCAGTATCCCGTGAATTCTTCTCAAGCCCTCGAGGATCTTGTCAACATGCTGAAAAATTATCTGCACGACAAAAGGTACCTTATAATTATTGATGATCTATGGACTACAAAAGTTTGGAATGATGTCAGGTGTGCATTACCTAGAGGTAATTGCAGCAGAGTTATAATCACTACAAGAAGAGGCGATATAGCTTCTTCCAGCTGTAGAGAAAACTTTGTCGAAGTCTACAACATCCAAGCTTTGCCTTTGGAAAAGGCTCGAGATCTCTTCCAAAGAAAATGTGGCGCGCTTCCTTCAGAACCAAGACAGTGTTTGTGGTTTGAAAACCTCTTGAGAAAATGTGAAGGGCTGCCAATTGGGATCATTGAAATTGGAAAACTTTTGTACGCCAAAGAGAAAAGTGAATCTGAGTTTAGAAAAGTACATGATACTCTACGCACAGAGCTCGCTTCAGGCCAACTGTCAAGCATTAGAAGGGCATTGCTGTTGAGTTATGATGATTTGCCGGACCGTCTAAAGTGCTGCTTTCTGTACATGAGTATGTTTCCAGAGTGTTACTTGGTGAAGCGAAGAACATTGATTAGATTGTGGATAGCCGAAGGTTTTGTAGGGAGAGAGAATGACAAACAAGTCGAAGATATTGGAGAAGAGTACCTCCAAGAGCTCATACAGAGGAACTTAATACAGGCAGGCGAACTGGACTTTGCTGGAAGACCACAAACTTGCCGACTCCATAGCCTTATGCACAAGATTGCTCTCTCTAAATCAGAAGCCGAGAATTTCTGTACAATTTGGCTAAATGCCAAAGGTAAGATTCCAGACAAGACTCGGAGACTGTCAATCCAGAACACTGAATTCAACATGCCAAACAAAAACCTGTGTCATGCTCGTACTTTATTCACATCAAGCATTGGCCTGAAGATCGCATCACACATTAGTTCCAGCTTGAAGCTACTGAAAACACTGCATTTGGACGGTGCATCCGTGGACACATTTCCTAAAGGAATTGAAGATCTCTTACTACTGAAGTATTTGTGCTTGAGCAACACAAGAATCAAGATGGTCCCCGTGTCCATTGGTCGATTGCAGCACCTCGAGACCTTAAATCTCAAGCAGACATTCGTGACATCAGTGCCGGACACATTGACTAATCTGACAGAACTCCGACACTTGCTTATATGCCGCTACAATATCAACGGGTATGTTTCTTTTGGTGCGGTGAACGGATTCAAGGTACCAACAGAAGTAAGAAAATTAACTAATCTGCAGAAGCTATCATTTGTAAGGGCGGATAGTGATCACAAAATGATTCATGAGTTGCGTTATCTGACGGAGCTTAGGAAGCTAGGGATTATTGATTTACCAAGTAACAGTGGTCCGACTCTGTGCAAAGTCATTCAAATGTTAACGAATCTTCATTCCTTGAACATGACATCACTACACAGGGAGGAAGTTCTAAACATTCAAGTAATCGGCAACCCTCCTCCACTTCAACGTTTGTATTTGAAAGGGCAGTTGGAGAAGATGCCACAGTGGATCTCGAAACTTCATGACCTGGTTAGAATACGTCTCAAGTGGTCTAGGCTGAGACAAGACAACAACCCCATCACAATTCTTGGGAAACTTCCCAATCTGCTGGAGCTCCAGCTGCTAGATGCCTACACAGGAGTCCAGTTAGATTTCGAAGCTGGAAGGTTTCAGAAGCTAAAAGTACTAGAGTTCGATCAAATGAAAGAGCTGACAGTAATCACAATTGAGAATTGGGCATTACCGTGCCTTCAGAAACTCATAATAAGCCGATGTCAGAACTTGGGGCGTATCCCACTAGGCGTTGAGAACGTCGCTCAACTCAACGAGCTCCATTTGGGTGACATGCCGCCTCATTTTGTCGATCCGATTAGGAGAAATGGTCAAATGCGCCGACTTGTTCAACGTATTCAAAAGATCTCCTACAAGCATCTCCAGAATGGTCATCAGTGGCCACCGGAAGATCTGTCATAGAATCCGAAACAAAAGGAACCATTAAGAAAAGGAAGGAAGAGGTTCAAGCATTCGACCCACGATAAAAGAATTAGCCATGCAGGGGCAAAACTTTGGTTTCTCGAGTTGTATTGTGAACTCATAAGTGTATCTTTCTTCATCGTTAGTCTCATCTTGTTTGTCGGTATTACCATCAGTAACTAGTTATCATGCCATTCACTTGTTAAATAACATTAGTTCATTACCTGTTTTGATCTTTTCAAATAGTTTTATATGTAATCAAACATGATATGCAACGAGCACTAATGATCCGAGATAATACTAAGAATCCAACAGATTTGACTTTTATCAATAAAGGCTGAGGGAAAAATAAGATAATACTTTTTTTGTAATTTGAGCATACCACAGGAGGGTGGTTGTAATTTACCCTAAAAAAATGATTTTGGAACAAGTCTTTTAATTCCAATTTCCGATTTTTCCAAAAGTTTCTTGAACAAAATTGAGGTCAGTTTTTCACTTTCAAAAGAAATTCAGATGCTACTTCCAATCAGATCCGTCTGATTTCGCTCAAGTACATTTAAAATTCACCATACAGGGTAATTTCACAATTCATTTAAGCCCGAAACCTCCTAATAAATTGACTGCGTATTTTTGTTCCAAGACAGCTAGAAACAAGACAGATACTTACCTCTGGATGTTTCGTAGCAAATATTGTATCTTCCAATAATTTTTAGAAGAATGCAGTAGTTTCAATGCTAGCCAATAATATTCCTTCCTTCCATTCCATTCTGCCATTGCTATATTTGCATCATCGGTGACGGAGAAACGTACTTAAAGAAGACTGAATTAAATAAAACTTGACTCGAGTCACAAAGTGCGAACTGGCATGGTTTATTGTTTACATTGCCAAGCAATGCAATTGTAAATGATTGATAGCTAATTCACTTATCCAACTCAATACATACAAAATTTACTAGTTAAATAAAATAACACGATAGCTAAAGAGCTATTCCGTTTACCATAACTAAAACAGACTTTGAGACATAAGTTTTGTTCAAATAATCAACGATAGTACACTAACAATCTCACTTTTAACCATGTAATTTTATTATTCATTTGATAAAATTGTATTTTGTTATTCATGAGAATCTCAATTATTTGGATTCCAAACAACTGCATTGCAATAAATAAAAAAAGGAAATGAAACTAAGCTGCCCTTTCCATATATGCAAAAAGGTTTGACTGTTTTTTTTTTAATTAATGTATGCAACTTGGTAGCAGAGACCGAGTGTAGCATGTTGATGTGATAGCCAATGATAAAAGTTATCTCAAAGCCTCTAATTTATAAATCATCTATGCAGGTGGGCATCGATATGTTAAAGAAAAATACTTGAAATCTGATCAAGTCTTTCTCTTTTATTCAATAAAAAACCTACTCATAACAAAATCGGTAATATAATACCAAATTCCTTGTTCAAATTACCAACTCATCAACAACTTGAAGCCTTTCACACAATGGAACGCGTAAAAATCAAGATTTAGTACACACCATTTCACGAAAATTAGAGTTTAATACGACTAGTCCCTCTTTCCTTCATATCCCATCTAATAAAAAAATAAGTAAAATGAACGAGTCTTGAAAAATGAATGAAAAACACTTTACTATCATGATGGAAATGATCTGAATGAACGAAACTTACCTGTGGGATATTTCTTACCAAGTATTTTGTCTCTTTAGCCTTCAAAATCTGCCATTGCCAGTTTGAGATAATTAGACTCCAAAACAGAGAGAGATGGCCGAGGCTGCAGCCACCTTTCTACTTCAAAAAAGCGACAATTGGTTGTCTAAGGAATTGAGCTTGTCTGATGACGTCAAGGTAGGAATCAAAAGGTTGAATAGCGAGTTGTCGATGGCAACAGCAATTCTGAAAGACTTGGACGCCCAGAGAGAGCAGAGTAACCAAATCCAGCAGTGGATTCGACTTCTTCAGGGTGTAACTTATGAGATTGAGGATGTTCTTGATATGAGAGCATATCAAATTTCCCATCAAAACACCCACTGGAGTATCGCCGTATGGTCAGGAATAGGAAATCATTCTATCGGCTCCTTGATAAAAGAGATTGAGGCAAACATCACAAGCATCAAAGATATGAGGACTTCAAATGAAAAAACAGTTTCTCCTCATCCTGCTTCAACTTCAAGTGCTCATCGTGAATCAGGTATTGCTCCTTTGTACACCCCAGAAGGTGAAATTGTGGGTGTTGAGAAACAAAGAGAAGAACTGGCTTCTTGGGTACTTGATCTTGAACGGGCTTACAAGGTGATGTTTGTTGTGGGAATGGGTGGGTCCGGCAAAACTGCGCTCGTCAAACTGGTATACGATCAGCTCAAGACTGACTTTGACTGCCATGTTTGGCTCACTGCTTCAAAGTCTGTGAGCAGTGAAGAACTCCTCTCCATCATGCTAAGCAAACTATGCAACAAAACAGCTCAGCATTCCGTGAATCCTTCTCAAGCACTCCAGGATCTAGCCAGCACGCTGAATAACTATCTGCAAGACAAAAGGTACCTTATAATTTTTGACGATCTGTGGACTACAGAAGTTTGGGATGGCGTTAAGTATGTGTTACCTAGAAATAACTGCAGTAGAGTTATAATCACCACAAGGAGAGGTAATATAGCTTCTTCTTGTAGAGAAAGTTGGGTCGATGTCCACAGGATCCAAGCATTACCTTTAGGAAAGGCTCGAGAACTTTTCCGAAGAAGATCTATCCCGCAAAGTGGCGTGTTTCCTTCAGCAAAAGGACAGAGTTTGTGGGTTAACAAACTCTTGGGAAAATGTGAAGGGCTGCCACTTGGGATCATTGAAATTGGAAAAGTTTTGTCGAGAGAGAAAAGTGAATCTGAGCTGAAAAAACTACATGATAGTCTTCAAGTAGAGGTCGCTTCGGGCCAACTATCAAGCATCGGACGACTACTGCTGTTGAGTTATGATGATTTGCCATACAATCTAAAATGTTGCTTTCTATACATGAGTATGTTTGGAGAGTATTACTTGGTGAAGCGTAGAACATTGATTAGGTTGTGGATAGCTGAAGGTTTCATACCAACAACAAATGGCAAACAAGTCGAAGATATCGCAGAAGAGTACCTCCAAGAGCTCATAGAGAGGAACTTAATGCAGGCGGGTGAACTGGACTTTGATGGAAGGCCACAAACTTGCCGAGTTCATACCCTTATGCACAAGATTGCTCTCTCCAAATCAGAAACTGAGAAATTTTGTACAATTTGGACAAATCACAGGTGTGAGATTTCAGAGCAGACTCGGAGACTATCAATTCAGAACACTGAATTCACTATGGCAAACAAAGACATGTGGCATCTTCGTACCTTGTTCGCATGCCTGAACACCAAGACCGCAATACGCATTAGTTCCGGATTCAAGCTACTGAAAATATTGCATTTGGATGGTGCATCTGTGGACTCGTTTCCTAACGGAATTGATGAGCTTTTACTACTGAAGTATTTGTGCTTGAGCAACACAAGAATCAAGTTGATCCCTTCGTCCATTGGTCGATTGCAGCACCTCGAGACCTTAAATCTCAAACATACGTTTGTGACAGCAGTGCCAAACACGCTGACTAAGCTGGCAGAACTCAGACACTTGCTTATTTGCCGCTATAATTTTAATGGTTATCTTTCCTTCGATGCAGTGATTGGATTCAATGTATCAACAGAAATCAGCAAACTAACTAATCTGCAGAAGCTGTCATTTGTAAGGGCGGATCACAAACTGATTCGGGAGTTGACAAAAATGAAGGAGCTTAGGAAGCTAGGGATTATTGATTTACCAAGTAACAGTGGTCCGATTCTGTGCGAGGCCATTCAAATTTTAAAGGATCTTTATTCCTTGAATATGACATCACTACACAGGGAGGAAGTTCTACACATTCAAGGAATCGACAACCCTCCTCCACTCCTTCAGCGTTTGTATTTGAAAGGGCGCTTGGAGAAGATGCCACAGTGGATCTCGAAACTTCATGACCTGGTTAGAATACGTCTCAAGTGGTCTAGGCTGAGACAAGACAACAACCCCATCACAATTCTTGGGGAACTTCCCAGTTTGCTGGAGCTCCAGCTGCTAGATGCCTACAAAGGAGACCGGTTAGATTTTCTTGTTGGACGATTTCCGAAGCTAAAGATACTGGATTTTGATCAAATGGAAGAGCTGACAGTAATCAGAATTGAGCATCGGGCATTATCGTGCCTTCAGAAACTGATAATAAGCCGATGTCAGAACTTGGGGCGTATCCCACTAGGCATTGAGAACGTCGCTCAACTCAAAGAGCTCCGTTTGGGTGACATGCCGCGTCAATTTGTCGAACCGATTAGAAGAAATGGTCCAATGCGCCGAGAAGTTGAACATATTCAAAAGATCCACTCCACGCATCTCCAGAATGGTACTCACTGTGCACTGGACGATCTGTCATAGAATCTGAAACAAAAGGAACCATTAAGAAAAGGAAGGAAAATGTTCAACCATTCGACCCACAAGGAAAGAATTAGCCGTGCAGGGGCAAGAATTTGGTTTCTCAAATTGTATCGTGAATTCATAAGTTTCTCTTTCTTCATCTTGTTTGTATGTATTACCATCAGTAACTGGTTATCATGCCATTCACTTGTTAAATAACATTTGTAGATAATTTAAAAAAAAATGGTGTCAGAAGGATAAATGGAAAAGCTCGAAACGAGTTATACATTTTCTTTGTCACAAATATCGAGGGGTCATAGTAATACACATAATCAAAAGCAGGGACTTCATTAATACACAAACATCGCCAAACAAAAATTTGATAATCTCAGCATGATGTTTTCTCAAATATCAATAGCAGAAAAACATAAACTACTCAGCGAAATGATAAAAAAAAAAAAAAAAAAAAAAAAAAAAAAACAACTCAATTCAAACTCAATCTCAATGATTAATTCAATTAAGTTGGCGCATCAATTACTAAATTTTTTTTAACGGGAGAAAAAATAATCCCCAATCAAAACATAGATCTTCAGCATCCAAAATTCACCGGAAGAAAACAATATGCAAAAAAAAAAAATAAACAAACTCACCTTCGTAATTCTGCCCAGTGTACTGCGAAAGTAGCGCGCTTAATTTCACGATTTCAACGCAAAACAAAATTAGAGACAGTCTCTAGGGTTTCGCAGAAAAAGAAAGGGGAGAAATTAAAACAGAGAGAACACTTCTTTTTCCCGCTAATTTTTTTTTTTTTACGTTTTTCTTTTGTCATACTTTTTAAAATTAATAATAATAGATTAATTAATTATTTAGTTTAATTGCATGTTTGTGTCTTTAATTACATTTTGTATTAAATTTGTTGGAATTTTTTTTCCGGTAATGAGTCCACAAAATTCGGAAAAATCAAAATTTAGGAACTTGGAATTAAAAAACTTGTTCCAATTTAAAAAAAAAAGGAAAAAGAAAAAAATGGATTGGAAATTTAGAAATTACATTTTTGTTATTCTTCTCCAGCAATATAAAAATTTACATAACTTTGATATTCGAAATGTTTAGGAAAAAAATCGAAAATTTCGGAATCACTTATTTATTATATGTTAAAATTGGATTGAAAAACGAGATCTCATATGTATATATCCAATCAAATAGAAAAAAAAAATTGTAAAATCAGAAAGAAATTGGAATTTTCAATATTGTTCTTCCAAATTGAATTTATTCTTTACTGATGAAAATCAGAAATTTCATTCCAATTCCCTACATTTTTTTTATTCTGTTAAATGCAAAAATATAATCCTCTGCTTATTTGATTCTAGTTTACTTATTTAAACAAATATTGGTGTTGTAGTAACAAATTCAGTATTGCAAAGACCTCAAAATGTAATATCTGTTTCCAAACTTGTTAAAAATACAGAATTATGCAAACTATATTATTACAATAATTTAAAAAAAAAAAAAAAAAAAAAAAAAGAAAGCAACCTCAAACAATATCCAAGATTACATGTATGTTCGATACACATAATATTATTTAAAAACACACACGAAAAATCAAGAAAATTGCGACGAAGGAGAACCGGTGGCAACTGCTGCACCCGCTTGTCCGGACGAAGAAGAATTAGCAATATGATCACCTCTTGGAGGTGACGAAGACGACGTGGATTTTTTGACATATTTTCGGGCCCAAACGTGTTTTCCGTTTATAGAGTACTTCGCTTTGTTCCCTCTGACGATTGCTTCGATCACAGCCGTTGATCTCGACACCATCCTCGCGTATAGAACTTGCTCCTCTTCCCCTACTTCTTGCATTATCATATCCTCTATGAAATCCCCAAATCTCCTGCAGTGTTGTTTTTAATTATATATAATTATTTTTCTTCTTTTTAAATATATAATAATAAAATAAATAAAAATATTTTGTAATTTATTTAAAATTAATAAATTACCTAGTGAAGAATTCTCTAACTTCATCCTCCGTGATGGGGTACCCTTTAGAGAATGTCAAGAAAATTGTCCTGTCATCCGGGCCCACTTCTTCCTCTCCGTCATTTCCGACGGCTACTCCTCCGTTAAAGTTGACGGCGTTAGTGGTTTCTCTGGGGCTATTTATAGTCAAGTTCCTGCTCAGCATTTCTCCCAGTTCGCTGCCCATCAATTGCCTCTGCGCCGCCAAATCGTACACCGGAAAACTCCCCGCCGCCCCCAGCATGTGAATCGGTATCCCGACGGCATCCGCCGCCACCAACCCCGGAGGAGGAGGAGGGCCCCCGCCGTGGGATCCCGGTGTCAGAACATGCGGCGGCGGAAGCGGCACAAACGGCACGTTCAAGTGAGGAGGATGGAACAACATCCTCCGCATCATCAGCGGCGCCGCCGCCGCCGCATCCCTGCTCGACTCCCCGACTTCACGAACACCACCACCACCGCCGCCGCGCCAGGTGGGGCGGAGGATGTCGCTGAAGGCACGGGAGCAGACGGTGTTGATGACTCTAGTGACACCGCGGAGGACCGCGATGCGGTGGTCGTGGAGGAAGCGGAGGTTGACGATGGGGGTGGTGAGAAGGCCCGACAGGAGGGAAACCTCGTTCGCATGATGTTCCCCGAAGGGGAACACGTCGGTCTCGACGCACTTGAGACAGGTGTCCGTCTCGTCGGCGGCTTCGTTGAGGAGAGCCGGCGGAAGGGAGAGCATCCTCTTGATGAGATTCATGTCGTTAGTTTCTCTCTCTAACCATATCCAGAAGGCCATAACTTGAACCGAACCGGCCGGGTCACGGCCCAGATTGTGTATCAACCGGGTGTAGAGCTCTCTGTCTATGGCGTGAAACAGGTTGAATGCTTCGTCGGTGACTTGTGGGCATTTTTCCGCCGGGAACAGAGACTGGTCGCCGCCGCCGTTGTCCATTTTTCTAATTTCTCGATTTTCGTGGTGGCCGGATTGATAGATAGATACATGCATTTGTATTTATATATGAGAGACGCCGGTTGTAGGGTGGTGGCGATTGGTCGGAATCGGTGTGTAGGATTCTGTATTGATGTTTTATCCATTTCAGGAGCAACGGTTCACTGTGGTTTTTTTTTTTTCAAAAATATTGGTGGTGAAGTTTGAACTGAAGTCGGTTGCGATTTTTATTTCCAAAAGCGATTTTAGCACAAACTGGAAGAAACTGTAGGAAGCAATGCGACGGTTCTTTTGTCGAATAAAAACGTGTAAAGATGAATGGGCACGCTGACGAAAACACGATTCTGGTTCGATTTCTCTCCCCAGCCAATAAATGATGTGCACAATTACTATTATTATTTATTTATTTTCTAATCTTACCCAAATTTCCTAAATTCTTAAATTATTTTCTACACTTTAAAAAAAACAAAAAAGAATTATTATCTTAACTATTATTATTATTATTATTTTTTGGGACAATTGGCTAAAACTCAATATAATTCTATTAGCCAAAAAATACACTTATTTTCTTAGTATATTTTGATAAAATTGTCTCGCTCGTGTATTTTGCAAATACCATCACATTTTTATTAGCTTATTATTAAAGTTTCTAAGAATACAGTGGGCGCGCACACTATCAATAATAGTATTGACGCACTATGACATGTCGAAGTTCACTATTAATTTTCACAAATTCACCGTCAATTATCATAAGTCTACCCCTGAATTTCGAGCAATTTTTCTAAAATTTGTTGCCATATTTTGTTCAAATACTCGATTTTTTGAATTTTTGTTGCCAATGTCTAGAAGTTCACTATCAAATTTTCAGCCAATTTTCCGCCAATGTTTAGATTAGAATGAAAACTTTTGAATTTCACCGATTCCGTTCCGAATACTGCCGATCCTAGAACATTATTTCCATTTCGAATTCCAAAAGTTACGATTTCCAATTTTTCTTAAACATACTTGGAATCTTCTCATTTCCGACACGATTTTGATTTTCCGATTTTTTTTTCACCAATTACACACGAAGCCCCTTCTCTTCCACCCTTGCAAAAAAAAAAACCCTCCAAATTTTCTTATTCGAAGGTTATTTTAGTCTTTACCATTAAGGGTGTTTTAGTAATTGTATTTTTTTTGGTATTGTAAACAGTCATTTCCGGTGAGCAAATAGCAACTCCCTCCTTCCTCCCTCAGAAGCGCACAACAATACACTAAAAAAAAATGTCCCATGGCAACAGATTTCTGTTCAGAAACGGCGTCGTTTTACCTGCGGCTGACACTCCTTCAGTGGCAGCTTTTCTCGAATCACACCCAGGTAAAAATGTGTTCAATTTCCGATTCCTTAGCATTTCAGAAACTACGGTAGATTTGAATTATAGGATTTGTTCAATTGATCGGATTTTTGTGTTCAGGTGCATATACAACCACGCGCACCCACAACAATGGCACCGAACTCCTCTTCTGGGAAAGACATCTCGATCGGCTATCGAATTCATTCAAATTGCTGCTGAATCACAATCCCAAACTTCTATCGAAAACCCCCGGTTTGAAATTATCGAACCGAGCAATGATGTGGGACTCGGCGATTCGTTCTCTGGTCGATGATTCCATGAGGAAAGCGATGCCTTTTGTCGTAAACGAGAGGAGATTTGGGGAGGAAATGGCAATTACTGCTCTTTTGAGTGGCAATTCGGAGAATTTGGATCTTTCGGAGGGTGGTTTCGATGAGGGGGATACTTCTGAGGGTTTGGATTTGTATTTACATGTAGGTAGATATGTTCTGCCTGTTTTTGGCCTTCGAGAGAACGCCGCACGTTTGGCGGTGGTCGGTCGTGGTCGGGATTTTGCGAACGCAAAGTATTCCGATTGGGTCAGGTAAAAAAAAATGCTGTGGCTAATTTTTCGTATCTAATACAGTAGAACCTCGATAAATTAATAACCTCGTTTAAATAATAATTTCTCTTGGTCCCCACTCGATAAAAACGTATAAAATTATTAGTTCGATAATTTAATATTTCGCTAAATTAATAGAATTTTGCTGGTCCGACTCTATTAATTTATAGAGGTTTATCTGCATTTCGCTAGATTAATAGAATTTTGCTGGTCCGACTCTATTAATTTATAGAGGTTTATCTGCATTTCGCTAGATTAATAGAATTTTGCTGGTCCTGACTATATTAATTTATAGAGGTTTAAGTAAAACCTCAATAAATTAATACAATCGGGACTAGTAGAATTCTATTAATTTAGCGAAATATTAAATTATCGAACGAATAATTTAGTAGGTTTTTACCGAGTTGGGACCAGAAAAAACTATTATTTAAGCGATGTTATTAATTTATGAGGTTCTACTGTAGGAGATTATCGAGTGTATTGTTGTTGATAGAAAGTTGATATTTTAGCCTTTTTTTTTCTCGTGATGTGTATCGTTAGCTAATAAACGTTCTTGAAAGTTTGGTTAGGCAATTAGAATGGGTAAATACGAAATGCATTTGGGATTGTTTGATAGAGCTTTTGTAGGTGGTAGGCTAAGGAAGCCTTTGGAGAAGCTGAGGCCACCTTCAGTTACCGAGCTTTTGTTATCGAACGACGGCGAATGCATTTTGGAAGGATGTTTGACCAACTTTTTCGTTGTTTGTCGAAAGGTGAGAGAAAATGCATTTGATGAAATGTTTTCAGTGTTCGATTTTGAGGTTTTTTTGTCTCGAATTACCTGTCAAATATTATAGTAAGATTAACTTCGACGAGTATTCGTTTGTAGGAGAAAGATCAAGATAGTAACACATTTGGGCAGAATGAATTACCGAATTTGAGAAGCATCGAAATTCAGACTGCTCCCTTGAGTGACGGTGTTCTTCCTGGAGTTATTCGACAAGTGATTATAGAGTAAGTACTAAAGTTGTAGCAGATATTTTCACAAAAATGAATGTAGCGAAAATACACATAATAGAGTTTCGTGTATAGTCGTCATATGTTGTTATGAAGGATTTGTGAATGTAAAGAGTGTATATACGAATTTTTTTTACCATGATTCAAAAAGTTCGTAATATGTGCAGCATATGCTTGAAGATCGGAATTCCTTTCCGAGAAGTTGCGCCTTCGTGGTCGAAACGTGAATTGTGGATTGAAGCATTCATCACAAGTGAGTTCGTCATCTTTTTTCTTTTTTTTTTCTTTTTTTTTGTACATGTGGAAATTCGAGCCTATCAGCTCAGTAGTTTGTCGACTTCTATACGAGAAACTGGACATTAAAATCCACGGTTTCTTGCATTTATGCACGTGACTTCGTGGATTTTTTTTACTTTGTTTATATATATATATATATATATATATATTTATATAATATTAGTGTTTGTTTGTTGTTTTTTTTTTTTGGCATTGAAGACTAATTTATGTTAAATTTAGCAGATAGTCTTAGGATATTACAACATGTGGAAACAATACAAGCTCCGAACGACTGGAACTCGTTTGAATCAAATACTTGGGAGGAGATAACATGGGTCGAGAAACGATTCGAGGTTCGTGAATTTGTAATAGATAGTTAAATTAATACAATCCTCCGTTATTATTATATAGAATTAATCGATTATGTATATTGTTTGAATCAGGATTGTCCAGGGAAGATCACATCACTGTTGCAGGTAAATTACATTGCTGATTCGCAATCTTATAGATAATAATAATAAGCTATGCTACTTTCTTGATTTTGTTTTTCGGTTTTCAAATCGAGAGAAGTAATTGTTAGTTTTTTCTGCTTCAATGGGGTAGAAAGCAATTATGGACGAAGCTGCTGTTGAAGCCTTTTCGGTTACTTCATTTCACCAAAGATAGGCTAAACTTATATATATATATATATATATATATATATATATATATTGTATGTAGATGAACGATAGAGATCTACATTTTGCATCATTTTATGTTTTTATGTTCATTATTTACTTTTATATCCTACTTCCCACTCTTCATTTTTCCATTTCACTCCAACTTTTTACATAAGTGTCTTTTTTGGTATACCTATGAGCTAGGGGTAGGGGCGGAAATCTAATCGATATGATCGGAATTAGAACTTTCAGAAAATTTTCAATGTTTTTTCAAAAGTAGAAAACTAAATCCAATTAAGTTAAAAAAAATGATAAAATAAAAAATTGGAATGAAGAAACTTGTTCCAAAGTTGGAAATATTTGGATCGTTATTGGCAAAATTTAGAAATTCCAAATTTCCATGGGTAGGGGCGGAAATCGAACATATTGGATCCGAATTAGAATTTTCAGAAAAAATCTTTTTTGTTCTTCCGGATATGCAAAACTAATTCCAATTTAGCTCCAAAAGAAATAAGAAATCGGAATTTCAGAAATAAACTTGTTCGAAAGTCGAAAGTTTTCGAATTGGAATTGGAATTGGTAGAATTAAGAAATTCCAAATTTCTGGTAATCTTTTTTTGAAATATTCCGAAAATTGAAAGCTAACATGTATTACAATTATTTGCCAAAAAAATCGAAAAAATTCAGAAATCGAAACTCCAGAATTCGAATTGAAAAATATTGTTCCAAAATCGAGACTTTTCAAATTAGGATTGGCAAAATCGGGATTTATGTTCCAATTTCAACCCCTTCATAGGGGTTAATATACAAAGTATAAACCCGTCAGTTAGTCCGAAAACCCGGTTTCGCAAATCTGACATTTTAAATTGGAGTAAATTACAACCACCCCTGAGGTATGGTCAAATTACGAAAACCCCCTCATTTTTGAGTAATTACAATCATCCATTAATTATAAATCTTCTTACACGTCCACATTGTTGTGTCAAATTTACTGGAATCTTCTACATCATATCGAATATTCTCAATTTTGAACCCGTATTATCTCATTCGAGCTCCACATTTTGAAGCAAGATGATCAGCATAAGTGTTTTTTGGTTTGTATATATCAGATTGTGGTGCATCAGAAACTACATTTTTGCACAAAAAAAATACAAACTAGAAAACATTCCACGAAATGTAAGAGATTATGTTGAATTTGACACTATAAGAGTGATCGTGTAAGAAAATTCATAATTGATAGGTAATTATAATTATCCAACCATGAGAGTTCTTTTTATAATTTGACCATACCTCAGAGTACTTGTAATTTACCTTTTAAATTGACAGGCAATTTTGTAATAAAGAAACCCAAACGGTGCGGGTCGGACTTAAGAGCTTGAATGTCAAATTCCGCTCCACAAACCCGACCCGACCCGACCCGACCCGCTATATTTACAAACTATATACCCGCTCCAATCCAGATGAAATTCTATGGTTCTTCTTCTAATCTCTCTACACACTTCAGATTTCATTCACCCACCACCGTCGATTCCTCCACCTTAAAACCGTTCGCCGCTGTACTCAGCCACTCCTCCGTCGCCGTGGCCTTAGTGTGCGACCGTCGCTGCCGTACTCAGCCACTTCTCCGCCGCCGAGGCTGGTTAGTCACCTTACACTATCCATCACTTCAAAATCTCTATTATTCAAAATTACATTATCCATCGCTTTATTGTCTGAGTCTTCAATTTTATTTTATTTTATTTTTGGATTGTTATTTTGATTGCTGGTGTTTTTGCCTTTTGGTGAAAAATATTTTGTTTTCAGATTAGTGATGTAGATCCCCATTATAGTCCTGATTTCACTCCTATTTTTTGAATTTTTCAATTTAACCGGAATTTATTGGTTTGACCTCTTTCTAAAGTCAACTGTCTGCGGCTTTGGTGAACATTGTTGAACAATTAGAATTAGCTGTTGCTATTGAGTGTGAAGCTCAATGAATTGTTTGAGAATGGTCGAGGTTTTCGGGTGTAATATAGTACACGAGTATGACTAATAAAAATGATTCTCGTTTCGTGTTCGACTAAGAAATGTACTTCTTGTTTTATTCTAAACTTTCTTTCGACGCATCCAGTTATTATATTGAGTTGGAATAGATCCACAATTGGTACTTCGTTCATCTCGTTCGTCCGATAGGAGTGTTCTTATTTTTTTTTTTTAAATACTCTTTAAAAGGTAGATATGTTGCTTTGCATATAGCCACTAAAGGACGATGTGTTGATTTTGTGGTTGTGTCATTTTTAGTCGAATAATTCTAGTCGAATATTTGTTTAATCAACTTCGTAACTAATTCTAGTCGAATATTTGTGTTTTGCAGTTTTTGAAGACAAAAAGCTTGCTTTGTAAACATACAATTTGCTCTTCGTGAAGTGGGAAGAATCGGCAAATCTAACATGTAAGCTTATTGGACATAAGTCAGTGATCGCAAATTGACTTTGTACCCTCTAATAAACTCTCTTTATTACTTTTTTTACGGGTCGTTAGTCCGGTCCCTACAACACGGGTTTTCACTTTTCACTGGTTTGACGTGTCCACAGGTGCAACTAGTAGCGGGGAAAATTGAATCGAATGAATGGGCTCCCATAAGTTAATTTGGAGATTTAATAGTAGTATTCCGATTGTTAATATACAAAACTCATTTTCACCACCGCAGGCAACCAATTATTCTACTATTCCCAAGAAAATGTCTCTCTCTCTCAGCAAAAGGTCGCCCGTACTTCTTTTCGACGTAATGGACACAATTGTCCGCGACCCTTTTTACCATGATGTCACTTCCTTCTTCGGGATGTCGATGAAAGAGCTATTAGAGTGCAAGCATCCTACTGCATGGATTCAGTTCGAGAAGGGTCTCATTAACGAGAAGGAGTTGGGTCGCATATTTTTTAAGGATGAAAGAATAATTGATTTAGAAGGTCTCAAAAGCTGCATGAGACGAGGATATTCCTACATTGAAGGAGTCGAAGGATTACTTGTTGATCTCAAGAAAAATGGATACGAAATGCATACTGCGACTAATTATCCCATTTGGTATGAAATAATTGAGGAGAAGCTAAAACTCTCGAATTACATGTCTTGGACTTTTTGTTCGTGCGTAATGGGAAAGAGGAAGCCGGATCTTGATTTTTACCGGGATATTTTGAAGCAATTAGATGTCGAGCCGTCGTGTTGTGTTTTTATTGATGACAGGATGGGGAATGTCGAGGCTGCCGTTGATGCTGGTTTCGTCGGTATTCAATTCAAAGATGTGGATTTATTGCGGAAGGATCTCGCTCGTGTAGGCGTAGTCATTGAGACGAGCTAATGATTTGAAATCCGATTTTATTGATTAATGAAGAATAATTCTTGTCAAAATGTTTCAAATTCTTGTGCCAAGTAAATATATTACCATCACTTGAGGAATGATGGAGTATTTTTTATGAATCGGTACCAAAAATAAATAAATAAATAATATATTGTAGTTTTATTTTATTTTATTTTGTGTCATAGGGCCATAGGTGAAATGAGTATTAATGGATATTGCAGTGGATGAATTCAAAATTGATACCTTACATTAACATACTTAACATACAATAATTTTATATCCATTTTCCTACACCTAAAAAATATATAGTTCACAAACTAATTCTAGATAAATTATATACACAACTACTTATCATTTGCAACCTGAATTATAGATTGTGCCGCATACACACCTCTCAATTATGAAACGCACCAAATACAACTCTATAATTTTTAGTCAAACTTATACAATTGTGAAGACATTAGTTTTCTTCAACAATTACAATCTTACCCCCACCTTTAATCTATAAAAAATATATGTGAATTTTAGTATTAGAAATATTTCAGCTAAAATAAAAAATACAAATTAAAGTCATTTTTTTTCATTATAACTCATCTTGCAAACAATATTTGGATAACTATTTAAGTAATTCTTTAGCTTATTTTAATATTTTATTAAATTGAACATATTTTTTCTAGGTTATAATGACAAATTATTATTTTTAATTAAAATCCACTAGCATTTTCAACAGTGCAATGCACGGGATAGCATTTCAAATGAAAATGATGATTAGTTTAACTAATACATGATAATGACAATTATAGTAAAATTTGTTAGTGATATAACAACATCAAAATTTATACGAATTAATAATACAAACTCATTAAAAAAACTATAAAAACTTTATTTGTCATAATATGAAATTGATATTAAACAAATGAAGCATTTTTTTATAGAAAAAATAAGCTGAAAATAGGAGATAAAACAATAATAATAATTAAAAAAAATATATAGATGTAGTGGATTATGATTGTGCTAGCCGATGTTTTGTGTAGTTAGAGTAATTAGAAGAAAAAAATGGTTGCAAAATAGCAATAAATAAATTATATATAAACACAAATTAATTTATTTTCACAATATGCCGTTAGGATTTCTTAGGTTAACCAACGTTTCTTTATTTTATATATAAAATTATGGAGACCTGTTTACGGAGTTTACATATATTGGGGGTTTTTATAATTAGAATCTATTATTATTATTATTATTATTATTATTATTATTAAGTATAAAATATAATTAATATGCTAAAATAAACTTATTAGCCCTAATAACCCCACACACTTAAAAAAAATTGGACCTATAAATTAAAACAAAACCCTAAATAGAGTTAAATGCAAAAACCCCCCCTGTGATTTTCCTAAAGGTCAAAAACCCCCCTAGAAAAAAAAAAGTGACCAATACCCCCCTATAATGTGTTCAAGCAAGCACACTCAACCCTTTTTGTTTTCACCCATTGACCACTAAGGAAAAGACGAAAAAGCCCCCCAGAAATTTTTTTTTGACCTCCAGAATTTTATGACTGAAACAAACTTTTTGAAATTTTCAATTCAGTCAATTGAATTTTCAATTAAGCCCTCTCTCCAATTGAAAAAACACACAAATACACACACTTCTCTCTGCGCAAGTATACACACCTCACCCCACCACTGTCGTCTCCGCCGCCATCTCTTATCATCATACAAATCTCAAACCCACTCGAGATTTAACCCATCTCCGTCAAAATCTCCGCCCAATTAAAAAAAAAGGGGGATTTTCCCAACCCCCAAGGTGGAGGGACGTTGATCCGACGAGTTTGCTCCCGAAGAAAAAACTGCCGGCACAAGGCCGCTGGAGCTCATCCTCGATTTCCTTATCCTCAGAATCGAGTTGAATTTTTATTTTCTCACCTAATTCAGTGTTGAAATTCTGAGTTGTTGGAGGCGGAACTGAAGATGGTGAGGATGAATTGAAGTGGTGGCCGAATTGACGAAGGGGGTACGGACTTACGGTGGAATTGAAGGTGGCGGCAGATTAGTGAAATAATAAATCTGAAAGTGGCGCCGATGGGCCATTTGCGGGTAAAGACGACGATTTTGAGAGGGTCGGCGGTGGATTTTGCTCTTTGTCGGAGAATTCGTCGAAGAGATTTGAGCGGGAGGAGAAGGATGATAAAGAGAATTGCTACAAGCAGATGGCGGCGGAGGAGGACGCTTGGGCAACTGGGGAAGTAAAACTTGATTTTTTTAATTATTTTATTTATATAATATATATTTTTCACAATTTGTTTTTTTAAATTGAATATTAAAAAATCATAGAGATTTAGAGGGGCGATTTTGTCTTTTCATACAAAAATCACACAAGAGTCGCACAAATAGCGCGTGAACGACACAGAGTATCGGGAGGGGGCGAAACGACTTTGACTTTTGAATACAGGGGGGTATGGATCACTTTTTTTATCACAGGGGTTTTGTGGTCTTTAGGATTAACACAGGGGGGTTTTTGCATTTTACTCACCCTAAATATAAAAAGGAATATTCTCAAAATGAACGACTGGATGTAATTTGACAGCGGATGAACACACAAATCAGATTGGAGCAGTTTTAATAAAGCAAGTCTCCTTCCTCATCTCCCCGTCGTCCGATCTTCCCCCCCCCCCCTCTCAGATTTCTCCAATCACATCCAATTCTCTCTCTTCCTCTTTCTCTCTCTACTCCCCTGCGCGCCAAATTCAAATCCACAAGGTAACTCCCCTCCTCCTCCCAAACAAACTCACCGACTGTGAAAGTATATATACATTTATGTTTGATCATGTAGCGATTGATATGGAGATGAATTTGACGAACACATTTGCTTTTTCTTTCTCCCCATCTCCCCTTTTTTTGTTGTAATTTTTCGAATTTTATTTTTCTGTATGTGGCTAGGGTTTCGTTTTTTTTAAATTGAGAAATGGCGGACAGTCCTGGCGGCGACGGCAGCCACGAGGGCGGCGGCGGCGGCGGCGATCGGAGCCCGCGGTTAGGCGTGCGTGAGCAGGATCGATTCCTTCCGATTGCGAATATTGGCCGAATCATGAAGAAGGCCCTTCCGACCAATGGAAAAATTGGCAAGGATGCAAAGGACACCGTACAGGAATGTGTATCGGAGTTCATTGGCTTCATCACAAGCGAGTAAGCACTTTAGATTGCTTTGAATAGTCAGTCATTTTGCTTAGATTGTGCCAGATTTTTTTTTTTTTTTTTTGGATGTGTTTTGGTTGTTCCAAAGATTGAATTGAGTTTTTCGCTTTCTATCTGATAGACGGTGCTCGTAAATTCGTATGCTTATAAGTTATATATCGAGAGAGATAGCTGAATGTTGAGTATGGTTCGATCAATGATTCTATGATATGAAAGAACCTTCTGCGGTTTTTAATTGAAAAAAGTAGACGACGTTTTTGTGTTTGAAATAATTTGAATACTTACACTCCAGGGGTTGTACTTTTTGGTGTATGTTAGGTCAAGTATTTAACCACAGTACTAGTTACTTACTCAGAGGTCAAATAGAAATTGGTAATTTCAAAAGATACGATGTAATAACACAGGATTTTAATAGGGAATTGAGCACACAACATGTGATTGAGCCCGTTTGTCATGCATAACAGCTGCCGAAAAATTGATCCCTCTCTGTTTTCTTTGAACCTTTCATTCATTTAAGCCACCACATATTTCATGGATAATTGCGCTACTAAATTGTGTTTTCGGTTGTCACAGAAGTTTTAGTTGATCCAATTAAAGATTTTCTCGCATAAGTATTCCACCATCAATATTACGGTCCAGGGTAACAGTTATCGTTTCCCTCCAGCACTTCGGCAATACTACTTCGAGAAATAATTTTATAGTGTTTATATCCATTTAGAGTTTAAACCCCAGGGTCAGATTGTTTTCCCATACTATGGCAGCTCCTTTTCCGATTACAAATTCAGAGATACATAATAGTGTGTATCTATGTGTAGTGTTTATCCCTGCTTCAATATTTTTTGTAAATTCTTAGCTATCTATTGTGCATATTTATTTACAAGCAGACACGCACGCCTCGAAATTAAGTAGCTCGATCGGCTGTTCCGAGATTTTTACTTTTTGATTACTGACTGATCATTTCGTTTTGCATTTTGTTTGAACAGGGCAAGCAATAAGTGCCAAAAGGAGAAAAGGAAGACGATTAATGGGGATGATTTATTGTATGCAATCGCGACCTTAGGCTTTGAGGATTATATAGCTCCACTAAAAGTTTATTTGGCCAGATACAGAGAGGTATTTCTTTGTTCGTCTTTTCATATTTTCTCCCGAAGAGCTTTCTGCATGAGTTGCATGAGAAGAGAATCATTTTTTGTTTGGTTTCAATTTGAAATAAATAGTATACGAGCTCAATCTAACACTCGGTATTTTTTTGTGTGGCAATGTTGATCTTTGCGTACCACCGCTATTTTCAGTTAGAGGTATGATATACATGTATAACCATTGCCTTAACATTTTTTATTTATTTATTTATTTTCCTGCGATGAATGAATTGAGACCTATTTGCAGGGTGACATCAAGGGACCTGGTAAAGGTGCTGATGGATCTTCAAAGAAAGAGACTCGGCAAGTTTCTGATTCACAGGTAGCCATTATATATATATTGTGCTCTCATTTCATCGGGGGATGTTAGCATTTTTTAATACCGTAAGAACATCACCCGAAAACTAACTCTTTATTTTCTCCATGTGGGTGCCAATGGCAGTTTGTTCATCAAGGGTCCGTTTCACAAGGTTTCAGCTACTCAAACCCAGAAATTGAATATTGAGTAAGTTTTCCCTCTCTCCCTACCCAAATAATACATAATATATATTAACCGTCGATGGATGCTGTCACCCTTTCTGATGTATATCCTAACGAGATTGAAGATTTGTAATCTTTCTACGAGATCGTTCTTTTTTAGCATTTTGAGATACAAGGGAATGATAAATGAGACACGACGTCGAATTGACCAAAACAAATATTGTTTGATACCAACAGTGTGCTTGCGTTTAATCAAGTATATTAGCAATTCAGTTTCGGCCTTTTCCGTAAACTGATTGACTGACCAGTTTCGCCTCGAATGTACATTCTCGTATAATTATCATATTTACTTGGTTTTGTTCATGCAGGAATAGCTTCAGTTGGAATTGTTTAGGACAGCATGTGGTCGGAATTTTTTATCGTCTCAGGGTTTAGCCGGTTTTTTTTTTTTGTGGCCCCTTAATCATCTTAACAGAAGAAGAAGTGTCATGATCTCGACATTTTTTTGCCCATTTCTTGGTGAAAATTCTTGAAAAAACTTGAGAAGTTTTATAAAAATATTTATCTATATATATAAATCTATTTGTTAAATTATTCATAAAGTAATTATTTAAAAAAAAAAAAAGGAAATTTATCCTCTAAATATTAATTATAGTGTGTTGAGTTTGGTATTAGGACGTATCCGGGTTTGAGTTCAGACAACTTAAACGGGCCGGATCTCAAGTTAATTCACAGTCACTCACCACTTAACCAGTTAATCATCCCCTAATTGTGATTTGTGAGTGTTTAGTGTGAGGGACGAATTAATTCACGTGCGCCATGTGTAAGTCACGTGAGGTCGATAATTTATGTAGAGAGAGAGAGAGAGAGAGAGAGAGAGTAGTGAGTTGTAATGGGATTCTTTTATGCTAAAAAGCTCCTTATGGCACACACCCCCTCACGTCGCCACCATCATTTCTTGCCAGCCCCCAGCTGACCTCCATTGACCACCCCCACCCCCTACCACCCACCCCAACCCCCTCTAACAATAAATGTAATAATAACATATAAAATTAAAATTAAAATCAATTTTTTGATTTTGGGATTGGGCTGAATATTTATTCTTTTTAAAATTTCGTTGTCATATATTTTCTATTTGGGTAAATTATGGCGAACCCCCCTCAGGTAAGTGTAAATTATGAAAAAACCCTTTATGTTTGGGTAATTAATTACCATCAGCTCCCTCAACTATGATTTTTTTTATACGTCAACTCTATTGGTGTCAAATTTATCAGAACCCTGTAGGTTTTGTGGAATGTTCTCTAGTTTGTACTCATTTTGTGCAGATTGTACAGTTTATGTTGCACCACAATATGATATTTACATGTCAAGGGACACATCTTATAATAATCTTGTATCAAAATGTGGAGCTTTGAATGGGATAAAACGGGTACAAACTAGAGAACATTCCACATAACGTAGAAGATTCCACTAAATTTGACACTATAAGGGTGGACGTGTAAGAAAATTCATAATTGATGGATAATTGTAATTATTCAAACATGAAGAGTTTTTCGTAATTTAACCTTACTTATGGAGTGGTCGTAATTTATCCTTTCTTTTTTCACGTGGCGAAGCCAGCATAAGATTTGGGGGGTCACCCTTCACCAAACAACATTTCTCAAATTTCTATTGCTTTATATAAATATAGGGTAAATTACAAACACCCCCCTGAGGTATGGTCAATTTACGAAAAAACCCCTCTTATTTGGATAATTACATCTACCCCTCAACTATGATTTTTTCTTCACCTCCACCCTTATGGTGTCAAATTCAATATAATCATCTAGATTTCGTGGAATGTGCTTTAGTTTGTACTTGTTTTGTGCAAAAATACAGTTTCTGATGCACCACAATCTGATATATACAAGCCAAAAAACACATATCATGATCATTTTGCTTCAAAATGTAGAGTTCGAATGAGATAAAACGGGTACAAAAGTGATAATATTCCATAAAATATCGTGTATTCCACTAAATTTGAGGAATTGTGGGGATGTTGTAATTATCCAAACAAGAGGGGTAGTTTTTGTAATTTAACCATACCTCAGGGGTGGTTGTAATTTACCCTATAAATATATGAAAACGAAAAAAATTGAATGCATTCGTATCACTGCAAACTTAAAATTCTGGTTCCACTAGTGTACTAACTAAAAATCATTAAACTAAAACTTTGTCTAATCTCTAATTTTGCACCAAACTCATCAAAGATGTAACAAATCTTATAGAGACCCCCACAAATGTTGGAACGAAATTACAAATATAGCCCTCCCACTTTTGCCAACTCAGAGGATGAGGGTTTCCAGCTAGCACCACCATTATATGCGTGCTCCCATTGCACAGTGATTAAAGATATTATTTGTTTTTTTTTTTCCTAATTAAATTATATATATTTTTTTTAATTTAATAAAAATATATGGTCAATGGTCAAATCAAACCTTTTTTCTCAATGCCAGAAATGCCCTTAATTGGCAAACAGCTGGCCATGTTATATTTTCGAGAGGATAAAAGAGGAGACAAAGCATGGAGCATATTGTTCTGTGCACCTCATCATTCTCACGTGCCCATTTGCAACTATGCCCTCCAATTTATTTTATATTTTATTTTCACCCCACTCCACTTCATTTATTCTTATATATGCCACAACATAAAATAATATATACATATTTTATGAGAACTTCACTTGTATTATTTGTTGGAAATCTATAATTGACGAATAAAAAATATTAAAATATATTTTAACAAAGTAAAAACAAAAATTAGTAGTAGTATAAAGTTTGAAGGCTTATTGAGAAAGGCAAGTAAGCCCATTAAGTTAATGGGCCGAGAGATCCATCTCCATTCGGGCATACCCATGAGGCAAATTGGGTTGAGTTAGCCGTAGACCTGACCACGGTCCGATTTCGAACCGGAACCTGAACCAACCCCGGTCAATAGTCTGGTTAATCGGAACCGAAACCAGGTCAATGCAAACCGGAACCAAAATTGGGTAGTAAGGTTCGTTTCAGATTCATAAAAATGTTGAAATAAAAATGTTGAACCGTAACCGGTGGTTCAACAATTTAAAAAAAAAAAAATATTAGAAAATAATTAAAAAAATGTAAATTAGACACCCACCGAGTCCAATTGTCAAAGTTCTTAATTAG